GTTTTTCGGCTATGAAAATCACAGCAAAAAGTTTCCACCGCAACAACAAGTTATTTTGATGGCTACATAATGGGCATGAACTCCCCAAAGACAAACCTCCCTCGCCTTCGATGCCATTGAAACTTCAGAGCATAAAAACCCTGACCAAGGCAAATTGCTTCAGGCATTTGGCCAAAATGATGATAATTAGCCGGCAAGAACCGAAAAACCCAGCAAGTACAAAAAGTAAAAGTCAAATCAAAAACTAAACAAAAGTGGCGAGGAAATTACCGCGACTTGGGGTGTGGAGAGAGAATGGGTGTCAGTCATGTCCCAATGTGAAAATTAACTTGTAAGGATGACTGGAGAGCAAACACCTCCGAACTGGAGTCCTGCGAGGATAACGATTTACAATCAGGAGCCAGCACTGAAGGCGCCAAGCGCCAAGCACAAAGCGTCAAAATAAAAACTTTTGCATTTCATGCTCGACTTTCTGGCTCGCGAAGATTTTCTCGAGTGCGATTAAATTGTTTTAATGGTTTTTGTTTCTTGGCAATACAAAAATGTTCGAAGAAAGTGGGAAGTTGAGGTGGTAAGCCGCTTAAAGTTTTGACTTTTTAATGGTCCACATTTTGTGGTTGTTATGGGAGAAGGGGAACTAATTGTGGCCAAAACAACAAAATCGTTTAGAAGCGTCGCCGCGTTAAATTATCTTTTATTGGGGAAGGAGTATTAGGTAAGAAAACGAGGATAGAGGAAAGATTTGCATAATTTTTAGGTCTTAAGATTGATCGAATTAATTGAGTTTAAAATGTCTAAAAATATATCTAAAACTGTTTCTTATGTTTTTTTAATTTAAATTATATCCAAATTTAAACAAAGTTTCGGTATATCCTTTTAGCCTCAAGAACTCTCTTTTATTATTATAACATTCCCTGTCAGGCAATCTCTGGCAGTGCCAAGTTCATTAAAAGCAACCAGAATTCTTTTACCCTTTTGTGTAGTCATCTTCAGTGACCAGACTGACCATTCACATGCACGACTCTCCTCAATCTTTCCACCCTTATGAACAGGACATCCAGCGTAGCAGCAGGACATTCAGTGGAAGCAACCCTGGCACTTGGCTCTTAATTAAAGTTAAGCCCCAAAGAAAATGCCAGCAAGTGTTGGCAACGCACAACAGAAATTAACAATTATGAATTTAACAAGAAATTATACTACAACTTGGGTCAAATTAGATTTTTATTGTTTAGAGCAGAATTATGCAAATGCGACAGAGACAAAGGCAATTAACAAAGGCTGCAAAAAATAAAAAAGCAAAATAATTAATGTTACTGGGCAATCGTGCGTATGAGTAATCTACTCAGTCAGTTCTTCTCCTTGAAAATCTCAACCATCATCATCATCATCATTATAGCCATCGTCTTGGCCTTGCGGTTAGCCTGGCTTGAGGTTTTGTCAACCTTTTTGGAGCAGCTGGTCAAAGTTTTTGCCACCACCAGGAATTATTCATGGCAGGCCAGGACCAACAGGACCAGCAAGACCAGGATATGAAGGCACGCCTCGAGCGTGTAGCAAACTAATTACCCCCAACCCGAAGATATCCAGGCACTATCCCATCCCCTATGTTTGTTTGTTTGCTTGTTTGTGAGACATGTGTGCCTTGTCTGCTCGCCTTTTAATAGTTTCATAAGCTCCATTTAAGATTCGCCGACACATGTCCTATGGAATGGTGGCGAGGTTCGCATACATTAGACCCAATCTCCAGCGAACAACAAAGAAACATTTACATTGACATAAATTGATATCAGAGCGTTTATGTCTTCATTGAGATAAGACAGACAGACTGAATGGAGGGCGGAGGGCGTGCCATTAATTGACATATTTATGAGGGTATCCTTGTAGCCCTGATTTGATTAAGACGTTGAGTGTTGGTTCTGCTGGTTGGGAAGGTAAGGTCCTGGACAGAGAATGGCTTGTTTATCTTTTTCTTGGTACTAAAATAGTTTACGTTTTGTGATTAATAAGAAGGAAGTATATTTAATCAATTATATTTTAGTATATTATTGCTTTTAAATAAGAATATTATTGTCTTAAAGAACTTTTAAGAACCACCAAGAACATTTTTATATATTTTTTAATTTGTATGTGCTTAGATTCTAAGCTAATCCATGCCATTCTTAACTTTCTCCTTACTAAATCCCTAATATTAACATTTAGCAAGCCCCATAAAGCACGGTCCCCAAAGGGACACAATAATTGCCCTAAGCCGAGACGTTATTAAACTAATAATTTACATGGACACACATTGTCGTTAAAAACAATTTCGTGCACATAAAGATAAAACCTTTGAGATTTATAAGCGAGTTGGTCGAGTGCCCCCTCCTCAAATCCAAGTCATAAACATATTTAAAGCGATAAAAAGGTCGAAGCTCACTCCACTTATATTTTTTTTTGTGACTGTTGTTCAGTTTGGCGTAAGTAAACTTATTGAATGTCTTAAGTTTAGCTTTTCCCGTTTGTTGACCGCCTTCTGCTTGTTTTCATTTCATTTTTATGACAACGTTTAGAAATTTGTTGTACATTTTCCTGTCGCTGCTGTTTGTCTTTCCACTGCCGCCTCTTTTGGCCACATTTAGCCGAATCTTCGACCCCCGGATTCCGCTTGTATTGACATTTGATCTTTATGTTGGTCCTGGCTCTATGCTCGTGTGTCGCTTTGTTTGTCTGCAGGCATCTTTTTATGACTCGAGTGTGTTTGCCTTTTGGCTTTTGTGCATGCCATAAAAAGCGGCGACAAGAAAAAGCGTCTTCGAAATCAAACTTCTGGCCAGAATGCTCGGAGGGTGTGGGTGCCACAAATATGAGGTCATCTGTTATGAACGCCTTCGGATGGCTTGAGAAGCCCTTGGGCAAATACAACTTGGGGTCGAGACGAAGTAAACTGACTAAAGATGGCAAGGTTCAATGAGTTTGACTGCGGAAATGGAAGCTTATTGGGGGCTTCCAAGAATCGATGAAATTTATATACAAGAATCTTAAAAAAAAAATCATATGGTAATCAACTAGTTCCCTAACAACACATAGCTTTACAATAAGTAAAATAAGAAATCTACATTTCACCAGCCCCACACCAAGCTTTCAAAACTTCGTTTTCAATTAATATGAAATCAAGCATTAAAATTGAATTAGCAAACCGAAACTAAGAACAAATGTTTTCTCGGTCTGTCTGGTTTTTGGCCTGGGCGAAAAACTTGGCAGCAACTTTGGCCAATTAGAAAATTATGTTGTTCGGCGTACAAGGACAATATGTTGCCCACTTTGGCAGCGTCTTGAGACATCGTCTGAGTTCCTTAGATATGGTCCCACGAAAACCGACCGCCCCGCTTCCTACAAAATAGTAAATATTGTTTAGTCATTTTGGTGAGCGCTAATTTTGTATGTTAGCCGGCGGCCAAACCTGCCAAAAGTTCAGCCAACAAACAAAAGCGATAATTACAAGAAAACAAGCCGAGAACCAGGAGGATTGGCTGGAGTGGAGGAGCACTGGAGCACTGGATGCCAGGACAACTTGCCGTCGAAACTTTCTTTGCATTAGTTTTATGTGCTGGCGAATGCAAATAATTTCTCAAAAATTAAAAGCAGAAGGAAACAACTTTTTGACTTCTACAGAGCTATTCTTTATTTATTTTTGAGGCTTATCGGCACTGAGTAAATTATTTATTTTTGATTTAGTTTTGTGATTCATTTGTTTCTTTGTAATTATACTTAAACCAAGACTTCTTGGTTATAGATAACCTCATAGCTTTAATCTCTTTAGCTATTAAAATGAATTGAAAAAATAATCATTTCTTATGTTCGCTTTTAATTATCTGGAATTTCCGTTTCCTTATCTAGCCTTCAAATTTAAATTTTCTAAAATTCCAAGTACTATGACGTAATTTGAAAACAATTTATACATTTTAAAAGTGATATGAAATCAAAGAGTCAGTGGTTTTTAAGACCTTAAAATCTTCCATATAATTAATAATAAAAATTTCTTGTATTTTTTTTCAGTGTGTGCCAAGTCGTCTGTCAGAAAGGGTTCGCAGTTTATGTGGCTGTCTAACGGCATTTAACCTACGCCACTATAATTCACGCCATTCCTCGACATCCCCGGCATTTAAATGCAGCTTGCGCGGGTCCTTCCCCTTACAGAAATCCAGGATCATCGTCCCGGGAGTCCCACGATAAGCCAAACATGATTTTACGACAATGTTATTACCATCAGCGGTAGCAGCCAAGCACAGCAGCTAAACGTTGGCAGAAGTCGGAGGAATCCCCGCGGCATCCTCTCCCCCTGTTTTCCTGTATGTTTGTATTGTGTTTGTTGAGTCGAAATCGGAGAGTGAAGGCTGGTGCGAAGGGGCTCGAGACCCTGGGGTTATACGGATGATGCTGACGTCGCCGTGATTGTTTAAAGTTATGAATAATTAAATATTTGTGCAGGTTATGGGAGTCGACAACTCTCAAACTTTATCCAAGGGTTTCATTTCATTAAAATGAGGTTGGTATGGTAAAAAATGGTAGGTACAAAATTAACAGAATTTCTTGATCAATCTGTGATGATCTACTTAGTTGTTTGAACATTTTTGTAACCTTTTTTATTAATTAAGAACTTATTTTTCTTTTTTTTTTTCATTTCAAAAAGTATAATCATAAATTCCGTAAATAATTTATAAGAAATCTCTGTTCAAGAGCTGACGGAAGTCGTTCTTAACATTTTTAAAGCTTTAGAAATTATAAAAAGATTTCTATTATAAATTTTTTTAATCCGAAAATGATTGAATAAAATTCCCTCAATTAAATTCAAATGTGATGACAAATCTAGAGTTAGTCATAATTTCAAATGGGAAACATTTCGTTGAGCTAAAAACAGATTAATATACTTTCTACAGTGTTGAATTCTGAACAGATAAGCGTAAGCACTCAGCACACACTCACACAAAACCACATTTAAAACGAGCTTGATCTCAACATAATGCAATCAGTTTTTAATTGAGCTTCAACCATGGCACACTGGACCCTTGCCGTTCTTCTCACGATCTCCGTTCTTCTGGGCCTTAGCCAAGCCTATTCAAGTTGCGATGCAGATGGAAACTCTCTCTGTGTAAAATCAGAAAATTGTAAGCCGGGTACCTATAACTCATTCGAGTCGGGATGCGTGCCCGGTGCAGTTTGCTGCACTTATGAAAACGTAAGTGCTATATGAAATATTTCATTTATTTTTTAATTTAAAAGAATTTAATTTTCAATGTATAGATAAATATACCCTGTGGTGTGCAAAAACAAGACAAATGTGTCATTAAGGGCAGATGCACATTGCCTTTCAATTATCGCTCAGGCGAAGATTGTCCGCAAGATTTTGAGTGCTGCCAAATTACAAAAGTAAGAATTGAGAACCAAAATGCTGTACTTTTATTAATTTTTGTATTTTCCTTTGTAGAAAATTCCCCTCACCATTAAAGGCGAACGATTATAAATAATTGATCAACAAGAAATACAAAAAGAGCGTTAATTAAAAAAACTTTTGAAGTTATTTATTCTTATTATGTTTATAAATTTATTGTTCGTTTTTGAAAAACAATCTAATAAAGGCGCATCTCAAAAATTAAAAAAATACCTCAAATATGTTATCAGAAAAAATTAATTAGCCTTATTAATGGCGATCTCCCTTTGGTGAAATCACTTAAGTACCAATGTACTAATTATAATTATGCATTGTAAGTTAATAAAGATCGGTTCAAAAAACTGAATTACTTGGAGATGCGGGGCATCGATCCCCGTACCTCTCACATGCTAAGCGAGCGCTCTACCATCTGAGCTACATCCCCTCTTGCACTTCCGCTCCCAAAATGGTGTTTCAAAATTAATGGTATCTATATAGATATACCTTCTAAAACATGCAGTTTACCTTGTACACAGATAACAAAAAAACAACCAAACAAGTTGTCTGCATTTAATTTAAACTTCACTATTTTGTCTAATTTTAGCGATCGGTCGCTCATTTTGCCTTCTTGGCCGCGCTTAAAACAAGAGGCTCAATGGTCTAGGGGTATGATTCTCGCTTTGGGTGCGAGAGGTCCCGGGTTCAAATCCCGGTTGAGCCCGGAATATCCTTTTTTTATTCTTGGCATTACATTTTGCTATGTATTGTATTTGTTAATATTTGTTTTTTTTAAATGTTGATCATATTGTTTCCATAGTGTTTTCTTTTTATACTATAAACTATTTTTATAATTTTAATCATAATTTAACCCTAAATATCTGAATTTAGGGCATTCAGTTCAATAGCTAGCCTAAAAAAATTGTTTTCTAAAATTCCATTAACCAGTTTTCACTGCTATTGTTTCTAACCATCGTGTCAGCCCATAAACTGGTTTGACTTAAGTTGCATAATAATGTCGTAGCCAATTTCACAATATGTTGACAACGAAATTAAATTGGTATCGAATCAATCTGTGTCATTGCATTAAACACTTTGAATGCTTTTAACGTGATATGTTGACCAAGCGAAAAACTTATGATCGTGGTCATGAATAGTAAGCAAGAAATCTATTTATAGGCCTATATATAGGCTTATATTGCATTTGGCCACAGTGTTGGCCCTTAGGTCCTTGTAGCACTGAAAATCGAATACCGTTATATGGGGATGTAGCTCAGATGGTAGAGCGCTCGCTTAGCATGTGAGAGGTACGGGGATCGATGCCCCGCATCTCCAAGGATATTCATCTTTTTTATATTAATTTTTTTTTTTTAAATTAACATTTGGAATGAATATAGGTTTCTATTAAATTTTCTTGTTATTTTGCTCAAACGTTAAACATTATGTACCATCGTTTTTCGTTAAAATAAATTCTCTAGTTATCATAGGTTAAATACTAACTGTCACTCTTAAAAAATATATTGAACAAAATGTTTCATGCTTTAGGAATTGGTGAAATCTCATGTATATTATCCTGCAGTACTGAACATGTTCCTATGATATAAAAACTATTTTATTTAATTATTAAAATTATATTTAAATTTATATTCTTTTAATATTTAAAAATTGTTCAATTATAAATAAAAAGAAAATAACACCATTGGAGATGCGGGGCATCGATCCCCGTACCTCTCACATGCTAAGCGAGCGCTCTACCATCTGAGCTACATCCCCTGTTGATCGCGAGCGGCCAAAATCGCTTCTGGCTTCACAACATCAAATTGGAATCACTGCCTGAAACGATCTGAAATGAAACGCTCAGAGATGCCCGCAATAACAGCCACCCAATTAATTTCCACAAGTTGCTTATTTCTTCTTTCGCTTTATTATTTATTCACTTTGATTATAAAACTGTCAATATTTACACTTTTGCACAGGTTTATTCTGCCATAAAAATAACGAAAGCACCGCCGCACACACAAATTTTTCTCGCCGGCCCTTCTTTTCATTGTTTTCCAGGATTCTTTCCTTGTCACGACTCGTCCTTTAGCTTTTCCATTCAGTCACCTGCCAGCTGATGCATATAATTATGGAAATTTTAAAGCCCCTAACAGTACACCCCGAACAAGCACAAACAAAACGAAATGAAAAATCGACGCGCAAAGTAAATACGCGAAGCAAAGCAAATGAAAATTTTTATAAAAATAAGCGTCAAGATATTAGCATAAAGTCGAGACAAAACAAACGAATATACAAATTTAGCATGCATATTGATTACTTTATAGATTCTTCAAGTTCAAAACTATATATGGGGTTGATTGATTTTCCGTTTGTCTGTGTTTTGACGAATAAATATATTTTCGTTTATTTTTTATTATATGAGATATTCTTTTTAATACTCATCATAACTCATCAGTAATTATTAAACGTATTATTGCTTCGCCAGCAAAACCTTTTTCAGGAATATTTTGTCAGTTTGAATGGCCGCCAACCGGTTGCACGAGGTGGCAACACCGACAGTCGATTCCTCTTCCTTATTAAAATCGATAACAGAACAGCTGTTTTCGTCGCTCTCTCGGGAATTTTATAAACGTTCTTTTTATTTATTTTGCAATTTATTTATTTTCTGTGAAATCTTTCGGTTAAAAATCAAAGTCGAAACACATTAATATTGTTAGGAGGCTTTGAAATTCAAAACCGGTCGATTTGAAGCACCAACTAGTACAAAAGTGCTTCATTTGTCAAATGTGATTGGCATATGCCTTAAATTATAATAAATATTTCCATATCGGAGTCGAAATGTCATTCGATTGTTAAGTATTCCAAGTTATGAGTGAACCACAGCAGCCAGGAGACTCGGCAGGAGCTACCTCAAATGCCGGTGAGGACTCAGGCAATCGGCCGGCAAGCAGTGCTGCCGGCGGAGGATTCGGCAACTCGGCTTCGGGTTCTCGAGGCTCGAGTCCCAACAGCTGGTGAGTCTTTCATATTCTCAGCAAATGAAGAACATGTTTATTTACAAATCAGACATCTTGGTATGAAAAGGGTTTTAAGAAACAAATTCATTTTAATTATTTTCTTTAAAAACTCAGTTCCCTAAGTTGAGAAACATAAACGTCTAGCTATTTTTGAAGAGTACTTACATTAATTCAAAATAAAAATAAATGTAGTTTTATTGCCCCTTAATAAATGGTGATATTGTATTTCGTTGATTCTCTAACTTCTCAAAATCTTAGACTAAGGTTGAATCCTTACAAAAAAAAATGCTAACGTTCGCAGTCTCCTGACTTTTCCCGGCCTTTTTTCTTTTATGATAATGAGGCCAGGCCACTCACGTGCCTACTAATTTTATGTCGCCCCATCTTTTCTCAGTGCCGCATAAATATAATGTGTTGCGTACGAGATTTTTTTCAGGCTGCCCTAACGCCTCGTTAAATAGCTTACCTAAACGAATTTTTTCGCTCTGTTTTGCATATTAAAGTGGTTGTATCCTGCAACTTTGAAGTTGCCATCTAAGCGTATTCAATAGATACATCCTTAGAAAAATGTTAAGACTGTAAAGTAATTGATAATGTGATCTTAGATATTTCATAATGATGGTTAAAGCTGATTAAATATTATGATAATTAGAGTTACTTCAAACTATATTGATATTACATTTCGTATCTAACATCAGGTATAATTATGTATTATTAATATCAAAAAATGTTTAGTGCTATGATATTTTCCCTTTAAAAGAACACCCCAAGTCGTTTTCAGCCCACATTTTCACCCATGAAATATCATCAAATTATTAGGTTTATTGCCATTTAGCACCCATCTCGCACCCTGACACGTTTGGCAACATCTGCAGGCATTCGCTTAGAAAAAAAAAACTGGGAGAAAAAAAGGCTCATAATAAATATAAAATGGCAAAAACGTGTCGATTTCCTTTAACAACTTGAAAATGATTTGTTTCACAGTCTGCAGAGCATATTAACTTCGATTTTCAATTCACAGCAGACTTTGCCACACATCAAAACATGGCATATGGAGAAAACTCGAGGGTGGTACCCTCATCATCAGCCTCCCAACTACTTGGGCAATTTTTTGCCAGTTAGGCAAACGCAAAATTCCATTTTGGCCGCAAAAGTTGCAAACAATGAAATTTGGTAGAAGGAGACTCGGTTTGTTTGTTTGTTTGCTGGGCCAAAAACCAGCTTGTCTCAATGACGTTGGTCCTTAGCCATAACCTGCGGCTCTGTCAGCTCCATCTTGTTAACCAAACAGCCCGAACTCCATCGTCCAAGACAAAGGACATACAGAGGATCTGGCGATGCCAGCTAAAAAAGTCTAATTGATGGCCCTGTTCGAACCTGCATCTTGACCATTTCCGTTCGTCTGCGGATATGCATGTCTACTCAATTTTCCGGCAAATGAGTCTCCCCCTTATCGTCCTTAAGAACAACAAAAATTGATTGGAATTTGCAACAAGCGGATACAAATTTTTTCCCTTCACCTCATTTCTCACATTTTTCTGCTACTGTTTTCCCATGTCCTATTTTTTTCCCCATTTGTTTCTTCCCTTCGACACGTCAACACTTGTCTTTTGTGGCTTTTCCTGTTGTTGCCTTTTTTTTTTGCCCATTCTATTCTCTATATGTATTTTCCTCAAAAGGAGGCAACACTCATAAATGTCTAAAAGTGAGAGGTGCATATATCGGTTTTTTTGAAAAGGGATTTTAGGAAATTAATACTGAAAAACCATTACAAATTTTGGGATTTATAAAATAAGAGAAAAAACCAATCCTATCATTGGATTGTTTATTCATAACTATTTGCAATGCAGGACCTATAATAAAGTATATAAAATCATATACATCAAAAGGTATTTCAAATTCCAGTTGTTATTTTCTTCCCTTTTATCAAAAAGAAAAATTGACCAACGGAATTAATGCAATTAATAAGCTTCAGCGTCACATGTTTTCAAACCTGAACGCTGTTTTTTTTCTATGCTTAAAAATGAAGGAAAAACTGTCGGAAAGGTAAAAATTAATTATAAACAAATCTTTTCATGTCACCAACGGAATTTTCGACACTTTTGGCGCATTTTTCAGCTGCCCAGCCGAAATTTCACAGCAATTTCCACGGTTTCTCCTTTTCCTCACATTTTTTGCTTTAACAACAGCTTCCCCTTCGGAGCAATTGTTTAGGGTCACTCAAAAGCACATTTCACTTATTATTAGCTCATTTATTACCCACCAAAAGGCGCCTGACCCTGGCAGCACCTGGAAAAACTTTGTGAAAAATGCTGGCCAATACAAAAAAAAAGGCAGAAAAAAGTACAAAATATAAAGGAAAAAATCCCTCCTGAACTTCCCCATCTGCTCCTCTCGTTGGGCACCTTAAAATTAACACATAAATTTTCAAGTGGGTGGCCAATGGCCTGCGGCTGGCTATCCACGAGATACTTTTAGACCTGATGGGGATTTTTTTTAAATCATAAGCGTAGCAAAAAGGGGATGGAGGGAAGTAATCAATTTCAAAGGGAAGAAATAAAAGGTTAGGATGAAAACTCAAAAAGAGATTTCAAATCGAAACGCCATTTAATATTATATTTTTTTGTGAAAAAGCATTAAAAAATCTGATTTTTCTAAATAAAAAAACTCTCCTTTAGCCTACGCCTCTGCTTGTGGCTTGGCTGTCATTGAAATTTCCGTGTGAGTGCGTTCAATGTTCAGGACCCAACATCCATTCCACAGAGAAAACCCTCCGAACTGGGCAATTGACGTTGAAACTACGTGACGTACAAAAGTAAATTGTATCTGCGGGATTTCCAATGACAGTGACTTTCCTTTTCTCGTTTTTTTATTGTGTGCAAATTGGCCACCTGACTTTCCCCTCAACGCATCTCTTTTAATTATAGACCACTAAATTAAAATCCGCACAGAAAATAGGAATGGGGCATATTTATAATGTCTGCCTTCATTATCAACTCAAATGCAGGCCTTAAGCATAAAAATCAACTTTACCACTCCCCTTGAGTTCAGATAACAAAAGAAATCCCCAAGACTGTGAAGGGAATAAAAAGTAAGAAAAGGTTCTTAGCAATGCGGAAATAAATAAACGTCGCAACTTTCTTGAAATCTCGGGATGGGAACATTTTGAATAACAAAATTAACAGCAGCCCCAACTTGCAACCTCTATTCCTTGTTTAGTTATGCATTTCCTATGCCTTCGTTTTTTTTCTTTTATTTTAATTTTTTATTTATGTTTTCCACAGGCGGAAGAACAACTCGCGACCCTGGAACCGAGGACGTGCGGACAGGCAAGTTTTTCCTTATATTTTTCTTCGCTTTCCCTTTGTTTTGTATTTTTTATCCCTTCGTGTCATTTGTTTGTCTCTCCCTCTGTTTGTTTGCTTTGCGTGAGCTCCTTGGCTTAACGCACGCTTGCACCTTTCCCGCCTAACCGAAACCCAAAAGTCGGGCTATAAGCACTCATCCTGCCACAGGGACGATCCCCCGGTGGCAGCCACATTATTAACACTTGACTAAATATGCATTTCTTGGGTGGACGCCGTTGACAGCGCCAGAAGCGTTAACAAGGTCTGTCCGCTGGCGTGGGTGGGGAAGGATAGGCAATGCCAAAAGTCGCCGCAGGAAGTCTCTTGAATCTTTTTAAAAAATTGTATATCCATTTTTAGAGAGATATTTCTATCAACCTGATTTGTTTTAGTCAAAAGTTTATTAATATCATTTACTGATAAACTTCTCAACCACTAATTGATCCCCTTGCTAACCATTTTTAGGAATGTCATAACTACCTATTTAAAGTTTTTACTCTTAAATACAACCTATAGATGGTCTAAAGGGATGTAGCCTCAACCCTCATTAAAATATTCTATTGTATGTTATGAGTTCGGTAAGAAGAAAGTAAAATATAAAGAAAATATCAATTACGTATACGTAATTTTAGTTCACTTTTTCATAAAACAGCAACATGCAGCATGCTCAGTGAAGATATGATATAGATATAGATATAGGTCTTCTACAATTATCGTTGTAAGTCTCAGTTAAAAAACGCGATATTTTTAACGAACGCATTCCCAACGTGTAACTGTAAATCGTTACCCACCACCCGCCCAACCGACGCGAGGGGCGACAGCCGCTTGACGTACGGCTCGTAGCTACCGATTACGGCAAAGGTCCGGACCCTGGCCTTCATTATGATAGTTTCTTATTCCACGTACGCGATCAGCAAGTTCAGACACCCATCTCAAGGATTTCCCGGATAATTTTGTTTGGAATCGTGACATTAAAGCGGATCACAAGCCCCGGATCAAGCGGACTAGGCCAATGTTTAGCTCTTGGAACGGGATCATATGAAAAGTTAAATACGAACGATACCAATTGGTTGTCTTTCTTTGAGCCCTAAGTGTTCGGATTCGGAGTCTTACAGTGAATGTTATTTAATTGTAGTTGATCTTAAAAACTAAATTGCCTATTTAGATGCATTGTCCCTAGTTGTTTGTGATGGTTTAGGTAAGGATTTCTAGATTCTGAGAGATATGGCTAATACATTGACTATTGGCATACATAGTGGCCCTACCATTGATTACATATCGTTTGATTGTTATATTTAGTTGATTATATGACATTATTTTTCTATTGCTTGATTTTTGGCCCTTTTAGGGTTTGATTTCGTTGATTTGTACCGCTTTAAGAGATCATTTTTGTATCCTTGCGTTTGTGGTCGTGCAACCTGTACTTTCATCTGCGAACTCATGGTGTCGTACTTACAGTAGGTTCGACCCAAGCGAACTGACTGGTGGTGCGATGAAATGGTTGTAGTGGCCTTAGAAGCCTTAAAGCTTAGTATTCAGAATGTTAGTAGAATGCGATTTCTGAAAATATATTTAAAATATATTTTTGAGCATAGTTGGCTATCTATAAATGCAGAATAAGCTTGGGTTAGACCAGTTGATTCGGATAGTTCAGTCACATAAATATAAGAACTAACTTAGAGGTCTACGAATATATTAATTGGAATGAGAAAGGAGTTGAATTTTTCATTTATTACTTGTTTATTATCTGTAGTGTATATTATGAATCTGGTCTAACTTTTCTGAATGTATACATTCTTATAATATAACGTTATTCTGTAGTATTTGTTAGCTTAAAGATCCACCTATTATCTAGGCTAATGTAATTGTTATTTTTTATCACTTAATTTCAATTTAACGTATGATATAAATCACGATGAATCACATTTTTCCTTAACTTCGATCTCATACTGTAAGTGATCCGAAAAATTCCACCACTCCTAGCACTCTATTTACCACACTCACCACCCATTCACCTTCTTAACTTTGTAACTCACCTTGCTGAGCGCGGGGCTCACACTCGCGTCCGAAATATTGGGCGCACCCAATTGCCGTCGCCTTGGTGAAGCTGCTGCGGAACTCAAGGAATTTCGATATGATTCTATAGAAACACTTTTTTAGTTTGACTCTTTTCCGTAGTTCCCTTATTTTGAGGGGTTCCTTTTTTGGCGGCTAGCTTCTTGGGAGATGGAGTTAAACTCGAAGTCGGGACTCTGGTAGTTGAGACTCAACTGAGCCCGTGCACATGGCCTAACTGACTTTTATAGCGAGGCCGTCAAATGGCATGCGCCGAAATTTCATTCATGCTACATAGAGCGGTATGTAAAGGACACCCAGGATCCCCATTCCTCCAGTCGGTGTCTTGCTTATTGTATTGTTGTATATGCAGTTTACCAAACAAAAATGCCAACACACACACTCTCACTCCGACCATGGCGCCGAGAAGCATGCAACAGCCAACCAGAGAGGCATCTCGGATTGCAACGGTACAACGGTACAGCGAAGAAGTGAGAGAGATGGTTAGAAAGAGCGAGACCGAGAGAGCATCTATTAATTGCACGTGCTGCAATTGTTGTTATTATTGCTGTTGTTGGGTTTTATGTTGTTTTGCTTGTATTTTATTTTATTTCCAGCAGCATTGCTCTTTATCTCTCTCTGTCGCACTTTCTCTCTCTCTCTCCCTCTCCCTCTCTCGGCTGTCGTTCGTGAGAGGCGAAGTGGCTAAGCTCTCGTTTACTAGGATTTCTCTGCTCCTTCTTGGCCTGTTTACCGTTAGTCGCACTCGGTCTTTCCAGCTCGCTCGTTCGTCCTTCGCTCTGCCGGCGTTGCAAGCGAATGGTAGAGGGGAGGGGGTAGTTGTGGGTGGTTGGGTGTGCTCAATAACCCCTCCCATCCTCTTCCACGGTTGCATCCTATTTAGTTACATTTTGTTGTTGTTGCTGTATTTTGCATTGTTTTGTGCTGTGTTTTGTTTTGCTGCAGCTCTCGGGCCGTGACTTCGTGTTATGTACCGTTATGATCGTCGGCTCGTCTCTCGTTCGCTGCAAGCGTTGTAAGTGTATATGTGTGAGTGCTGTTGTCCTGTTGTATAGTTGGTTATGTACTTGCTGTTGCTGTTGCCGTTGCAGCTATATTGCCATTGCTGTATGTTGTTGTGCTCTCTAAACTTCGCCCGCCCCCAATTGAAAAAGGAAAACACCGAAATCGTAACCGAAGCCACTAACGGTACTTCCCCCAAAACGAGCTGTCCGGCAGTATTGTGTTGTGTAGTGTTGTGTATTGTGCTGTTGTTGTTATAACGGTAAATGCTCGATTCGATTTGGAATTTCCCTAAATTTATGGACTGAGTTACTAATAAAGGCAGATAAACGTAAATAAATAATTAAATAACTTTGGAAATTTTAAATTTTTGGAAAGATTTAATAAAACACATATTCTATATTTTAAGAAAATATACATATGTATATATCATGAAGGCGTTAATCTTGCTCTTAAAACTCTATTCTTATAAAAAGCGTTTTGCAATTTGAAATCATTTAAATAATTTCAGGTTAGAATATGAAATATTTAAAAAGAACAACTGGTTTTATACATTTATTACATTCGCATCGCAAATTCATTTCTTTAAAAGGAAAGTTATATCGCATGATATTTCCCTACTGAACTTTAAAGAAATATCCTTAAAAGGTGTGAAATTTTTGGTTATAAATTTGAACAAAATACTATTTCACCAAAAAGGCAAAGTCGCCACTAACTTTAGATTACATTTTTTTATATTAAATTTCCCAATAAACCTCAACTCCAATGAAAACTCTAAAACAAACAACCAATAACCGCAGAAAAAGTCAATCACAGCGAAACGTCAACAATCGCAGGCGACCAACACACCAACTTCCGTTTCCGGTCTGTCACCGCAACAAAAAAAATTCATAGCCTAACACGCAGGCTGATTTATATTTCACTCACACAATTCCACACCCACACATTCGCACTGCCACGCACACGCCGACAAATAGGGGCAATTCATAAACAATTAAGTGACACTTTGAGTTTGACTGGTGTGTGAGTATCGCAAAGGGAGGCCATTTAACGCCAATGCAATTATTGTGATTGAGTTAACTTTGCCGGATTTCTGAATGTGCTCGTGAGTGTGTGGTCAACAAACGAGTTGTTTTTGCAGTGTGTACAAAGAGAACAAGTTAATTGCGAATATATTTTATTTATCATTGTTTAAGTGATTGACAACCAAGTTGTTAAGTTAGACATTTTATGAAGATGTTTAATCTCTGACTGAGCTTGACTGGTTTTCCCCAAAATAAGCCTTTTTTAATGCTCAAAGAAAATCATTAAAAATATTGAAAAAGTCTTGAGTTTTTATGTTAAAAATTTACTGAATTCAAACGAGTTATCTGTATAATATATGCTTAGTTTATACAAACATTGAAATCTGTAGAGCATTTCTTATATTTTATAGCCCTTCAGAATGAATGTTATCATCCCTCTCCCTAGAAATTCCAATCAAAAAGCTGGAAAATTTCCCCCATCGAATTTCTTTAAGTTTACTGTCATTCTTCACAGTTCCACTCTAATTAACGTAAACAATTTCCAAAGCTCAGAAATAATCATAAAAAATATCCTGCTGAAATCCGATTAGGCGAGAGGCTTGTCGGCGCATCTGGCAATTGAAAAGTTTGGAAATTTTGCGTTTTTCTTATTCTTAATTAAATCCAGAGTACTTTCATAAACTTTTATTATTGTTGCCCATCATCTTGGTTGTCTTCCATTCCTTCTTTGCCCTTCGTTTCAGCATTTGTCAATGTGGCAAAAGTGAACAATTTTTCATTATCGAAGGCGATAGGAAAATGACAGTAGCACCAAGTGCCTCATCTTCATTTTCCTTTTCCTGCCCGACAAACTGCTGGAGTGTCAAATCATAAATATGCATCTAACGTTTATCTAACGTCTTTATAGCTCAATCCCCCTGGAATTGTCTCTGTGTTTTGCTAGGGAGCAAAAGACAAGTCCTTGGGCCACAGATAGAAGTAGACTTAAAAGTAATTTTACGTCTGACTAAACATTAATGTGCTCAATATTTTATTGTTTGTTTGTTATTTCGTACTTTTGCTGTTTCATGGAGTCTTCCCTGTTTTCCCCAAAAAGTCTAAGGCACTGAGTTGATTATGCGGGAAGCTTCGAAAACTTTTTGGGAAGCTGCAATTTTTAAATGGTTTTATTCTTTGGTTTTGGTTAACTGAACAATAAATAGCTGGGATCTAGACTTTACTTTCTGGAGTAAAGAAACAAAATTGCAAGGAAGTTAAACTTGGAAGCCTAATGGATAATGTTTTGATTTGATTTATTTATTAGGTGCAGACTTTAATATTTTTTAATTAACATTTGCTTGTTTTGTTTATTTTATCTACAAATCATAGTCGTTAATGCAATTGTTCTAAAATACTCTGCGAATGAACTCAATTTGTGCTGAAACAAGCACCTTGTCATATCTTGCATAACTTCCATTTACCTCCCCCACTAAAGCCGAAAATAGCTACCAACGAACCAAACTTGACCACAAGTTGCCTTTCACTTGGCCAAAATGTTAATTTGGCTTGTCTTGCAATTTAGTCGAACACCTTTTTTGGACACTCTTGGCCACCCGTAATGCATATGGGGATGTAGCTCAGATGGTAGAGCGCTCGCTTAGCATGTGAGAGGTACGGGGATCGATGCCCCGCATCTCCAATTGGATTATTTCCTTTTTTTTTGCCAAACAAAATACGCAGACGTCGGCAGTTTTGTCTATTGCATTCTGGGACTTATGTGTCGGGGAAGAAGTTGCCACTAATGAATATTCAAAGGTTGCTTTGTAGCTGCCAAGCGAGCATTATCCGTGGAGTCTCATTTCCGCATCCCTTAGATGCCACCCCCATGTCGACAATCAAGACGCGTAATTTGATTTGCGCCCTCATCACGTTATTACACTTAGAAAATAAAGGAATGAGATTTTACTTACTAACTTCTATTAATTGGGAATGATTCATCAAATAGTTAACTAGTTAACTTTTTTATACGGAAGTATTACATTAAGTGATGATAAAAACATAAACGACACTTTTTAGTTCAACTGTTTGAAGGATTACATGATGCTTTTCAAGTGTAGTTCAAAGCCTGGTGAAATGGCTGAGAGAACACATTGTCGCACATAAATCAGCACAATATGCCAATGTTTGTTTACTTCCCTGCATCGTTGAGAACTTTGCCAGCAATTAACCAGACAGCCGCAGCAGTCAGAACAGTCAGCATAGTCCGATTCGGAATCTGTACAGGAGTTGGAGTTGTCAAAGGGCGAAAAACATGGTCCCAGGACTCCACTGGCAACTTTACAAACTCCTCGAATGTCTGCAGTAGCTGGGTTTGGTGTTGTAAATGATACATGATGTGCTATTTATGAGCAAAAGCTTTTGTTTTAATTTTTTCCCTACCTTGGTTTTTGTTTTTCACATTTTCTGCCAGGACTAAGTTTTCGCCGTAAGCTAGTTAAGCTTGCGTTGTTTTTCTGTCGTTGTTAAAATTTATGTATTTATTTCTAGATTTTTAATTGTTTTAAGTGTTTGGCCTGTCAGGGCTTGTAGTTGATTTTTGCGAGTAAAAAAAGGATATTGGAGATGCGGGGCATCGATCCCCGTACCTCTCACATGCTAAGCGAGCGCTCTACCATCTGAGCTACATCCCCGTGTTGTGATTTCCTAAAAATTGGTTCGATATACACTACTTTACTCGCTCAAAGGTGGACAATTACCGGTAGTTACCTTCAATTGGTATGCCAGTCGACAAATGACCTGGTTACCGTTTCGTAGGCCAAGTCTGAACTGGTTTGCAGCTCAATGTTGTGCTTGGGGTGTGGCATTTGAAAGACATGACCACGCTTCAATTAAAGACAGTGGCGCTGTTTAAGGGGGGCTATCTATGGGTGTTTTCTATTATATTTATAGACTGAAAATCAAAGCAACTAATACCAAAGATAGCTCCATGATTTTTCTAAGAATTCTTTATAAATATATGTTCAATTAATTTATTCAAAATTTATTTCACTACCAAAAAAAAAACTCATAAGAAAAGGAAATCACAAAATTCTCCTTATACTTTTGGGAAAAGTAAGAAAAATCCGAGTTTTTCCTGCTTTACTTTAGCATTTGACAAAAAAATTAATATGCATAACGCATAGCGGAAAGAAAAAATAAACTTGGGAAAATATATGCAGTGATGAGTGAAAAAGGATGCCAGTTTGGTCCTGTTTGGTCCCAACAATAACACGTCCCCTTATCGGAACCGGAAACGGTGCTCAAGAAAAAGAGCCTGGGAAGGTCCGTAGAAGTCACGGTGGCGTATGTGACAAGTCCTTCGTAATGAGCAGGAAGAATGCACGTAGACAAGAGAGAACCTACTGCTCAAATCAAGCCAAAAAGTCGCCCTCAACTAATAAACTTCTCCCAGGACCAAAGTCAATTAAAAAAAGGAACAAAAATTGTACGTGACACCCCGAGAGATAGACAGTCCAAGAAAAGGCATGGAATGAATTGAAGTTTGAGGAATGAGAGTGTGCTGCTCAAGTTCTGAAATACTTGAACTAAAAAGACGCAGACTGAAATTAAAATTACACGACGCTTGAATAACTTTGACTGTACTTCCACCTCCCTTTCGTTCCGCTGGCAGGTAAATGCTGACAAAAGTTTTTGAGGTAGCATTTCTTTTACGATTCGCCAGAGAACGAGAGTGGAACCAGCTAAGAAGGAGATGTGCCACTTGCTACGTTTTTGTCATTAATTTTGTATATCATTGAGTTTTACGAGGCTCATAAATATGAAAACGTTTAACTCTTGCTGCCTGAAAACAAACTTGTCGTGGGGGTTTCCTCCTCCTTAAACACTCTCTCTCCTTTGCCGCGTTTTATATGAGACAAACTAATTGTCTTGTACTTGTAATGTGTTTTTAAGCGCAGCCACGCTTCCCACATGTTTTCACAATGTTCCGCCGATAAACAAGGGGGGATTCGAGATTTTTGTGGGGCGGCGGCAGGGGTTGTAACAATTAGTGGAGTGACTTGAAGGGTTCGGCTCCTTTTCTCGTGTGCAACAGCTTGAGGTAATTTTCAACTTTTACTCGATGCTTTGGCGTTGACAAGAAGCGTGTTGTTTTGTTTGGTTTTAATTAAAGCCCAAAACATATCCAGCTTGAATGTTTTGGGAGTCCTTCGAAGGAATCCCCCAGCAGGCTTAGCTTTTGTTCACAATTAGAAAGGAGATGTGTTTGCGGCAATGAGGTTTTACTTGAGTTTTAGTTTACTTTATGGTTTTTAATTGATTTATATTTGTAATTCTTTTAAACTTGGTTATTATAGCAGCTCTAAACTATCAAGTTGCTGAAGCGAATCAAATAAATTCTCATTTAGATTCCATAAAGATTCGCAAGACTTAAACTTTCTTACTTTTAAATTTTTAATTAGTTCTTGTTACAAACGACATTAACGAAAAAGGCAACGGCTAAGATTTGTGGTCGTATATTTTAGCATTTCTTAACGAGATTTTTCGAGGCGAAAAAAAAAAAAAAAAAGACCAAAGGAATTTGCACCTTTGCATACACAAACAGCAGAAGAGAAGTTTTGGTGGATGGGAAGTCCTGTGGCATGGGGATGGGGTCAGCAGTACTGTGGTTATAAATTTTAAATCTGTTAAATTAATGCAGCAGCTTTCTTTCATTTCGCCGTCCGAATTCTTGCGTGCCAAAAAGTTACGAGTAAACTCCGCCGAGCACGTAGCTTGATTACATTAATTATTCCTTTATTGTTTGCAAAAATTTTCACCTTTCGCGGCGTTTGTAATTGTAATTAATTAGAAAAATGGGTTTACTTACAATGTATATTTTTTCTATATTACTTACAGTGGTCCCTTTAACAAGAGAGGGGTAAGTTAAGAAAAAAAAACACGTTGAGTGCGTAATTATTCTAACCAACAATAACATGTTGTAGAGGAATTACAATCAAAAGCCATATCCACGTTCAGATTACGGAAATCAGGATCAAACTGACGACCCTAACCCAAATCAGCAACGCCAGGAGAGAGATTTTACCAAGAGAACTGATTTTCAGGAAAGAAATCCTCGATATTTCGATGAAAGATTCTCTGGCAGGAACACAGATTATAACTACAGAAACTACAATCGGAAAAAGAAGTCTAAGAAAAATCGAGATAAACTCCGCAGATCGCCTTATCAATGGAATAGACGAGATGGCGATAATTCCTTCAAATCACCTCCTCGTTATGATGAAAGTGGTTTAGACTTAAACACAGTAACACCAAATGACTTAAAAAAGGAACATAGCTGTGAATCGAAAAGTGACTCTCAAACTCAAGAACACCAATCTGATCAAGTACATCACAATGAACAAGTAGCAAGTGAAAGAAACGATAAAGAACAAAGTACAGTTGCCTCAGAAGAACGAACCATACCCTCTCCTATCACTAACAACGAAGAATTTGAAAAGGCTCATGAAGCTTTGCAGGCTGCAGAAAACACTCCAAGTAGAGAAGAACCATATCAAAGATCAGGAGCACAATTGTTGGGAGAGGAATTAAGTCTGTCCAACTCCAGTGAGAACACTTCTACTACAGAGTCTAGTCAACCAATTCAGCTTATCAAATGTCGTCCCCTAACCCAGCTACTGAGACAGGAGCTCTTTGCAGTCACTCAGGAAAATCATCAATCTAAACCTTTTCTTCTTAGTCCATCTCCATCCGCCAGTCCCATTCGCCCAAACTTTATAGCCAACCAGAGATATCGTCGAAGGACGGTAAGTCGCTGTAATTATAATGGTGGAAGTTTCGGTCAAGCTGAAGATGATGAAGAAATCATCAATGATCGTATCGCTAGTATGGATAAGGAGAGTCTAAAGTACATCATCAACAATAGTGACACCATCTACGAAGAACACTTACAACTGCAAGCCAGGAGGCGTATACGCGACGTGATTCGTCAGCAGCTAAAGAGTATTGAGTTGGAACAGCCCAAGGATAATTGTGTAGAAGATCTGGTCGAAGACGAAATTGTAGATGCCATTAAATTGCCCGACCTCCTGCTGCAGGAGATCCAAAAGTGTTTCGGCATAAATATATCTGAGGGTCAGAGAGCTACGACTTCTAAAGTAGATAACCAAGCTAAAACAAAGAGTAAAAATTCTGTGGAAAGTTCGAGATCAGTCAAAGACAACGAAGGATCTAAAAAGGGTTGTAACGAAGCAGTGAACTTTGCAGGAACCAGTAGGGTTAGTAAAGAAGTAACGAATGTTAAAGAGTCTAGGAATACTATCAAAGATAGTACAACAATAGAAACTAGTGAGGATAGTCGGGAAAGTACTATTAGTAGTGAGAAAAATAACTCTATCACTGCTAGTATTCAATACAACAAGTTAAATAAAGTTAACCATCATCAAAATAAAGAAGTTGAGGAGATCAATAATATTATAGAAAATGCTAAAAATGTTCAATATAACTCTATAAAATCTATAAGGGACAGAAAAAAAGATTTACAAGAAAGAATTAGAAAGAGAAAGGAAAGGCAAACCAAGAAATTAGGGAGAACCATTCAAGAAAATGATAACACAGTAGAAGATAAAAGTAATGCACAGATCCCCGAGGGCAATGACCCACACAGAGCCCGAGCATTTGCCACAGAATCCACATATTCTTTGAAGAGGTCCAGGTATCTGGCACCAGCCGATGAGGTCAATACATTGCCAGGGTTATGCCAAGCTAAGACTCGTACGGCGCTATTGCCAACTCCCACAGAAGGAAGGTTGCCAAATTGGGAAGAATGTTCGAACTCCAAGAAAAAGAAATTTAAACCAAGTCATTCACCTATTAAAAAGGCCAAAAAATTAAAAACATCTATTGAATATCCAAATTTTAATAAAAACGAAAATAGTAGTTATCAATCACCTTTACCGAAATCCAAAAACGAAACAACTGTAGTTTCTCGTTCTGAAAACTTTAAACCCATTGAATGTCCGAATTCTAATCAAAAGGACTGTAAACCAAGTCAAACACTTAACAAGGAAACCAAAAGAAATTCTGATGAGGAAAGCACTATGTTACGTTCGCCTTTTGAAAGCATTACTACCATTAAAATGAAAATCAAGAGTGAATCTAGCAGCTTACCAACAAAAGACGATCATGAACTGCCGAGCTTATCTAATAAGAAGATTACATCCATCGAAAGGGAGTCTAGCAGCTCACCAATCATAGTAGTTCCTTTACCCTCAATGGATGTTATTGAGCTGATGAGCTCATCTGATGAAAATGATAAAGAGGATAATTTTGGTGCGGTGGATATGGACTTAGATGAAACTGAAGAGGAAGCTCTAACTCAAAACGGAGAGCAAAGCTTAGAAGTATTACCTCGACCTGAACCTCCGGTTATGGATAATGCTGATAGTAATCATTCCACCAGCTCCCAATGTAGCAGTGAATCTACAAAAAGACGCCACAAGCTGAAGCTTCAAAGCGACGCAGAAAATGTGGTGGACAGTTTCGAGAAACTGATTCTCCCCAATCTTCGAGAAGCTCTCACAGATCGCTACCGCCGGCAGCATTCTAGTAGCCTCCAAAGCCGACTGCACTTTATCTCCTGCGTCGTAACAAGCTCCGAACACAACTCGCGAAGCTTTAGCAAAATCGAGGTAGCCAAGATGCAGATGAATCTCAAAGCAGCTGACAATGGCAAAGCCATTGAATTTCTGCTAAAGGAGATCGTCAATGTGGTAAGTCTGCAAAAGCAGCGACGTCGGGAGCAGGATGATGAGCAGAAGCTTGCCAATTCTCTTAGTCCCAAGAATACGAAATCTCCTGTTAAGGCAGCCCCTAACGCGTCATCGTCACCGTCAGTCGAGCGGAGTCCAACAGCATTAAGCCCTCACCAGTGCTCTTCAGCTTCAACATCTCATCAGAGCACTCAATGTTCTCCAGCCCTTCTAAGTAATACCAAAGACGAGGATATACGTCAAAGCCCTTCACCTAGTCGGAAAAGTCCTTCATTGCTGCCCAACTCCCAAAAACATGATCATATTACCATAGGACTACCATATTTAACCTTGGATCCCAACCTACACCATTTTCCTTCTGGTACTTATCCACGTCTAGGTGTTGGATCACATATAACCGAACCCTTGGATCAGAGTTTGGTTGATATCGATCGGCGTTTGCTAGAAAATCAGAATCGCCGCAGCATTCTCGAGGAGATGATCATGAAATTCCAAAAGGAAAAGTCCGATCTGGAGATGGTCGGTCTAGAGTTGCAGAGTCGGAAATTTCTCCTACTGAACTCAATGATTTCCAGAGGTGTTCCTTCTGCTGCATCAACTGTTAGCACCAGGATCTCACCACCTCCAGCTGAGAATAGCCAGGATTCAACGCAGGAGGAGAGTTCTAGCAGAGGAGGTATAGCCAGACGAACTAGAAGCAGGACTAGATTAAGAACTAAGGTGGTAAAACTGTTGCCCAAACGTCAGGTTAGAATACAGAAACGAGTTGTCAAAAGAAATAAATCGGCCGAGCTAATAGCGCAATTACAGGAAGAGATTGCTCATCAGGATGAGTGTAATAAAAAACGTGAAGAACAAGACAAGGAAAAGGATTTAAGACTAAGCATTCAATCAAATAACGAGGAAAAGCCAATGAATGAGTCAAATTATGAACAAAAGACCGATTCCTTGCCCAGCGTCAAACCTACGCAATCGCGTCTGAACAAACCAAAGGCCAATCCGACCCATCAGCCTCTGGCTATAATACCACCGCTATCACCACCTCCACCGCCACCCGAACCAATCTGTCACATGTCCTTCGACATTCCCCGCGGTCACCACTGGTCAGAACTTAACTCACGAGAGCAATACAGAAATGGTTTCGTACGGAAGGGAAAACTGCGCGAGGTGTTAAGCCCTATAACCCAAATAAAGATCTACAGGGAGTATGTGATAGCCGCGGCTGAGGATGGGGATATCTACATGTTCCACCTGGTCAGTCACAAGCTGATACTACAGGTTACCAAACACAGTGAGGCCATTACGAATATGTGCCTCAACGAAAAGGATTCTACTTTGTACACCACATCCCTGGATGGCTTTTTTAAGAAGTCTTCGCTGCAGGTGGATTACCTAGATTCTCTCCGAAAATCGTTTTTAACTATTTTGAAATCCTTACAGAATCTGGAGCGGGTTATAGAAACGGTGTACTTCAAGGAGCCACTGCAATCGATTGACATCGCTTGGGGATTGGTTTTCATTGGCAGTCGATGGGGTATAATCTCTACCTTCAATGATGTGGTAAGTGCAATCGCGAAATTTAAATATATTTTTAAAGGATCAAGACATCTAGAATATTCCCTATTTTAATCGTACTACACACCATATTAGTTTCTAAGTAAAATCTTCATACAATCCAATCCTTTACCCTCATATAATCGAGACATATAACTCATTTAGACCTCCCATCTTGCACAGGTCAATCAATCAGTCTCTCAATAAATTTTCGCCACTTAATTTGACTCATTAAATATTTATCTGTCAAACAAACACTTGAACAATTTCAATTAAAATATTGAACTGCGACTTGCGAGTCCTGCCAAAAGGACAGCCTCCACCACACACAAGACGACTCCACACCTTGCCCGCGCGCCAACAATAACACCAGGAGTTAACGAATTGGCAATGAGCAAAGCCAAAAACGAAAGTCTAGACAATGGAAATCAAATCGAATTTATTTTTCATTTTTTTCACTCTTCGCGAATTTAACAAATTGGATAGTAAGAAGAAGAAATGCGTAGAAAGGGAGCTTTGGTCCTGAGCTGATACTTCATTAGAATATTTCACATTGAGGGTAGAGTAGAGCTATAAGTCTTAATTCTGGCAGAAATTCGATTTATGGCTGCGACGTGCTGATAACTCATGGCTGGAATTTATACTGCGTTTATTTCTTTTGTGCACGACTGTACTTGTTTAGGGAAGGAGAAAACTGAAAAAAGTACAATTTTACTGAGGTAACACTAGAGATGATGGCTTATATGGGTATAATTAGGTATAGTTGTAGAATGGGTACAATATTAGGAAGTAAAGAAACTTTTTATATATTAAGGTACAATTATAGCATTAATAGTGGGTAGGAAGAATACTCCATCCTAAGTATTAGGCTTATATGGGTATAATTAGGTATAGTTGTAGAATGGGTACAATATTAGGAAGTAAAGAAACTTTTTATATATTAAGGTACAATTATAGCATTAATAGTGGGTAGGAAGAATACTCCATCCTAAGTATTAGGGGTAGGAGGCTAACACTATTATTTAAAGAGAAGGGGGCAGAACAACTAAGTTTTTAACTAAGCTAGAGAGAAGGCAACTGTACTTGCAATTGTATTGCGAATGAAGGCAACTGTACCACCAATTGTAGTGTGGGTGCTGGCTACAGTAGTTGAGGGTCTGGTACACGTAGGTGCCGTCAAGAGCTTTAGTTATTTGGTAAATATGCGAGGATGCCACGCCCCATATAGCAGGAAGCACATAGAGGGCGTTACTGGTATTGCAGTTTAAGCCAGCCTTGCTGCTATTGCTTGGTATTTAGCTTTGCCTGGTGTTTTGTGTTTTATTGTGCCCTGTTTGCTGCACGTTGTTTGGCCGAGAACTACGAGTCCTAGGAGTATATAGCCTTCTAGTTAAAACGGGGTATATGTATATGTATGCACCTAGAACCGGGGCTGGGGGTTAGTTGCAACAAACAACAGCAAACTGCAGCACTAGCGTTCTGTCTTGCTCCCACACTTATTGGGAAGAAGGATATTGCTTTCTTGCTCGCTACCTCTCTCGCTCTCTCTTGACTCCCCAGTGCTCTCTATTGTTGTTTATTTAAGTTTTTATGTGTGCCTGTTTAGTTAACGGTATATTTTGCCGGCACTGACTCTTCCTCTCTCTCTCATTCGCTTTTTTTCTGCGCATGTCTTATGCGCTGCACTTCACCGTTAGTTGCATATAGTTACTGCCATTCGTTAGTTTTTTGGCAGCAGCAAATAAAATGTTTATATGCTATTTACTCAAAACAATTTTAAATAAAATACAAGCCGACGAAGCTCTCTCTGTCTCTCTTTCCAGGACTCAGGCAAATAACGGGACTGCGCTCTCGCCTATTCTCTCCGTGCTGCAAGTGGGAGAGAGCCTTCCAAGGCGCTGCAATTGGAATTGTCTTCGTGCCTGTTGCTTCCTCTCTCATTCTTTCTCTCTCGTCCTCGTAGCTCCTGTTTTTGTTGTTGTTGTGGCGTGGGCTTTTCTTGCTGGTTGGCTCCTGTTTTGTTGTGTTGTGTTTCTGGAAACTGACGCCCTGTCTATGGGTTGTTGTTGCCAATGTGTTGGTGTGCTGGTGCGCTCGTACCGCTCTCCCATTGGCCGATTTGGCCAACTCGGGTTGGTTGTTTGTACTGTTATGTGTGGTGCGCCCCCCTCAAGTGACTGTAACTCTTTTTTCGTGTTTATGTGAGCTTTTCTATTGTTGTTCACATAGTTGGGTGGGTGTGGCAAAGTGGTATATCTCCTGCAGGCTGCAACCACTAAATAAACTCCACAGCGCCTCCACCACTGCAGTGTATCTAATTTCTTCTCCCACAAAAGCAATTTATTTGTATTTTCTTGCCTTGCACATTGCGCCTGGACGCCATCTTGCCGAATGGCTAAAGACTAACGGTAGATAAAACTGCACCATATCGTTCCATCTCCTTCCATTAACCGTACTTTTTGATAGTAGCGTGGTCGATACATCATTGGTAGTTTTCTTTTTTATGACATTTTTAATGGTTTTTGGGTATACAAAATGTTCTTTGCCAAAAAACGAATTTTCTCAGAAAATGAACACATAGAAGTTTTAGATATTTTAATACAAATTTTGATTAGACCAAAATATTTAAGCTTTAGAAAATTATAATTTTTTTTTGCGTTTAGCTTCAAAAAACAAAATGTAAACTTTAGATAGGAATCTATCTTATCTTATAAAAAATATAAAACGAATAAAAAGTCAAGTCAAATCCAACAGATATTCCCCTACATTTTCTTCACCTTTAGAAATGTATAAAAAGGTAGCTTATCTAATCATATCAACATATAAATATATACCCAAGTCTTTAAAAATAGTCCGTACAAAGGCAGTGTCTATTTATAAAGCCAAAGAAAATGTTCAGTAGACATTGGCATCTTTTGACCATACCGCTTTGTTTACGATTCCACACGCATAATGTCATGACAATGCACTTCGGGAATTTTAATGAGCACGTAACCCTAGTAGGTGCAAAATCAAAGACAGGCAAATAAGTGACCAAACCTTGTAAAGGGCAATAAAAGTGGTAAACTCACAACGGGGATGTAGCTCAGATGGTAGAGCGCTCGCTTAGCATGTGAGAGGTACGGGGATCGATGCCCCGCATCTCCAGAAGGATTTTTTAGTTTTTTCTTTTGCACAAACACTTAAAAAATGATTCCAAGTCATTACATTTTCTTAAAGAGATTTTTAGAAACATCATCAATAAGAAATATACCATAAGTGAAAAAATTATAACTAGCAAACTTATATTCTAACTTAATCAAAACCATCACCATTATAAACTAAACTTTTGATTTCCAGACCAATAAGGTGATGGATATGCCTTTGGTTTCAACCGGCCAGTCCATTATTGCAATTAAAGCCACCAAGGAAGGTGTACGAAAGATAATTGTTCTTGGATGCAAGGGGAACTTTGTCCAAATACATGATGCAGCTAACGGATTACTACTACGTCGATTGTGTATTCCAGACGGTTTAAATGTCTACAGTTTGCTTTTAAACGATGGGCACATTTACTGTGGTACTCAGAAGAACGAGATCTATCAATTGGAGTTTAATGTAAATAAAACAAACTAAGTTTAAGTTGACCTGCTATTAACTCTAGGTTTTATTCCCATTTTAGACTGGCGTTTTGGTTAAAAAGCTAAGCTGCGGCAATGGAGCAGTAGGCATTGTATCCTATAAAGAGCGTTATTTGCTAGTTGGCTGCTACGATGGCTTCATTTATGTCCTAGACAAGGTAACTGGAGCTAAAATGGGACGATTCGAGGGTGCTGGCCGTTTGGTTTTAGCCCTAACAGTTGCAGGCGATAAAGTAAGTCAATTAGTAGTAATGACTTTTGTTAACAAAAAATATTAATATAACTTTCTCCAATCACACAGATCGTCACATCTTCAAAAGATACCTCACTGGAAATACTGGAAGTGCCCGCAGCCATGATAAATGGCCATTGAGACGCGTATCATTAATTGTATAAATCAGTTTTAATATAATATTTTTACACACAATTGTTTGTATAATACAAATCAATGAAAATAGTCTTTGATCGAGGATTTATAATTGATGTCTCTATCTTTACAATTGATTAATTAATTAATTAATTTTTTTCGTTAACATGCAATTGCAATTTTGCAGTTGATTTTCTTGAAGAATATTTCTTCGTCGTGAACAAAATATTTAGCAATAAAAAGAGAACCACCAGTAATAATATGATAATACGTATAGAAATATGTAGTCACTTGATTTGTCTTTAAGGAATTTGAGGAGCCCTCACCGGTCGTACATTGGTCTGCATTTGGTGAAGCTTCTGGTTGAGCTTATGCGTGTGGTCACGCAGATAGGCAATTAAATCGGCCTGCTTCTCCAGCAACTCTTCAATATCGCCTCCGGGTTGCATGAGGCCCAAAGAACCACCAGCACGGTCTGCACCTCGTAAAACGTCAGGGGGCATCTTGGCGCTGTTGAACTTACGCACCTTGTCTGGAATAAGCATGGGCATTCAATTTATATTTATATTTAGCTGAGAACTAATTAAAAATTGCAGTAGAACACCTAACTGGTTTTCAGCTTACTGACTCATGTATTTAAAAACACGAAAGCCAACAAAGAGAATAGCTTATGCCAACTTAATGAGTCAATCCCTTTCTGAGTTTGTAGATAATGTCATTATTCAAAATCTAATTTTATCACACTAAATGTGAATTATTTCCTAAGGGAAATATAATAAAATAATTCCTGGTCTTAAAGATAGGAACTATTATTAAATACCCGAATTCCAGAATTAAGATTTTCTTTGCATCCCTAGCTTTCTTTAGGCGACTTCTTACCAATGTACAAACTGTGAGAAATAGCCAGCACCAGATTCTCGGCTACGGTAAAAGCGGTCACATAGCTGACCGGGGACAACCAACCAGCGGCGCAGTGCTCCCAGAAGTTCTCCGCGTAAAAGTGGTGTATCAATGCCTGGACGGCCAATAGCGCTGAGTTCCACAGGGAGACCAGCTGAAGGGGAATACCCTTCTGCATGTTCGTCTCGCGGTGGAAATCGTGATAGCCTTGCATGCGTAGATTGTCGTGTTGTTTTTTCACAAAGTGATCGAAGAGCTGCAAAGCGAAATTGACATTGAGGCAGGTCTAGATTAACAGATTTGCCGATCGGTATACTTACATATGTGATGACCCAGAATGTGGCACGTAGGTAGAGCATTATGAAGTAGGCATCGCAACGCCGATCCGTCGGGAACGATGCTGCCAGTACGATCCCCACAATTGAGATTACAGTGGAGATAACCAAATGTAGACTGTGGGAGAATAGGGAATAGGCTTAACTATGTGCATTATCGGCTTTTTAGAAGCAGCAAAGATGATTCACTGCCGCCGGCAGAAGTCACTATGATTACCCGTCGCCCCCTAAATCACCTAAATGCGGGCACTGTTTTCAGCTTATAGCTCCCATTGTCGTTAGAGAATAGTACAGGGTCTAGAAGATGATCCGTATCGTGGATGTGTGCGGGGGATACGCCCGGTTGTATAGCGGCTCCTCCTGTTGTTGGTGGCTCCATTTGCACGGTTTCCAAATGCGTATATTTCGAATTAGATGTGCTTTGTTTATTAAGGCCGCAGGAAAACAACACTTATTTTCTTAAGATGTGGCAACACTACAAAATGGTGGCATCGCTCTTATGTCGTTCGGTTACTTGGTAACCCTGAAGTGTCAACAATAAACTTGCTGTTATAATTTGAATGTGAAATTTAGATTTTTAATAATAAAATGATTTCCTTTGTAAGCATAATAAGATTAAGAGATCTTAAATGTATTCATTTTTTTTGTTTACAAATTGCTTGGTTATATTAAATGCCTTTTAATACATTCATAAGCGCGCTTTGGATTTTTTAGGCTTGAGCTCTGGTCACACCTAATGGAAAACAAATTTGAACATTGCATTTAAGCAATTGGATATTTTACTATTTTTCGGGAAGAATAAACTGGATTAAAAGATGACCACCCCTGTGCCACGTCGCACCAAGGATATGGTGGCACTAGGATTGGACTCGGAATCAGAAGACGACCTTAATACGCCTTACCGACCGCGACCAGCAACGGCGGGAGAAGTAAAACAGCAGCCGATGGCGTCTTTCCAAATCATGGCGAGGGGCAAAGAGAATGATCCGCATCCAATGCCCATAAATGTGCTGTAAGGACTGCGTTTACCTTTGTCGGGCATGTTACACATAATATAAGAGTACCTGCTCATTTACAAATTCTGTGGGACTAGGCTAACGATCGCATTTCACTTCAATGTCTTCCATAAGATTCTTTTGTAAACAAATATTTTGGAGAATCCTTTACATGCTATATAAAAACATTCTCTAAAAACTACTGTATTTACTATTTTTCTAACGCGATCCCTAAAGCTACTAGAGCTAACTCTACCTCTCGTACTGAAATGCACCTATTCAGTAAATATTTTACGGAGATCATAAATAATTTTAAATTTATTTTTTTATATTCATCGATTTATCTTTTCCTGATTTGCAGTCCACGCCGAGTCTCCGAGTTGACTATGATAGATTCAAGCAGCGACGAGGAGGATATTAAGAGCAATCACAACCTGAACTGCGCCATCCTAAACGATTCCTTTGTACTCAGCCCCTCCCAAGAGTTAACGAACAGCAACAGTAACATTACTAATCGTCGATCACCCACTGCCGTCCCCCTGAAGCAATCGGATTCGAATCTCTCATTCCTAGGACGATTTAATAACATGGGTATCAATTGCAGCAGCCAGGGATCACCAGTTGCGAACTCGGAGAATCAGGTGGCCAAAAAACCAGTGCTCACGGTCCAAACCGTCATGGAAAGACGACCGCTCCATGAAACAGAAAAGCGGCCACTCCATAACTCAGAAACACCCATGCGCAATGAAATATCCTCGGCAAAATCGGATGCGGACTTTATCACCCCTCAAGTGCGAACCATTGGTTCCACTCTGGCCGGAAAAAGCCGAAGTGCGGCAACCAATGACTTCCGTGCGCAAAAGGTGCTCTTCCAAACGCCAATGACAGTTAGTCGTGCTGCTCCTGTTGCCTGTGACAGTATAAGTTTTTCGCTTTGCGACACCATAAGCGAGAGTCCCGACATTCCAGAGCCGCCAAAGAAAGCAGATCCTCCGAGTGGCCATCAATCCAAAAAGTCTCTCGATAATGCCTTCCAAGAGTCGGATAAAGATAACGTACCAGATAAAGTAGAGGTAGCAAAGCCAAAGGAATTGGTGTCGGTTCCCGCACCTAATGTACATCCTGTTCAGCCTTCTAACTCCTCTAAAACTTCTAATATATTGAAAATTAAGAATCATGAGTATACGATTGCCAAAAAGCTTGGCTGTGGCGGTTCCAGCTCGGTTTACTTGGCACGTCGTTCGGATTCAGGAGATGAATTCGCCCTGAAGGTAGTGGACCTCCAGGCCGATCCTCAAGTGGTGCAAGGCTATCTCAACGAAACTAAGCTTCTGGCCAAGCTCCAAGGAAACGTTTGCGTTGTGGCGCTGTACGATTAGTGAGTGGTCCTTTTTTAAAACTTTTAGCTTATTCCAGATTTTAAAAGTAGTCGTATAGTTATTTACTATATGTAAAATCGATCGGTCAGTATTGGTTTGAACTATTCTTGTTATTGATTTACACGTTGTTCCTATTAATGAAGTTATTTTGTTTCAGTCAACTTGTTCGCGAAGAGTCAAAGCTGTACATGGTGATGGAAAAGGGTGATAGTGACCTAAACAAGATCCTCCAGACATACACCACAAACCTTCCGCTTTACAGCCTGATGAACATCCTGTACCAAATGTTGCAGGCGGTCAATTACATCCACCAGAACGGTGTTATTCACTCGGATCTCAAGCCTGCTAATTTTCTGATGGTTAGCGGCAGACTAAAGCTGATCGACTTTGGCATTGCCAGCAATATCTCTTTGGACTCGACGAGCATAATCAAATTTTCACAAGCGGGCACTTTCAATTACATTAGTCCGGAGGCACTGACAGACACCTCCACAGGCAACAGTCCGATGCGCGGAGCCAATCAGCCCAAGATCAAGATATCAACCAAGTCAGATGTGTGGTCGCTGGGCTGCATCCTTTATTTGTTACTCTACCAAAAGACTCCCTTTGGGCACATTCGGAATATCTATGCCAAGATGAGTGCGATCGCTACTCCGAGCACAAGCATCGAATTTCCCGCTATTCCTCCCTACTATCCCATCATGCTGGTTCATGTAAGTAGGGCGGGAATCACTATTACGTATGTACTTAATATGAATGAAAAGTAACTAGAAGATTCTAAAGGAAAAACAAATTTCTTTTCTATAAATTAAAAACTTGTATGCTTAAAGCTTGAAATCATAATAAGATACAAAAACTACTATATCAGTCCTGGATGTATTTACAGATGGCCAAGAACTGCCTTCAGCTGAATCCAAAAAAGCGGCCGTCATGCACTGAACTACTTCAGTATCCATTCCATATGATTATTCCGATACAGAATCTGCAGATCCCCAGCAGAGCCGCCAGTACCAGTAATTAAGCATGAAAGCTCAACTATTTATTAGTCAAATGTCAAAGGTTCAATGTCTTTCTCATATGTGTGTGTATATATTTAATTCTCATTTATCGTAAATTAAACATCATAATTCCTTATAATGCAGCTATAGCTCATTCCTTTTTGTGTTTGTTTGTTGTGGTTGCTGATGGGCTTGAATTTGTTTGTTTGCCTAAGTTCTCAATATATGTCGCATGCAACAGGTTCTCGACAAATAATTGCTAATTAGCATTCGTGTGTTTAATTTGCGTTTACTTATAAGATAGTTTCTCATTCAGTTTTTATATAAAAATAGTTATTTACTTGTTTATATACGCTTAATTAAATGTTGCTGCTGCCGTATACACTTTCTGGGTTTTTCAATACTTTGCGCTGCTCCGTGGCGAAAAATTAAAAATTACATAGAAACAGAAAAAACAATTATGGAAAACATGCTAAATTCACAGAAACCCAAAATACAAATACATACATTCATACAATTTAGTTTGATTTATTTTTATGGATTTGCCGTTTAAGTAGCTGGGTTTTAAATTCATTTGCTTAACATAACATACATATACAATTGTTTAGAGCGCGTTTTTAAATGCAAGTGTAACACAAAAATAATAATCGCATGCGAAGTATGGGATAAATAATATTTTAGAAAGTAGCAGCAGCAATGGATTTTGTTACGATTTTTTCGGGTTGTTTGTTTTTCTTATAGGGAGGGCTTGGTTGGAAATTGCCTACTACTGTCTTCAGAGCCTGGCTTTTCCTTCTTCGCTAGCTTTTCTTCTCTTCTCGTTTAACATTGCACAAGTTTCGATTGTTATCATTATCATGCTTTAGTTATGTGTATATAAGTTCTTAAAGCGTTCCGTAGTTCTTCTCATTCTCATAATTGTTGGTTTTTGCTACTATAAAATGTTAAATGTTGCTGTTGTTCTTGTTCTTGTTGTGGGGCATGCTTTACGTTTACTTATTTTTCCTTGCCTTTCTCTTGTTACATTAACTTTAAACTTAATAGATTGTTAGAGTTGTTTGTTTTTTACTGTTGCTGTTGTTATGGAAGTTGGACAAACTCTAAGGTTGCCTGTCAGTTTATCGTCGTTGTTGGCCTCCTTCTTCTATTTCTTCTCTTCTGTCCTTTTGACATTAAATGTCCTAAATAACAAAATTTTTTTGAATTAATTAAATTTAATATGTTGGCTCAATAATAAATTCTTACCTATTCCCCGTTGGAGGCATGCTGTTGCAGTGTCTGGATTAGCTGCTCTTTCTGGTCAACGATGCCACGCCAGTGCTCGTCCTGCTCGCGAGCTCGCTCTTCCAAATCTATCAACGTGTTGGTCTGTACAAATAATAAAATATTGTTTTTTAACCACCGTTTAATTATATAATTACGGAAATTCTTACCGTTTTAGTGACCAACTGGGTGAGCTTGTCGTTGCACTCCCGCAGCTGCAGGTTCTGTTTGTGCAGCTCCTGCTGCTCGGCGGCGGAGGAGGATTGGCTATTCGAACTACTATTATTGCTACTAATATTGTTGTGGGTGCTATTGTGGTTGCTACTGCTACTATTGTTTGATTGTGTGGACTTATGACTACTGCTGCTGCTCTGCTTCTCGGGCTTCTCTGCCCCGAGCTTTTGCCGCAGCTTATCCTGTTGCTGCTTGACATGGGTGGCCAGGACCTGTTCCAGCCACTGGTCAAAGGATGCTTGCAGGGCATTTCCCGACTGCGCCTTAACGGCATCGGGATATAGACGCTGGTAGAGATCCCGGATCCTCTGTTGTTCGCTCTTTGCCGAACTGGCACTGCCTCCTCCTCCGTTGGCAGCGACCACTGCCTTCTGTTGCTGCTGCTGCAGCTCTTTGTGTTGTTGCTGTAAAGATTAATAAGTACACATATTTTTTAAAATGATTTGATCTAAGAGAATTTCTAGATGAAATCATAAAGGAAAGCAGAAGGAGCTGGCAGAGATTCATGCACTTACGCCTACGGATTGCGCTGTATTTGTTTTCGTCTTAGCCGTTGCCTTAGCAGTTAATGCTTCGGCATTTTGCAATGCTTCGATCAACTTCCAATTTTTCATACGCACATCCTGACGAAACACAAATACGTGGCAATTAGTAAAGGATGCAAAGGACGCAAAATGATGTGGATAAAACAGACATTAGCAACAACGCGAATGCCAATTTATAACTGGTGAACATTTATATTTTATTTTTATTAATCCTCTCTGCTTTATGATTAGTTAGTTAACTGCCTATATTTTTTGTATTTAAGAATTCTTTCTAGTTACGATAAAAATATGTATAAAGTGAACTAAACATTCAAAAACATGAAAAAGCAACAACAAAATAAATAATAAAGAAATAAAATACAGCAATATAACTAATTCTACTTATATAATTGATTTCTACTCACATTATTTTTCTCTCGCTGCTCCTGAAGCTCCTTTTGCAGCTGTTGCTCCTTAGCCTGAAGCTGCTCGGCACGCTGCTGTGCCTCCTGAAGCTGCGACTGCAGTGCGGAGGCCTGCTTCTGCTGCTGCGCCTGAGCATCAGTTAGTGAACCAACCTGCGAGCGCAGAACACTCAACTCCTGCTGCTTCTGGGCCAGAGCTTCGGTCTGAACCTGAGCCTGCTCCGACTGGGCGGCTGTGGCCTGAACGGCGCTGCTGGCGGCTTGTGTGAGCTGTTGGCCAAGGGCCACATTATGAGCCTCCAGGACGGACAATTCCTGTCGCAACTTCTGCAACTCAGCGCCGTGAACGCGCTGCAGCTCGGACTGGGCCTGCCTGACAGTGCACACCTCTTGCTTGAGTTCAGCGTTCTCCGCATCCAGCTGTTTACGCTGTTCCAGCTCAAAGATGCTGTTATTTTGGCGCGCTTCCAGCTCGTCACGTTGCAGCTCTAGAGCTTGCAGCTGTTGAGCCTGCTGCTGAATCACATCATTCTTCTGCTGAGTCTCAGCGTTTACGAACGCGGTCATGTCCGCAAGGCACTTCTCCTTGTGTGCGAGGTCCTGCTGCAAACGTTGCAATTGCAACAGATCCTGTGAGTTGGCTTGCTTCTCCCTCAAAAGGTTCTAGAATGGAAGGAAAATAATAAGATGTTAGATTAATATTTATATTTGGCTTCGATGCCATCAATTTAATTAAAGTTTATGTTTCCTACCTGGTACTGCTGTCGCTCAAGTGTCAATTTGTCATTCAGACTAGACAGCTCCTGGTTGAGGGCAGCTAGCTCCTGTTCCTTGCCTTGCAGCTTGTCAACGTAGGCCTGATTGCGTGCGTGCATCTGGGCGCGTTCAGTGTTAACCTCCTGTCGCAGCTCGCGAAGTTTAGCCTGAATACCAATGGATGCCTCCTGCTCCTCGACCAGCAACTTTTCCTTTTCCTCCAACTGGCGCTTTAGCTTCTGGCAGATATCATCCGACCACTCGGAGTGCGAAGAGGGCATGTCTTGTTGCTTGTTCAGCAAATAGTCGATGAGTATCTGAATCTCTGAGCGATTAAGCTCGGCTCGGGAAAACACGTTCATAAGCGCGTTAACGCCAATAGTTTGGTTCTGGTGATCGGCCAGTTTGTCCAGAGCCAGAGCCAAATCCTTGGCCGTAAGGGTGTCCTTTTGATTCTGTTTCTTATTTTGCTGTTGCTGCTTGGTCTTGTTATTAGCCTGGTTGTGCTGGGTTTTGGGTGAGCCATTCTGCTGTTGTTGTTGCTGCTTAAGGATCTGCTTAGTGACAACCGGTGCCTCTGTTTCAGCAGCAACGGGCTTTTCCTTCTTGGCTACATTACCTCCACCAATCTTCTTCTGCGTCTGTTGTTTGTTGTTGTTGTCCTCCTTTCGCTCCTTCTGCTCCTGCTTTTTCAATTCCACCACATCCTTGGGTACCTTGGTCTCAAAGTTGTTCAAAGATGGTGCCTCCTCGGAGGTGACTGTCGCTTTGACAGCAACAGTTTCGTTCTTGTTGACCAGGATACCGGCGGTCTTGCTGTTGGCTCCGTTGCGCTTATCCTTCTTGCCCTTTTTGCCGGATGGTTGGTTCTCCTTTTCAGCAACGCTACTGGGTCGACGCTGCTCATTGAGGATCTCTGCATCGGGTTCGAACTCAACATGCTGTTTGGATAGACCAGGTTCCTCATCAGCCACCGATCCCTGACCCTCCGATTGACCATCGGAGTAATCTTCGGGTTCCTCAGGTTCCGGCTCAGTGTTCACATCGCGTTGCTGTTCACGCTGGCGTTGTTTCTTTTCGCGTTTAAGTTCCTTCTTCTTAGGCTTCTTAGCAGCTGCTCCTCCGGCCGCCTTGTAGAGATTAGCGCTCAGTGCACGCTTTTCGGCCACTACCTCCTCAAAAGTCTTCCGCCTGAAGATCTTGTTGATGAACAGGAACGAGAGCAGCGAGGCGCTGACCACACAACCGATGACGATCAGTATGTGGAAGTCCATATTTGCATATCTTTCCGGTTCAGCAGTGGGTTATTCTCAGGGATCTCCTTTGCAAAAGCTATGGATGAAGTAAGAAAAAATTAGTTAATGTGTTGTATTAATGAAAAGTAAATACTTGGATGAAATCTATTTTATTTTAAATACAAATTAATGTGATAGCTTATTTATAAATACTGAATTATAATAAAAAGGGGAAACCCTAATTACAGCCACGTTTTCTCCGCCTTGTTTGTGAATAAAGGAATCAACAAAGCAAAAAATAATCTCAAGTGTGGAAATGTTAGAAATGCTTTTTAGGGTCACTCTTCTAAACTTTTACTATCAAAGAAATTCTGTGTATACAGCTTTCAGTTCCTTTAGCTTATCAGCTTTAGGTACTTTAGTATTGCTACTTTGTGGTACAAACTGATGACGTGGAGCTCAAAAGCCGAAAAAATGTTAAAGAAAGGCCCAATTTAATGTCAGATCAACGACACTACGTTTAATGGCAGTTATGCTATATATAATCGGATTGTTTGAGTTGTACGTGCTTATCGGTATACCGGCCGGAGAATGTCACTAAAAGCCTGTGCAAACTCTCTTTTTGTATGACTAAGTTGTTTTGCAGTTAACTGTGGTGACCGCTTGACGTTTTATTAATAAAAACGATCCGCGGTTGATAATTTTATTGTTGTTTGCTCTGCCGAGATAAACAAATGCACTGCTGAATGGCTGAATATTCCTGGAATTCCTACACAGTAGACATCCGCTTGCACAACTTGCCATTAAATTCACATGAATTTTAAATTTAGCCAAAAAGGTCACTTGGATGAATTTAGATTTTGCGTAGGACGAGAAGGCGAGAAGAAATCCCAGCTGGGATTATCGATTCCTCAAAGTATTTATTTATTCCGGAGGAGCCGAAGAGAGCTGACAAAGTCACAAAGAATAAAATTAGCCAATGGAGCAGCTGCTGGGCAGCCTTGAAAATAAGTTGGTAGACATGTTCTGCACCCAAAAGGTGTTGACGCAGATTGAAAACAAAACTCACAAAAAGAATAACAATTTAAAATAACGCAATGTCAAGATTCTGACGCACACGTATGCAAATTTGAAAATTCGCTCACTGGAAAAAATCAGCACTGGTTTAGTCTTATCCGTAAAACTCCACGAGTCTCTTTCGATGGACACGAAGCGAATGGCAAAAAGCTAGTGAAAAGATTCGCATTCGCAGAGCTGGGCTCGCAATACGCGATCTCTCTTTGGCTCTCTACACTTGAATCAATTTTTATAATCGATTAGAAGTAGAAAGTCTCATTGAGTTTACATATGTTTCCGTTAATTATTAACAAAAATAGAAAGAATAAATCGCTTCTCAAATAAAATAAATTAATGTTTATTTCTTACTTTACACATTTCGGATTTTATAAATTCTTGCAGTCTTTTAATAACTAACTAACAATTTATAACACTTTAAGAACATACAAATAGTTTGGCAGAAAACTGTTTTGTACTTTTTCACATATGTAAATCCAAACCTTTTTTTTTATTGAATTTCTTATTGCAATGATTGTGATCAATCGAACATAAAATGAATAAAAAATGAAAGTTTTATTTTCCGTGTGCTTACGCTCTGTAGACTCTCTCTGTCCCTACTTTTCTCTCTTCTCTCCCACCACAAACAGTTAGAACAGAACTTGAAATTTCGCTGGCTCCGGGAGCTCAGTGGAAGAATTCACAAATTGCAAAAATTTCAATTCAAGGTTGTTGCTCTCTACAGCGATAACTGGCAACTGGCAGGTCGGGTATTTCTTATTCTTTTTGTTAATTTCAAACTTTTTATTTCTTCTGCTTTGCTTGCTGGCGTCATGTTTCTGGCTAAAACATTTCGACTGTGTTTCGGTTTTTTATCCGCAATCAAACTTTTCTAAGGAGCTTTGAAAATACTGGCTTTCGCGATATTCTGAAGATAAAGTGCTCAAACAGCAGATTTACACAAGTTCGACAGGTATATTTTTTATTTTAGCTTTAAAAGCAATTTATTTATTTTCAGGTTAATTTTTAGTTTTTACTAAGTTACTTGATTTTTATTTAATTTTCTAGTTATATCGGAAAGATGCTGAATTTCCCCTGCAATTGAACAAAGAAAATCTTCTTAGGGAAAATTTTACAGGTCCTTTGTTGGCAGTGAAACTTTGACAAGTTTATTGCAATCCCTTGAAGAATTTACAACTTCAGTTCGACAATGTTTACCGAAGGCATATATTTTTTTGTTTGTCTATTTGCTTATAAAGCCGACAACATTCATTGCCTCGGATGGCTGAACTGTTCAAATAGCAAAGTGTATTTGCGCTCTACAAAGTTCAATTAATATTTAATGACACAATGAGAACGGGTTTCCATCAAACAAATCGATGGCGTTTAACGGAAAGTAAGTAGAGTAAGTCCGGACAGTGAATTCAGTATTGGGGATTCAAGATTCCGGGCGTAACGTGGCTGGGAAAGAAGCAGCAGAAGAGAGCCAGAGCTAAAGCCAAAGAGAATAAAGCACAATAAAAACGCCGGTAAAGGTCATCAACCGGAAGAAAAGCGCGCGTGTGTGTGTGAGTGACTTGCCAACGTCTGAGGGCGTGTGTGTTTATGTGAGTGTGTGAAAGTCGAAATCTTGCTGCCAATTATCATTATGGCCATCTATAAATAATTATGTATTATGGCTGAACAGCATGCAAAACACGCTGCTGGCTGCTCGGCCTCGTTATAACCAACTGACAAACCGACAAACTTACAAACTGCCATCGAACTGCACAGTTGGCCTAATTTTCCCGTTTTTCCTTCTATCTTTCTGTGCCGTTGTTTCGTTTGGCCTCTACACCTCCCTTTCCGACTCTCCTTTGCGGCGCCCCAGTGTTCAATTAGCTGCCTGCCCGTCGCGCTCATACACAGGCACACACACTAGCATTTGCTGGCACATGGAATTTCTCTCCTGTCGGTGAACACCGGTCAGAAATGAGAAATTGGCAAGTTTTTCTTATAAAAGCAATGTCTTTGTGGGTCAAGTATACACCTTATTTATCTGATTTAGAGTTGATGAATTTGTACAACCTTTACGATCTCAACCAAAAACATTTTTAAACTTATCTATGCCTAAATCAAAATTGAATATTAAGCAGAACTGAATGAAAAAAGGAATATTTAGATCCTGAAGATGAACATATTGTATTAAAATAAATATTTTTCTAAAAGTAAAATTCGATCTGTGCATGATGCAAAGCTCTGTGACAACTTATCACAAGTTTGCTAACACAATTCACTTTCAATATTATCGAATTTAGAATCTAAGTTTTTAGCATTCTTTTGAAGCAGCATCACTGATTACGGTGCAAGTGATTTTCTCGCTCTCATTTTGCCGCTGACAGCGAGAGCGTACTCACACTCATTCATTATTTTTCTTTTATTTATTCATAAATGCATTTTTGCCCCTGCTTTTTTCAGCGGCTCAAGTGTTTTAATTTTAGAAAGCTCTGCTCCCTATTTTCTTCTGTTTTCCCGTAATATTTATGCAACATGCTATGTTCTATTTTTCTCTGCGCGAAAGAGAGCGTGGCATCTTGTTATTTTTTTTTTTCATTTCGGATTGCGTGGGAGAAGCGTCAAGTTCCAAGTTCGATTCCCTAATTTTATTTGGTTCACAGATGGAAAGTTGATTTTTAAAAATGGAGTGAGTCATAATGACTATAAATAGGCAAATTTATATTGTCTAAAGTTGATGGTTAATGATTATTGATTGCTGACGTAGACGACGTTGGCATTTGTTGAATATCAATTGGTTTTCCCCGATGACGAACGTTTTTGAGTCTATGATTTATTGGACGAATGCAAGCCGCTCTCTTTTGCTTTTGGTTCACCCCACTCTCTCTTAAGCTATCCCCTCTTCTCTTTTTTCTTTGATAAGCCCGCATATGCTTATGTGTGTGTGGTGAGGTCAGCGCATCAATTATGCTAATTTCTTGTCTTTTTCTTTGATAAAATCGGCAAGAAATATTAAGGGGGTAAGGAGGGGCAAGCCAGACGGCGGCGCCCGAGATTTTTGGCAAATCAAACTAGTCAGCTGTCCCTTTTGCTCATAATTAAGCAATGAGAACCAGTGAAAGTATGTCGGCCGCTAATTGGCAGCTTGAATAATTGCACACCGATAAATAAAATAGTGGCTTCCTCTTTCCTCTCAAGACAAAAGGGCGTCGCACTGCACTTACACACACACATAGACCGCTCTCCCTTTCAACTTGCACCTCTTTCTTTATCTAACGGTTTTTGTACCGATTTTGAGCCACTTGCAACGTCAACAATTTTCACAACATTTCACATTTACAATGCAGTCTTTCTTTTTCCTTCTTCTTTTCTTCTTGTTGGAAACGCATCCGCCATTTGCAAGCCACTTGTGTATGTGGTTGCCGGAGTATTCTATGTATGTGCGCGTGGCGTTGTCGCGACGCCAAAATTTTCTTTACTTTTCTCGATTTACATTCGTGTTAACCAAACCAAACCTTACTTGCAACTTTTAAACTTTTCTTTTCTAACTATCTTAAGCCTTGCGTCTACGGACTTACACTTTTTCGTTAGTGGGAAAATTGAAACATTTACAACCAGAGTGACCGTTGTGATATTTTGTAATAACCATTCCCTTCATAAAATGACCATAAATATAGACATTTAGCAATGACTCAAACCAGACAAAATAAATATGGTACTCTTTAAATTTGTTTTGTGACATCATTCAACTCGTCGATTCTAAATGTGCTTTTGTGTTTTATTTAAAAGTATACCTTTTATTAAGCAATATTAAAATGTGTTATTTATACTTTTTGTTTATTGTTGATAAAGTTTGAAATTTAACGAATGTAAGGGTCAATATGCGCCTTGGCATTTTGTCGCGATCGCGGCATGGTCTCACCATTGTCTTATTTTCCTAACGTTGACGGAATATTTGTATTTCTTCGTAGTTAATAAAATTTCATATATTTTCCTGACAACCATGGTCTCGATTGGCAAGTCCATAGTTTTGCTTCTGTCATTAGCAACATTTTCGTATTCCTTATACGTTGTTGGACAACTTATGTTGTTCCTTTCGACTCCTCGTTCAATTTCGAGGGCTCACACCTGGATCTTCAATTTATTGGACAATAAGTCGCGCCTGGAGACCGCCTATGGACCCGTAGTGTTTGACACTCTTTACCTAATCGGTTTCATCTTTCAACACAGCTTCCTTAAGTCAGCTTTGGTCAAGAAACTGCTCTCTAGTTTGGGTTTGTCAGGGGCAGAGCGAACTATTTATAGCCTGACGTCATCAATTTGTTTACATGTTTGTACATCCCCGATTTGGACAAAAATAGATATTAACTATGTTTTTAAATATTTTAGTATTTGATTTTAAACTGGCTGCCCGCTCAATCAATTGTTCTGTGGCAAATCGATTTGGACGATAGTACATCCCTTTGGTGGACCTTTGTTATTACCCATGGAATCTGTTGGGTGGTGATCTTTGGTGGCAGCCTGGTGATGGATCTACCGGAGCTTTTAGGTGTTAAGCAAGCCTATTATGACCTAAAGGCTTATGGACCGCCTATCAACTACAAATCCGGGGAATTGCGCAATCTGTATGCTCATGTAAGACATCCCTCTTTTGTGGGCCTATCAGTCATCCTATTCGCCACCAATGTAATGAGTGTAGATCGCCTGATTATGGCCCTGCTACTAACAACCTACATGTACCTGGCCTGGTCTACAGATCACAAAGATGTGGCCTACCAAAAGATCCAGCTGGAACGAAAGAAACTCGAACTAAAGGCCCAGTAAATTTAATCTCCATAATGTTCTCACTAAAAATAAGTTTTAAGGTTTTGTATTAAATTATAATTTTCTAACACAAACAAATGAAGTGTTAATTTTTCGTCAACGTAAAAAATAAATAAACTAAATATCGTTGAAAAACGAACTTTAATATGAAATGAAAGTATACGTATACAAATACGAAAGTAATCAGTTCACTGTCAGATTGTATATTTATGTATTACTCACCACTATATTTATTTAAATATTAAAAATCATAAATATTAACTCATTCTCACAATAGATGGATCAAAGGGCTGACCTTTAAATGGGGAACCTTCAGCATCCCAGGCACTTCTTAAACGATCTAAGGTTTTATTTTGTTCGGGGTTCGAGGACTGAATTTCACTTTGTGCCTTATCTGCTGCCAGTTGCTGGAACCTGAGTTTTTCAATTGTGGCTTGTGTATCCTCCGGTAATTCGTCAATATATCGCTCGCAATCTATCTTCTTGGCATCTATTTCTGGATCGCCTTCAAAGAGTCGTTCCCACCAGAGCTCTTTGGACTTGTCTAGGGAACATTTGTAAAATTAATTTTACAATTTTCAAATACCTTTATGTTGTTACGAACCACAACTTATGATTAACCGGTTTTGGTCTATAGTCCACACCGCCTCGTTGTGTTTGATACGCTGACTCAGGTTTCCCTCGAGGATTATTATCTGGGTATTTAGCTTACTGCTTACTTTGATTTGTTGGGCTTTGATTAGAATGTTAAGCTTCTTTGCCGCTTGAAGGTCCTTAGGTAGCCGAACTTGCAACTCCACATCTTTGAGGGTCTGTGACCAGCAATGGTTTTCGAACACAGCTCCATTTTTATAGTCGCTGGCGGAGAATGTTTGCTCATCTATTGTTTTTTGTGGTTGGGGATTCTCGTTGAGAATTGTATCTTTCGTACTTATCAGATCTTCACTTTCTATGGTTACTTCTTCGATGGCGGGCGGAGCAACTGCACCATCGTCTCCTGTGGCACCATCTTCAGCAGTCATCGTTTGAAGCAAACAATCCGGATCATAGCGCTGCATGGCTCCATATAGAATCTGATCTCTCATGCCCTTAGGGAATCCTATTTTATCCGATTCATCGCGTTTTGTGTGATAAAAATCAGTACTGAAATGAAATCATTTTTAATAAGTAGGTAAATTTGTTTTACAAATTTTTACTTTCGCCGAAGGAAGCCGAAAATTGTGTCCAGGAATCCGGTGATTGACTTCCGGTTCTGCAGAATTTCCATTAGCATAGCATCGTTTCGCTGGAAATCCATTTTGCAGAAATAGTTCGTAGTTGCGAACAAAACAAATGCAAGCCGGTCAGCTGTTTCGCTTACCTATCGATAACTAAACAAAAAGCTATAAAATGAGAAGTTTGTTAAAGTTGACAGCTCTGACACAAAACTTGTTATCGGTAGCAATCGCACGGCTTTGTATTTCTATTCCTAAATTACTTATTATTTTAAATATATAGCTTCAAAATGATCGGTAGATTGTCTTTTTGGTATAAAGACAATGTTTCAAACGAAGTGGACTGTGTGGCGTGCCGATTGGTGAGTGGAATGGGTCTCCTTGGAATCGGTGCATTCCTTTTGGCGCAAGCGAAGAAACGGCCAAAGCCTCTGGAAAGCTACACTATGAAAGGCTTGGCAGCAGGTAAGCCTTTTGACTTATTCATTAAAATCCGGTTTTTTTATTTTTTCTTTTCCCCCGCCCACAGCCGTTGGTGTTATAGGCGTCGCCCGCTTGGCAGATGCGAATTTTCTAAAGGCGACGGTCGAGGAATCAAAGGAACAGGAAACCAAGACTTTGAAGGCTACCAGTGATCACCAGTTCTTTGCTAGACGTTAATAAAGTGGTTTTAAATTGTAAATTCATAATATATTTTTTCATAGAGCCTATACAATTATTTGACAAGACTATTTATTAGTATTACCTTTCTAAAACCATTAAATATACATAGAAGTGTAAATGTCTACATATTGTTGTTAGTTGGCTTTTAGTTGAATCTTTCAAATAATTATTGACCACTAGGGACTTCGAGAATCTTAGTTTAAAGATTGGAAAAATAATCAATAAATTATATGGGCCCCTTAATATTGCTTCGCTCCAAAACCATTAAATTCTTGCATTTTAATTGCATTACATCTATAACCTAGATATAAATATTTGTTCTCTTTGTTATAGCTTGAAACATGTATGCGTATAAGGATACTTGGCTTTGTTCTGTTGATTTTTATGAATATTTCTAAACGATATCTGTAAGAAGTCTTCTTGACTATAAAATGTTGATCATCATAGTTTCATAAGAAGCTTCAATTATACAAATTGATACATAGGCCCCAATAATCTTATTGATTTCTTTTCCGTGCTAATTAAAATCTAGCGTCCCACCTTGCCCAACTTGGTGTCAGTCTTTGGATTGGCTGTGATGTTTTGAACTGCAACAATTGTCTCGTTGATGTGCGTCTGGAGTTCGCGAAGGCTTTGAATCTGAAGAAGGCGTAGAATGCGCATGGGCAAATCAAGGTCGCGATCGTTGGATGAGACCACATCGTTACCCTTGTCGAAAGGGAAAGGAGTCCCTATGATCGGCTTCCGGCCTTTGGCCTCAGGCGAAAGACGTTCGTGCACAATCCGGGCAACTGCCTCCAGCTGCAGAAGGTGGTTTGGATGATGCGGGACATTCAGTTTGCTGGCCAGCAGTCGTACAGCATCTACGAACGCTTTTTCCTGAACTGGTAGAGAAACGAGAATTAATTATCCATAGTTCATTCATTTCGCTTACAATTCATTTGTTTCGTAGCAATTAATGTTTTTAGTTTCAACAGATAAAACTAGAACGAATTTAAAATAATAAGCCCTTACCATTAATCTTTCCTTCGAAAATAGATTGAACCTTCTGGTGGACCTGTTTGCCATTGCTTTGGGGTAAACCCTGTTTGCTATTGATGGAGGTAAACTGTTCGGGGTCATCCAGAAACTCGAGGCGCACGGCGTGACTGAGGATCCACGCCAGCTGCTCCTGTTGGGTCTCCAGAGGCGGCATGTTGAGATCCGCACAGTACTTCATGTAGCCCTCTTCCCATAACGTGGGATTGTCTATATTGCGCAGGTTTTCTCTATCCTCTATGGTGTAAAGCCGGATTTTCTGGTCCTCCACCCAGAGGATTGTGCTGGCGAATTCCTTGCGATCTGCGAGATTTAACATTGATTGCTGTTCCGAATACTTAATTATAGCACTTACTGGTAAGCGCCACATCGCTGGGTGTGGGATGACCTAAAGCTTCTAGTTTCAGCTTGAGCATGGTCTTTTATACTTTAATACTTTTAATACAAAAATCGATACGCTAAATAGCAAAACCGAACAGCACAGCCGGTAATGCTTCTTCTTGTCGCCCGGATGTATTGTTAGAGATGGTACTGCTGATTTTAGGAAACAGAAGTCGGACTGCCAACTTGCTTCTATACCAGTTTTTTTGTAGCTAAGTATAATTTAAATTTAAAGGAAAGTAACGATATATATATTTTTTAATTTTGCCATGTTTTCCTTTTTAATATAAAGAGAATTCGTAAAATATGGGAACCAGTTAACTAAATACTTGATTTAGTGATCTTGCTCTAATAATTGTACAAATTTAGCAAAATGTAACCTTTTTTTTTGTGTGAAATATCCAATTAGGTTTTGTCGTTTTACCAACTGAAGGAACTGAAGGAAGGAAGGAAACTCCTTAAATAATGATTTTTTTAAATATAAAATAATATCAAATCTTACTCTCCCAAGTTTATCAAAGATCCACAATGGGGTTCTACTAGTCATCACAAAAATATAATTGAAATGGAAAAAAAACAGGATGTATGCACATCTATCACATTGTTGAAATTAGAAATGATGTTGATGTAATTTCGAAAAAGTTCATAACTTTTAAACATTATTCCCACCATGCATATGCGATAAGTAACGACAAAGACAAAGGCTGTATTGTATATCATATATGTATGTATATTAATTAAATAATTAAATTAAGTTTGAGGGACATACATTTACATCCTAGCAAATTATAGACTAATAACTACACGTTATATATCGAGATGCTGAGTTATAATATTTGTTTGCAAACAACTACACGAATACACGTATCAACAGCAGCACTTTTCTATTATCTCTTAACGTCTTGCAGTTCCTCTTGATCTATGTAGGCAATCGCTCCCGCAATACAGGAGGATCACTAGAACTAGAATCTAGAGACAGACAAGACAGTTCATGTTCCTTCTCTCTTATGTAGCACGTTAATTATATGTGAGAAAGTTTAGTATACAAATTGGTGCACCCACCCATATATGGTTTTGCATTTATGGTTTATTGGTTTCCTAACGCCAAGCATTTTGGGTGTGGGTGTGTGTTATTAGTCGTTTTGCGTGCTTCTCTACAGCTTTAGTTCGATTTGCTTCGCTTCGCTTTGTGTTTTATAGCATTTATGGTTGTGTTTTGTTTTGTTTTTTCTTGGTTTTATTTATTTAATATTTTAAATTAAGATTAAGATAAAAACCTAATTATTTATCTTGTCATTTACGCCTTAAGTAAGTCCGATATAAAATAAAATGAAGCAGCAGCACTTCCAGCAAATAATACAGTTAACATAAAATTACAGCATTAGGGTGTTTCATTTTTCGATTTTTCAATTTTTTTTTGTTTTATATTCAGTATGTATGTATATGTTATGTATATTTATATATTTATATCACCTAATTTGATTTTAATTTAAATTGTTTGTTTGCCATCATCTGTCAGTTTGTTTGTTTGTTTCGTTTAATTTCGTTTCGTTTCCCCTCCGATTTATGCGATTAAAACTAAGAAATTGGAATTTTTGCAGACCATCCACACACAACATACACATAAACATAATACGAAATGCAGTGCTGCCACTTACATGTGCCTTATAACATTGCGTAAAAACAAAAATACAGTGAAATTTACATAATAGTTAAGTATGTACAATTGTTTTAATCCACTCCTAATCTCCTCCTCAATTTTTCTGCGTTGCCCTGTCCACATAAAATCCATTAAACTGCAATACATATACTCGTGTATTGGGCTCGCACACAGTGTTGGTTGAGTTTCTTTAACTTATTTTTTTTTTTAATATTTCCGTATGATCTTTGCTTTTCAGTTTGTTCAGTTTATGAGTTCCTATGCTGCACATTGTGGTAATATGTAGGTATTAGTAAGTGGTAGAATTTAAAAACTATTCTCTATATATTTATATATCAATGTCTATATGTACGTATGTATGCACTCCCTTTTTACATACACAATTCATTCTCATGTACTTTAATGTTAATTTATGCATTTATTTATATATATATTTAATATACGATAAACCATAGCGTGCGTATGCATATGTATGTGTTAGTTATTCTTCATCCTTTCTCGTCCCTTCATCTTTTTTTTTGTTTATTAAATTTAATACAATAAGTATGCTGTGTGCTTAAATTTCGATCTTCCCTTCTTTATCTTCCGCATCATAATGTTCGTCACAATAATAATTCCCGATCGGATCTTTCGATCGGTCAGTATCAGTTGATCTGTTCTAGCTTTCGCCCGGAACAGTTTCCGTCTCGTATTATCATAATTTTGCTGTTGCAATTGCTTAATGCTTAGGGTTCAGTTATCATATTTACTATTTTTAGATTTGAGTGAAAAAATATACAGTTGTTATTGTATTGACTGTTACAGTGATGGATAGGTGAGCCATTCCATCGTAGAGACATTGCAGGCGTCGCTTCCGCTCCTGCTGCTGTTGAGTTCCCGTTTACGTATCCTTGGAGCTCATACACCGCCTTCTCCCCCGTCGTGACTCTACATCCTAGGCGCCATTTAAGTAAATTTACATGCATTCTTTACACCGATTCAGGGATCATTTCCTGATCTTGCACCTCGGAGTTGCTCCTCGGCCCGTTGTTCTTCCTTCCAACTCCAGCTTAGTCGACTGCCCCTCGGGGGGTACGTGGCCAGTAGTAGGACGCTGGCATCATTGTTGTATACTACGCAACGGCTGTCGTTGTTCCTGCATTGGTTGGCGGCGGTGCCGCTGGTTGTGCAACTGCAGCTCCGGCAGACACATTCGTAGACGACGTGGGTGGTGCAACGGAAGCGACTGCCGCAGCTGCTGCTGCCGCTGCACTGGCATTGCTTAAGGCCGCAGCAGCCGCCGCCGCTGCAGCGACTTTGCTCACCTGCTGCTGTTCGCTGGCCAATGAAGGCGGATGTTGCACTTGGAGTTGCTCCTGACGTGGCAGCCACCGTAAGCGTCGATTGGCTGCTAATTGCACTGCTGCTATGACTACTATTGGTGGTGCTGTTGTTCGTCTGGTTACTACTGGCCGTGCCGCAGCTATTGCTGTTGGTGCTGCTGTTACTCACGTCGTTAAACGTCGCTGCTGGTGGCAACTGCTGGCTACTGTTGCTGTTCTCATCGTTTACCACTGCTGTGCTGGTTGCTGTTGCAGATTTCGCTTCAGTTGAACTTGTTTCCGCCGATGTAGACTCCGTTTTCACTGCCGTACCTCCTCCTACACTAACAGCTTGCTTCTCTGGCGCACCAGGACGCAGCTGTTGCTGCTGGCGCTGCTGTAGCAGGCGAAACTCCACAGAGTGTATGGGCCCTGTTCCTCTCGATACTTGGTAAAGCACTCTTGAAATAATCAAAGCCACCTGCTGATCCAAGATGTGCGACATAACCAGGCCAAGCAGCCGCTGTTCTTGCTGCATGAAGAGTGACCTGTTGTCCGGATGTTTGGCCAGATGGAGCAGGGTGCCGGCTGCTCGCCGCAGCATGTCGAGACTAGTGCCCATCGAGTCGGGGTTTTCACGCAGGTAGTTAATTCCGTGCTGGTTCGCCACGCCCAGAGCTGTCTGCTCAGCCTGTTCGATGAAAGCCACCAGATAGGATATACACGGGGACTGAAGAGCCACAGTACGAGCCATGGCGCTGTCGGCGGCGGCAAGGTAATGCAGCAGATTCACTGAGAACTCTCGAAGCACCTGATCTTCGTTACGGCACAGATGTCGGGTAAGAACGGCGCAAAGCTTCTCCAGTCGTGAGAATGGGGGAGTGGCAATAACCAGATCCACGTTGGCATCCGTTACGCACAGCTTGCAGAGCGCCTCGAGAGCCAGGCGCTGTGGCGAAAGTGCCGTGTTTGGTCCACACGATGGGAACGGATCCTGCCCGTGTGCGCTCGGACATACGGCCCAATGAAGCAGACCATCAATCAAGGGCCGGGCAATGAGCTCATCGTACCGCGACAACTCCAAATGCCCGGCTATGTTAGCCATGGCGACCAGCATGTTTTCGCGAATTGTGATCAGGTAGTCCCACCACCATTCACGCTCCCCTTGCAGTGAGCTGCATGAATCACTGAAGTCTGTATCCTCCTCGCGATCGTAGTTCCTCGTCTTCGGAGTGCGACGCAGGTGCTCGTGGTTTAGGAGTAGCAGTCGTCCTAGTACCGCCAAGAACCTGGTTGACTTGGCCAACACCGTCTCGTTGCCGGGCACGAATGTCAGGTTGCGGAAGATGTTGGAAAGGGCAATGCAGCGACGCGCTAACGAATCTTGACTCTCATTGACCAGATGTAGGGACGCTTCGTCACGTGTGTAGCACTCATCCTCAAAGCTAGAGTCACGTCTTCGCTGAAGCACTTGCGCTACATCTTTGGCTGTTGCCCGGGGATCGAAACCGGCGGGGGTTGATGAGCTGGGTGCCACACCATTGGTCAGACGTTGCTGGGGTGCTTCGATATCCATATCAATGGGGCGACAATCGCTGTCCACAGTTCCAGGCTCTTTTTTGACTTCGGCATTTGGTTGGGCAAATTCATCATTCGTCAATTTGGATTTTTTACCCTCGGCATGCGCACCACTGCTACTGCTTCCGCCGCTGACCAGCCGCCTCTTTTTATTAAACGTCTGCTCCCCTGAACTATTTTCTTCCTGCTTTATATCCGGCTTCCTTGTTGTGGTCGCCAACTCCGTCCGCGTTTTCGTCTTCTTTTCAGAGCGAACGTAGCGTGCAAATGGAATGTTTACAATCTCTGACTTGAAGACGTCAATAATGCCATCGAGAGGATCAGGTTCAGTGAAACCATATGTCCAGGCATCGCTGCCGACGGGTTCCAGCTGTTCGTACAGGCGGTTAGTGTCAATGTCCCACGCCTTTTGGCGCTCATCCACGAAAATGTCGTTCTCGGCTGCCTGGATGCGCACTGGCACACCCTTTCGCGTGACCATCGTGTAGTTGGGTGTGAAAGAGAGAAGCAGTGAACGCTCCTCAGGATTGGGCTGTACTCGCACCTGGCCCAAATCTATGCCCTCATCGGCGTCTTCAGAGTCGCTACCTGCTCCAACCTTTCCACTGCGATCCATATTTTCGTAGTGTCGCCTACGGTTGTAACTGCTGATGCTGCGCACGCATCGGGACTGACGTCCGCTGGACCGAAGCTTTTCGCACATTACAGTGCCGCTGTCCGCATCGTCATCCACTGTCTCTTCAGCTAGCAGCAAAGATTGCTCCTCGTTTTCCCGTTCATCGAACATCTCAGCGAGATTCTTCTGAAAGTGTTCCAGCAGCAGAGTCAGCAGGCCGGGCAGGTTTGAAATGCCAAAGAATTGCACTGTAGAATCATCGAACAGTAGCACATTCAGCACATCTAGCGCCCAGGTGCACTCGGTTAACAGACCGGATCGCATGGCCATAAATATTCGCCATGGATCGACTGGGCATACGTCTGCCTTCGTAAGCCGTTTTCTTCGATACAACACGGGTGTAGTGGATTCGACGCTATCGTGCGGAAAGATCAGCTCCTTCTTCACTAGCTGTGCTCCGCCACCGGGCATTCCTGGCGGGCCATATCCACCGGGTGCTGTCTGATTGGGTGGTATCTGGTGCGGATGAGGGTGCTGCGGATGCTGATGAGGATGCGGATGTTGATGTGGGGGAGGCTGCTGTTGTAAGGGCTGCTGCTGCATGACCTGGCCCGGCATCGGTGGCTGCTTCTGGGACATCATACCGCTAGGAGGCACCTGTCCCACTTGCGGACCCACACCTTGTTGCGGTGGCGGTGCCATGGCATAAGGCGGCTTAACCATTCCCCCGGGTCCCACTTGTGGCAGTCCTGGCGATGGAACGCCGCCATGCGAGGTCTGTTGCGGTGGTGGTTGCTGAACACCACCTTGTTGTTGCGATTGTTGCTGCTGCGGCGGCATTCCGGGCATCCTTTGCTGCTGACCTGGTCCGGAGGGCGGACGCAGTGGTGAACCAGGTGGTTGTATTCCTGACTGCGGAGTTTGTCCAGCGTTCATCTGTGCCCACTGAGGCGGCGTCTGTGGCGGTTGCTGTCCAGGAGGGCCAGCCACCTGCTGATACGGCTGTTGCTGCTGTTGTTGTTGAGGTTGTTGTTGCTGCTGAGGTGGCGGAGGGGGACCCTGCTGCGGCGGGTAACGGTGCTGATCCCATTGGCCCACTCCTGCCGGCTGCTGTATGGGAGGCCCGTGTGGTGCTCCTGGTGGTGGCGCTGCACCACGTGGTGGTGCACCACCCCAACTTTGTGGAGCAGGCGATGTTGGGTATTGTGGCCGATACTGCTGAGTACCGCCTTGCCAAGCACCTGGTTAGATACATTATTAGTAACCATTTGCTGTACGCTCAGTGCTCGATGACTTACCATAAATCTGGGGCCGAGCATTATAGCCTGGATAGGGCTGTGAGTCTTTAATGAAATCAGGATGCCTCCGTGGCTGTGGACTCTGTAAAAGTTAAAACGCATTTATCGTTAATAAAAAGCAATCGTTAAGTTATAAAGACGATCGACTTACTTGATCTGGTGGTGGTTGATAGTAGTCCTGCTGAGTGGGCCTGCCCGTGGGATAAGAGCCGCTGGGCGGTGCTCCAGGAGCTCCGCCGGTAGGCGGTCCACCCGCAACCGACTGAGCTGGCGGTTGGGGACCACCTGGCGGTGGCTGACTGTAGGGTCGGCTGCCGTAAGGGCCGTATTGATTGGCACCAGTTGGAGGACTGTGAAATAGACGAAAGAAACAAGAAGTTAGTACTTTTTCTCAGTACCAAGCTACAGCATCAAATCTCAGGTCCAGTGAGTGAGTTTTTATCAGGCAGCTACAGTACAGAGAGTGGTGAGTGTATAGTGAAGTAAGTGTCTGGATGTCGATGTGTTTGGGGGTATGATGAGGGTTAATTGGTGCACTCACGCTTCCCCCTCCGGCCCATAGGGAGGGTACATGTTGCGGTTCTGCGGCGGATATTGTCCTGGACCCTGTCCAAATGGCTGGCCGGGTGGCCCAGTGGCGTTGTACTGGTCGCTCGTGCCGTACTGCCCGTAAGCTCCGGGCTGTGATGGATAAGGTGAGCCTGCAAAAATGATCCACAAAAAAAGTATGATAAGTTGGATTCTAAGAAAACTGAGAATTGCTTGCTCAATACAAATATTAAAACGTTAACGAAAAGACGGCCTCTAAAATATCAAACATCCGTCTGAAACTAAGAAGATGAAAAGAAAATGGCATACAATTTGAAAAACGAAATAAATTAAAGGTAGTGTTAAGTAAAATAAAAGTACTTAAATCAAATAGAAGTTAGGTTTGTCCAAGAACAAATTTAGAAGAAGGGTGTTCAGTATAGAAATACCAATAAAATAATTTTAAAAAGGTGCTTAAAATTAAAAGAACAATCATAATATAGTAGAGTAGATTATATATAAGTTTTAAATGCATTAAACTAGCCATGCAAACATTAAAAACTAGTTAGAATATTTACAATCAATAGTTAAACTTAATCCTAATAGTAAGCAACAGATAGACGAACAAAAACGATGGCACATGAATGGAAAATGTGAAAAATAGGATAAAGAAAGAGATGAGGGAGCAAAATAAAACATGAGTATACCTGGCGTTCTAGACACAGGCGTTGGGTAGCCGGAGCCACCTGGCGGATAAGGTGCTCCGGCGGCTGGGCGCACATGCTGCTGAGGTGACGGCGGCACCTGACCAGGCCCATGTTGCTGTGGTGCTGGTGGTGGCCCACCGCCCACCGACGGTGGTTGCTGCTGCCCCTGCTGCTGTGGCGGTGGTGGACCCGGCAGTCCAGGATGCTGTGGATGCTGCTGTTGCTGTTGGCCAGCCGCCTGTTGGACTGCGGTGTGCGGTGAATGTGGGGGCGGTGGATGTGGTTGTGGGCCACCGCCTACAGCAGCAACAGCTCCGGCACCACCGGATCCAGCACCTGAACCTGGGCCAGGACCGGCTCCCGAACCCGGGCCACCGGCAGCAATGGGATCCTCGAAGGGATTGCTCACGCTTATATTATCGCCGGCGGCAACAGCTGCGGCAGCGCCTGAGGGGCGGCAAGCGACGATTTGGATGATTTGGTTTGGATGAATCGAAATGAATGAGTCAATGAATCACACAAATGAATTGTTTTTGTTGTTGTTGTTTTGGTGGTGGTGGAGATACATGGAAGCATCGTTGTTGTGATGGTGGTTGGTGGTGGTGGTGGTGGTTGTGGTTGTGGAGTTATATATTTTAGTAGTGCGCCCACACAAACGTTACAAAAACATAAAAATGAATAAACAAAATACACACATCAAATTAATAATTATTGATCAACATAAACATTTAAAGTCGTATATGGTACTTAAATACACGTATATATATGTACAGAAAGTTGGGTATTAGGCGAAATACGTTCGAGAAGAAGCATATCATCTATCAGATAACAATTTAACATTAATCAAAAACAAAGATACCAAACACAAAATGTTTACCACAAAATTAAATCAACATAGTATGTATCATAGTGGCAAGATGAGTAGTAACTCTTGTAACCAGAGTACAAATCGACATAGCCGCCCTTTTACTATATCTAAACTGTTGATAAACATACATTTAATCAACTCTTATAGTGACTCTAACTTAATTAATATAAGCGGACAGCTATGTAATTTGTACAGTGTTAATATTAAATGATCTTATGCCATTATAAATAAAATAAATCAAAGAAACATTTAAACTGATTCTTACCGGGATGAGGAGTCTGCGGGTTGTTCTGGGAGGGCGGTCGCTGCATCTGACCAGCAGCCGCATAATCAGGCTGCGGACCGCTGGCTCCCGGGTATGGACTGCCACCCGGATAGCCGGGATAGCCGTCGATCGCCGCATTTGGAGCGGAGCCTGGCGGGGCCGGGAACGAGTCCTGAGAGTTCGACGAGCCTGTGGAGTTTGTAGTTCCAGCATCCAAATGTCCACCACCGATTGGTTGCAAATTGTTTGTAGATTCGTTTTTTTCGTTGTCGTTTTCGAAATTGAAAGATTGAGCGAGGAAAAAGTGGTGAAAAAAGTTGTCAACGCGTAAATCGGGAAGTGCGCCAAAACATAAAAGAAAAAAACGAAAATAAAATTTAAATTAAGCATCGGGTGTGAAATGAAAATGGTGGGATTGGAAGCACACGCTGCACTTGCTAAACACTTACCTGGCGAAGGAACCGACGCAGCCTTGGCCGTCTTCTTCTTGCTACCCGCCTCCACTTGCTGAATGATGGGCAGAGGATCGATGTCGCCGCGGTCAAAGTGGCACTCAAAGGTCAGTAGGTTCTTGGTGTAGTGTTTTCGCAGCGTGTATGCCGCACTGCTACTCGCACCGATGCCTAGGAGTCCAGCAATATCTTTCCAGGTCTTACTCTTGGTCACCTGACGGAGGGAGAGAATCGCATCGATTTTAGTTAAGAGACTACGGTATAGGCCTCCAAAATTCATGACTCAAGTGTCGATCGAATAAAAGAGAATCAAAAGGTTGCGAGCACAAACAGATTTTGTGTGGATGCATTTTTTTTTTTTTTTGTTGTGGTTTGAGCAAACATACTAAGGTAATCAAAGAACTACGTACAAAATTTGGACAAATAAGGATAGGATAAGGGAACTACTAAAGATTAAGGAGTAGCACACGCTCAATAAAGAGTTCCAATTAAAACCAATCAATAAAATAATAATAGATTGCATAATTTCTTGTTAAAATAATTCAGCATTTAGATTTAAAATAAAGCATAAGACTTTAAAAATTAATATGCCAAATTAAAAGGTTAAAAAACAGGACAAGCTGAGAAAAAGATAGCAATCAATAATTCAAATCCTTGATAATCTATTGATAGATGCTTTCGATGAGTTTTTGAATTTCAGGCTTCAGCTAATAATTCTCTATCAAAGTGTAAAAACCGAAAACGTGGTATGCATATTTTAATTGTAATTTTAGCAAAGAAATAGGTCTTTAACCTTTTTGAAATTGAAGTAATAAATGTGAGGGCATGCCTGATACATATTAAGGTATTTGAGATCAAAAAATATTTTTAGGTAAGACCAAGTTGTGCTTGGATTCGGCTTAGAACATGCAATCTAGGGGAAAACCAAGGCTGTACAACATTTGCATTGGCTTTTTCCTAAGGAAAGCTTGCCCATGGAAAGCTAAGCTATACTCAGGATGCAGCTATAGTTTTGGACACATGGATCGGAGGCTGATGCTGGGTCAAAAGGTTGGTACATAAGTAGCTGGGTGGCTTGACTTTAGTTTGCTGTAGCCGAATCACAATATTGATTGTTTCTATTTATGTGAATATTTCTTTAATTTGGATATGGTTTGGTTTTGGTTCGTGTTAACTACGTTGGTGGTGTTTTGGTTTGGTTTGGTTGATTTGGTTTTGCTAGTAGTAAATCTAAAAAGAAGTTAGTAAAAGGAGTTACTACGGCACCTTGCATACCTCGACGAATCCGCCACGTTCTTTTACATAAATATATAACCTATATAAATCGAGTGGCTGTTTTGAGATGGTGGGGCAGGCTGTGATCGGCGTGCGCCTTTCCTCCATGAACGCCCGCAGCTTATCCAGCCAGCCGCGTCGATCCGGATTGTCGTCCATCTCGTACAGCTTACACAGCGAGTCTGATTTCTTGGTCGTGGTGATGGTGCTGCGGAATGGCTCCTGCGGCACCGGAACATGATTGAACACCTGCTGTACAAATATAAATATAGATAGTCAATAAGAAACTTTAGTTTAAAAATGAATTTTTACTTACCGGGCTACCAGCCGGACGTGGCCAATTGGGAGGCGAACTCATGTCATATTCCTCGCCGGGGCCACCGCCTCCTGGATGCATCACAACTGGATGAGGCGACGTGCTCGGCGGGGCTAAGTGACTTTGGCTATAGGGATCATTCTTGCGCGACTTTGGTGTGGTGCATTGTGGATCTTCGCCGGATGCTATATAAAATAAAAATCAAATCAGTCGATAATCTTTCGAAGGCGTACAACCCATTTCTACTCACCCGCTGATGCATTCGAGAGCGTGCTCTGCTGACTGACTTCGTCCATTGGAGTTCCATCCGGTCCGGTAGTAACCACCGCAGTGACCGCATGCATTCCTCCGGCTCCCGTTGGGCCCGAAGAGCTGATCCCGTTGTCTTGCGATATATGCTCGGGGCCCCCGCTTTCGGGTCCGCCGCCGGGGCCTTGTCCCTGCCCCTGGGGCTGACCACCCTGGAGCATCTGCGATTGCGGGGGTGTGCTAGTAGGCGGACCCATATTGGTGGGTCCGTGCGGAGGTCCCATGTGGTGGGGTGGGCCCATCGGCATACCTGGATGCATTCCGGTCGGCCCGTTGCCGTAACCCTGTGGACCTTGTGGTGGTGTCGGACTTCCTCCATAACCGCCCTTATGCTGTAAATGCTGCTTCAGATAGTTCAGTGGACGAGGTGATCCACTACCCTGTGGAGGTGGAGGTCCGCCCACTACTGGCGGTGGTGGTGTGCCCTTGCCCTGCACATGATTCCCAACCATAGCACCACCGGGAGCTCCGCCAGGTACGGCTTGCTGCTGTGTTGGCGGCACCCACGGATATGGCGGATATTGGCCAGTGTGGTTGGGCATGGCCCTACCTGGATAACCGCCAGCTTGGGCCCCTGAGGGCATGCTGTTGGCACCACCGGCTCCTGCTTGGCTTGTGGGTGGCGGTGGTGGTCCGGTGGCGTAAGCGCCAGGCGGATACTGTGGGCGTGGCGGGTAGTTGCCTGGAAATAAGCCAACGATTAGTTGTGTTTCAGATAGACGGATAGCTGCCATCTTATGAACAAATCATAAGTTGAAAAAAACTTTAGGATATTAACTAGCCTTTTTTAGTTTTGCATTTAAAAAAAATAATGTAAATTACCTGGTGGATATTGCTGTGGTTGCTGCGGCGGATATCCTTGGGCACCGGGACTCTGTCCCGGTCCGCCCATCTTGTAGCCTCCGTGCATGTGCGGCGGCATCGGATAGCCTCCTCCTGCCGCTCCCTGCGGTGGTGGTGGGGGCGTGGCCATGTTGTTCATGCCCTGGTTGGGCGGCGGACCCGGTGGCGGCGTCTGCTGTGGCGAATTGCTCGCCGAAGAGGCTGAATTCGATGCTTGTTGCTGTTGAGATTGCTGCTGCTGGGGCGGACCTCCTGGCATTCCCGGATGTGGTGGCATCGGCGGTGGGCCTCCCGCTCCAACCGGCGGCTGCTGCATGGGCCCGCCGCTGCTCGACTGGTTGCTCGCTGGACGCGAAATTGGATGGTTTTGGGCTGCAAAATAAATGGGTAATTAGACCGATTCGCATCGTGGACAAATCATAACTCAATACTCACCGACTGCCGGGGACATGGAACGCGAACCGGATGAGCCGGTAGGCGAGGGTGTGGGTCTCATCACCTGTTGGGGATTGGGAGTGCCGGGTGGACCAGATCCCATGCCACTGTGCGCCCCGCCGCTGGAGCTGTCGTTGCTGTTCTGTCCAATTAGCTCCTGGAATGGCAAAAGAAAACCGGAACCAGTTCCGCTATTAATGTGCATTCAATCAAGTGCAATGGCAGCAAATGCCGGCCGGCAGGTGGCATTTTTTTTTTGTAGTATTTATTTATTTAAATGAAAGTGATAGCAACTATGAATTAGCCAAGCGGCAACCGCAATTAAGCAACTGCCAACGCACACAGATATGTACGCTAGCATATGACTGAGATTGAGTTTGAGTTGGTAGTAGTAGTAGACCACCGTAAACATATTCATGGCAATCAGATGTTTCGGGTGGGTGTTTTGGGCCCATTCTGATGCCAAATGTTGTTTGCAAACGACGACGATTCCGGGAAGTTGGGGTAAAACACGGCACAGGTCCCCCCGCACGTCCCGCGACCTTTCCTGACATTGCCTAAGGAATTTGCGACTCCTTCACCGTTCCCACTTACCCGTAGCTCACAATTATTATAACCCGGTCAGGGGGGAGTAATCCGAATTCATAAACGCCAAGCTGCTCGAACAATAACAACTCTTAAAACAGTCTGCAGGCACCAGAAACTCGGTGCGATGCGACACGACTTTAACTTTTTGCCGCCTATAACTTATAAGAAAATCAAGAAAAAGCTCCACACAAACAGCCCCACACTCGCACACTCGCATATTGGCACACACATGGCAGCTACAACAACAGCGGCAGCAGACGTGCACATAAAGCTTAAGTCGACAGCAATTCGAAACACTCACACACAGGGCCATGGCAAAAACCCCAGAGGAGAGAGAGAGCTCAGTCGCAACAGGGGCGCACTTAAAAGGGGTGTCAAATAATATATAAAATGTATTATATGTCCAAGAAAAACTATCTTTAACTTGGAAATGGTTTAAAATTAAGATATTTAGATGATAGAATGAATGATTTGGAAAAGGTACAGATAATTTTTAGACCTATAACCGAAAAACCCATTTCTGTACCGATAATAAGAAATATTTTTAATCAAAGTAATTAAAAGTATCTGAGACATGGAAATATTTTAACCAACCAACTCTCAAACCAAATAGCTCTCTAAATATTTAGTTACCCCCTAAAATATATATAAAATAAGCCACTGAACAGACACAGCGGCAGCAGAAAGAAAAATACAACGAACGAACGAACGAGCGAACGCTGTTCGTTTTGGTATCTGAGAAATTAAGTGAAGTGAAATGAAATGTACGACGACGAACTGACGGCACAAGGCGGCGGCATGGGATGGTATGGTATAGTATGGTGTTGTATAGGATGGCGATATGGATGAGGTGCGGGGCGACATAGCGGAGCGGGGCATAAAAGCTATGTGGAACGAACCGAACAACCAAGCAAGCAAGCAACCAACCAACCAACGAACGAACGAGCAAGCAAGCGACAACAGCGTCGGCGACGGACGGCTGCAACTTGAAGCGTTCCAAAGGGGCGGTTGAGAGAGGTTGAGCAGAGGGGGAGCGCTTAGGCGACGGATGGAGGCTACGACTACCCGGGGATCGGGCAAGTGGCTGTGGTAGTTATGGCGCGCTCGAAGCGAACGAAAGGCAACGGGCAACGGCAACGGCAACGATGACAAAGACGTAGATAAGGAACAGAAACATGCACACACAGATACACACCCATACTGTGGCACGTACACTCTAAATGTTGGAATATAATAAAATGAAATAAGCAACGACGACGGCAGCGGCACTGGCAGGCAGGCAAGACCAGGCCATTCGTATTCGTATTCGCATTTTTGCAAGGGGGTTTCTCAAGGGGGGTGTACCACTTGAGTTGCGAGACGATGACGAGAATAGCAAGCAAGCAGCAAGCAAGCAAACAGGCAAGCTGGCAAAATCAAAAGCAAAAGCAGTCGGCGGGCAGATGAAGAAGAAGCAAAGCTAAAGGCCAGGCCGGATAGAATGCTTTGTCCAAAGGGGCGTAGAGGGGTTAGATGTTAGGAGGACAACAACAAGAAATACAACAAGCGGCCCACGTTTGTATTCTGAATGTGTATCTGTGTGTGCGCGCGTTTGTGGTCGCGTAGAAAAATTACTTGGAAAGAAAAACAAGCGCTGCGGATACAACAACAATGAAATCATTTATAACGAAAATAATGCGAAGCAAACACAAATAACAAAAAAAAAAAAAAATACCTCCCACACTCTTGCCCCTTTGCCGTCACTCCCAATTCATCAGCGGCGAAATAAGGTTCAACCCAAGATTTGCGCGCCAAAAGTGTTGAGTTCGATTTTTGGGCACGATTTCGGAGAAGGGGAATCTCGCCCTTGGACCCCACTTGAAAAATATAAGAAATAAAAAACCCATCATCTTTCATCTTTCGTTCTCAAGATGCGATGATGATGTAGCAGCATTGGCCACAAGTTCGACTTTTGGCCCTCGAAAGCGCACTTCACCGCTTTTTATGCCGTGTCATCTGTGGACGTTCATTTAAATAAAGAATATGCATGTTGGTCGGTTGGTTAGTCGGTTGGGTTGGTAGGTATGTTTATGTCTGGCTGTCAGCTGCTGCTGCCGATGGAACCGGCGGTACTGGATGCTCTGGTGGGACCTTTGTGGCTTATCACCTTAAAACCTTTAGCGAATGAATGTGGCAAGCGAGCGTTGCAAAAAGGTAGGAAAAAAAAAACCGAAAACAAGGACTGGCATACATGTGCTTGTTATGCGGCCAACGAAGAGATAAAAAATAAGAGAATTAAATGCACAAAGGAGCGGCACACACGAACCCATCGAAAGGGGGAAATGGGGGCCAGGCAGCAGGGAATTTATAAACACAGCCAGTCGTCGGAGAGGAAAAAAGTAATAAACTCGGGGATATAATAAAAATGAAAACAAGAGGGAATGGCCAAAAACATTCATATCGTAGCTTGAAATACCCTTGCCATAAGGTTTTGCGTTACTAATTAGAAAATTTTAAATAAGCTGGATAATGGTGGGATATAAAGTTTATAATTCAAACTATTGCTTATATTATAATACCAATTTGATGGTAACTATACATTTAGTTCAACTAAAGAGAAGATAAGAAAGTTGTTTCCATTAAATTTTATCTCAGTAAAAATTATAATGCCCCACTGCAAGGGTATAAAAACCTCAAAAACTGTAGCAGCAGTGAGAATGTGAAACAAACAGAAAATAGTTCACCACATCCCACATAGTCGTCGCTCGCAAACTCCACCCCCCTCAAGTGCAATGGTTTTCATTTTGCTCAGCTTGTACGACTACGGATCGGAGGGGTTTAACCTCAGAGCCAGGGAACAACGACAAGATATATAAAAAGAACACAGCCCAGCTGAGCGACAGCCAGTCGGACTGTCGCTCATTAGACATCTTCCAAGTGTGGGAGAGGTTCTCCGGGTCTACGTTTCTCCGTCTGGGTTTGGCTCTGACTCTGGCTGTGTCTCTGATTCTGAATGCGATTCTGAGTTCCACCGTTCGACTCCATGCTCATGCAATTTCTGTTTGCGCTTGCTGGAAATTTTATGAGCGAATCGAAAGTCTGTGTGGAGATTGTGTTGAGTGTGCATGGCGTACATTGCACAAGGGAACTCAGGCAAATGAATATACAGTCAAACTTCCTTGAGAAGATCTACAAATTCAATCTTTAAAATTCACGCTTTTGAAGTAAAAACAACATTGATGTTTAATGTTTATCAAAACCACAAATTTTGTTTTTTTTTAAATGAACTCGATAAAGGCTTTTTGATAAGAAAAACTCTTTTGATGTTTTCAAATCTTTATAAATAGCAAATGTATTTTATTAGAATTTGTTTGATAAAAATCCAAAGTTTGATATTGAACAAATTCCTAAAACGGAAATCTACAGTATTTTTATAATTTCCTTTACTGAGAATTGTGGCTGGCAAAGTTTGATTGAAAATAATCAACATAAAAAACATAATGGGTTTTCAGCTTATCCCAAAAATGTCTGATTCTTTGTTTATGATAATCATTCGAGTTATAGATGTTTGACTGTATATAGAGACACAGACAATCTACTCTCATATTCGTATACCAGCAGCAGCAGCAGAAGTCGCTTTGGATCTGTTCGCTTCGGTTGGGCTTGGTTTGCTTCGTTATGTTTCGTATCGTTTCGTTCGTACGTTGGTTGGATTTGCCAGCAGAGCAGAGTCAGTCGGCCCCAATCCCTGCCCTTGCACCTTCCCCCTGACCACTTACAATATGGCAAACTAACAGACTGTCAGACTGGCAAGCTGACAGACCAACAGCCCGCCACTGCCAGCAGTAAAAGCGAAAAAAAACAACAGCCAACGCTGGCAGTCAACCACTTTGAGAGCTCAGACAAATGTCCCATGAATCGCACACTGGGCTCCAACCGAAAACACACAGCCCAGAGTCGCAGTCAGAGCCGCCAGAACCGGCAAGAGCCAGAGCCCGAGCCCCAGCCAGAGCAAGCAATAGCAATGGCAAAAGCCAAAGCCCCGGACCAGACCGATCCAATCCGACCCGACTCGTTCGCAACGTTTCGTTCGTGGTGTGTATCCAAACGAGTGAACTGAAAAACAAGCGCACAATCACACGACTCTCTATACGATATAAATTCGTATGCGTTCAAAACGAAGCAGTACACAGAAAGATAAATAGCGTAGGCTTTTAATAAGATATTTTAAATATAGATAAGCATAAACCTTTTTAAATCATTATCCTTATTCTTAATATTTAAGTACTCAAGAAATGTCTACTAAAGAACAAACCACAAAACAATGATGGAGCTTAAGGCTTTATCTTTTAGATAAATAGAATTAATATTTCCTTTATCAAGTAAGGCAATATTTAATCAAAAGTTTACTAATATAACCAAAAAATAAACTAAATAAGTTAAGGCTTGATTTCTCGCTGTGCAGCTGCGGCAACTGAAATGAACGTCCGTTCTTTTTATTTAGACTTTATTTTTGCCTTTTTTCCTGGCTGCGCCGCCTGTTAAAATGAAAAACGATGATGATGCCGCCGCCGCCGCTGCCAACAATAACAGCAAAAGCAAAAGCAACAACGACAACGCAGCAATGAGTGGAGCACTAAAATCCCAGTAACAACGGACGGAGAAAAACCGGCAAAATTGTTCATTGGCAGTTGGCAGGCCAACTGGCAGAGAGAGGGGCCGGGCGGGGCCAGGCCAGGCAGGGACCGGGCCATGTGGCTCAGGGGGCTTTTGGGTTCGCAATCGCAATAGCATTCGTATTCGCATGCCGGTGGTTCGAGTTCAGACCCAAAGTCCCAACCGTGTGCACTGCACCACACACAATTTCGGCTGGTATTAAATGAATGCAGCAGTTGTGCTGTGCTGCCTGGCCCGCAAATTTCAGATGCTGATAGGCATGAAGATAGTCATGCCAATTGCCCACAGAGAATATATGTATTTATATGATCATACGTATTTGACGCAGAACAGTCATCTTGAAATAAGTTTTTAAAACTAGGACACGTCGATGGGGCACCTCCATCCATACATATGCTCTTGAAAATCAATGGAAATGCCAAATGGTAGCTTAAATAACACGCTATAAAGGTGTGTTTACTGCAAAAGCAAATGGTTAAAAGCCATCAGTAGTTGAATATTATTGCTGCCACAGTTGGCTTTTATTCTGCAAAATACAGCCGCTCGGAACAACGCAGCACACGTCGAATTTAAAGCAGCTTACAACAAAATGCAATACGAAATCGACCAGCTTAAATAACAATGGCCGAGGCGGAGGGGACTTCCCCCAAAACTTTGAAACGGCTTAAAATGAGTGTTGGCTGCGGCGGTTGATTACCGTTTTTCGTTCGTTTCGGTTTGATTCGTTTTCAGCTGGTTTCACTTTGAATTGGCCAGAAACGCGGATTTAACCTTGCAACATCCAATTATAATGTAAAGGAAAAACGATTGGTTTGATTTTGTAAAGTAATTTGAGTGCAATAAAGTTGAAATAACTATTTTCCAATTTTTTTTTTTTTTCCTCAATTATTAGGTAATTCAGTAAAATTTCTGGCTTGGAAAATAAGGAGTTTTTAAGGTCCGTTCTTGGTTACATAAAGAAAAATAGTTGTGAATAACTATTAGAGATATTTGAACTACAGTTTTGCCTTTTGTGCGTTATGTTGCAACCTTAAGAAAGGCTAAAAAAACTGATGGATAGCGACTAAAGGGGGCCTGAGTTGATGAATCGTAAGTTCAAAATGAGAGTACACATAAAATGTAAACAACCCGCTAAGCAACAACAACAACAACGACGACGACGCGAAGGAGATGGAGGTAAAGCAAGAACAAGAACAACAATGACCTTGGCATTGACCCAAATATATGGTAACAGACGCTTTGTGTGTGATCTTGAGTGTAGTCATGCGAGTGTGTTGGTTGCATACACATGCCACATACCAAATATAAAGGGAATGAGGGGGAAAAAACCAAAATACGAAATAAAGAAATGGTATGAGGCACAGGAGGATTGTCGACCGAACCGGGGGTTGGGGGTGGAGCACGGCAAACCAGGAGGAGGAGGAGGAGGAGAAGAAGAAGAAGGGGGCAGACACGACGGTCGCGGACATGCTGAATGAATAAATGGGGTACAAAGCAAACGCACACATCCGCAGGCCCAACATCACATGCACAGCTGCGGCCAATATAATAATACTGTGGCTTTGAAAAAGTATTTACATATCGGATATATCGAGGGGTAAAATCGAATCAGACAATTCAAATAGGTTTACCTATAAAAAAAAAAAAAAGAACAACAAACCATTTTTGAACCCCTTCTTAATGTTGAAATCCAGCAAATTTAATGGCGTCGATATGATTTAGCAAAGAAATAAATCCACAAATGCTGATGACACGTGCATAAACGATCTCACAATGGTGAGGTGGGGGTAACCAGACTGTCGGCGATGCGAAAAATAAACCAAAAGACAAAAGGGGAAAATGCCGCCGCCGAAAGAAATAGTAATCAAAACAAAATAAAAATCATTAAAATTCATAAAAACAAATCAAGGCAGCCGACAGCAACAACAACAACAACAAATACAACGATAAGGCTAAAAGCAATTTTAAAGTTAAGGTAAAGGGGCGGCATATGGTGCGGATGTGATAGCGGTTCAAGTTCAGGGGAAAAGTGGGAGGTTTTTAGGTAAAAATAAAAATATATACACCATAAACCACACAAAATATAAAGACCCAAAGGGCGTTGGGTGGAAGACAGGGCAAAACAGCCGGAGGAGAGTAATCTCAACCCAAAAATGAGTGCGAGTACCGGGTACCGGGCGGTATGAGTACCAGTATGAGTACAAGTGACTACGAGTGCCATGGCCAGGCATAAACATTTGACCTGAACAACTTTTGTAGACTGCCTGCCTCTTGTGTTGGGCAAGGTGGCGCACGAGCGGTGGGTAGTGGTGGCTGTTGGGGATTGGGGTACATTTTTAGGGTGGGGGGAATGAGAATCGCAGGTAAAGAGTGCGACGCCAACGTAGACGTATGTGTGACGTCATGAGTCAAGTTCACGTGCTGTTCACGCAGCACAGTTTATTGACCCACTTTCAATGTGTATTATCTAGAAAAGCTGCCAACACGAGTCGTCGTGAATGGGGGGACTACTACTGGGTGGTCCCATGGCAAAACATCCAATGAATGTGCAAATAGCAAATGTGCTTGCCCATATAAAGCTGTTATTATCATAACATACTATGGGTAAATATACAACAGTGTCCGATTAGAACTTAATACCATGTGTCTTCTCTTTCAAGTAGTACTGTTATAGCTACTATTATAGTACAGGTATAGAACATACAAACAACTAGCAATGCAGTAGCGGTATTTCACATTCTAAGCTATTCAGAAAATGGCATTTTGGCTGGAAGTATCTATAGCCATTTATACCAACATTTAGTATATTATATAAATGAGAACATTCATATACATCCGTAATATAATTGGGTTAGCTATTTCCTCAGTCTCGTATTCTATATCTAAGTGTATACTGAGAAACGTAAACAAGGTAGGGAAATATCCTAGGCATCTGGAAGATGGCTAAGCCGAAATAGTAATAGCACTCCGTGCCTTATTATTTGTACTAATCATAATGCTTAAACTTTCTAGAGGAAAACATTTCCTCTTATTAAAGATTTTTCCTCCTTTATAAGAATTAAAATTGCTAACATTCCAATAATAATTATTTATAAAGAATGAGTTAGCTTACCTGGTGCGGCGAGGGCGACGCCTGCGAGGGTTGTGGCGACGGACTGGGCGCATGACCAGGACTGCTGGGCGGCGGTCCACCGGCGGTGACGTGTGGCGGTGGTGGCGGCTGCTGCTGCAGTGGTGGCACATGGTGCGGCGAGGCGGGCGGCAAGGGATGTCCGGGACCGGGGCTGGGCGAGGACCCACCTGGCCAAGGTCGATTCGGTTCGGGATACTGTAAATGAAGAACATTGATCAGTTAACTCTGAATTCTGCAAAGGGACATTGCTATTCTAACTAACAAAACTAACCTGGTGCGTCGAGTAGGCAGTTCGATGGTTTGGTCCGCTCGCCGGTAGACCCGGCGGAGTCGGATAGCGTTGCGGGTACGGCGAATATTGAGATGTTGGCGGTGTATTTTGCTGCGGCGGCTGTTGTCCGGCGCCTGGCGGTGGTCCGCCCGGCACAGGACCGCCGGGCTGCTGTCCCGCCTGCTGTTGCTGCTGCTGCTGTTGTTGCTGCTGCTGCTGCGGCGAACTAGGATAGGAACCTGAATTTTGACCGTGAGCTGGCGGATAGGGTGACTGACCCCTGGAAGTGTTTGTCTGTGGATGGGAAATCAAAATGGAATCAATAAAAGCCGAAGGATACTCATAAATATCCAATGAGTGTCAAAGTTTAACCCTTTGCATACATTTAAGGGAAAACTTTCTATATTTAAAATAGATTAAACATGTTCTAGAAAACATAAAACAAAATTATAAAATAAAATAAAATTTAACACCTCCCCCTAAGGTATTTTAATTATAATTTTCTAACATGGCAGGGATTTGTCACGTGGGTCTTTAGAGGGTTAAATTCGGGGAGAGATAGAGACGGCACATGGGTTTTTAATTACAGACATCTCGCTCTGTCCCTCTCTCGCTCTTAGCTTCTCTATTTATATCCTCCCACACTCTTTCCCCTTGCAATTCATCAATTATTTGCGTTTGGCTTCGCCAATGTTGTTCGTCTGTGTGCGAGCAGCACTGCACATTCCATTTTATTGTATATATCATTTTAATCGATATTCCACAACCAATTCCCGTAAATGCGCGCACAAATACACACCCTCTCGGTCATGTGTGTGTTAGTGTGTGTGTACGCTTACAGTGGATGTCCTCGGATTAGGACTCTCCACATTGGAAAATTTCCAGCAATTAATATTCGATTGTGCAGCTGGGAGGTAAAACTAGAAGATAATTGGAATTGACCCCGACTGCACAAGTGCCCCTAATTATTTGGCGCCCACTGTAGCGTGTGTGTACACTGCACAATCAAAGGTAGCAGGGGGTGAAAAGGAGCGACATCGACGCACCCCCGGGTGTGCTGTCACTTGACAGTCACAAATGCGCAGATTAAAAGGAGACAGCAGTTCAAAAAATATGCTGCAAAAGGAACCTAAATGCTGGCAATAAAAAGTTGAAATATTTACCACTATAACGGCAGAAAACACCCACACATTCGATTATACAATTAAGGACAAAAAACTAGCCATTCCAAATTTTCAAGGATTCAGTTTTAAGGGATAATTTTTAATATAACTAGTAGAAATTATTGCGTTTATACACTAATAAATATATCAATAAAACCAAGTTAAACGATTTGTCTAAGAAATAATATGAGTTAGAAGAGCTCAAGAGGCTCTTACATAAATTTGAACGATATCTAAAAATCTTGGCTTAACTCCACAGTGCTATAAAAACGACCTGAGTTGTGTATGTCCTTTCCAATCAGTTCAAATTACGAAGCAGTGTCCTGAAGAAGGACGCATAACTTGGGACAGGGACGCGGGCAGTCGATTGCCTGCCACTCCTGGCTCATGCTCTGGCTCCTGGTCCCCTCTGCCACTCCGTGACCCGTCACAGCACCAGAAGAAGAAATCCACTTGAGTGGAATATAAAGTGAAACTTACGGACGCACATGTACATGTGCATGTGCAAAGGCGTCCAGGCCAGGCCAGGCCAACGACAAAGTTGCAACAAAGCCAGGGAAAGGAGCTACGAGACGTAGAAGACACCTCGCTGCGGAACGTGGCCTGTGAGGCACAGACAACTGGAGCAGGACGAGCAAAAACCAGGCATGCCATGTGCCATGTCTGTGTGTGGGAAAGAGCTTTGGATGCCATTAATGAAAGGATTTTCAACTTGACGTGGTGCGACAAGGCGGACCAAGTCGCAGCACACAGCACAGCGAACGTCTGACATGGCAAGTGGAGAGGCGCTTGGCAAGCTCGCACAGACTTACAGTTCGCCCTCGCAAACACAAAACCCCACAGCGACGTACATACAAATGTAGCCGGGCAACAACATCGCTGCGAATGCCACAGCCCGGAGTAAAATGTGGCAATAAATCTAATGGAAACTCACAGCAATGAGGGAACGAACGAGAGAACCAAAACGGCAAGGAAGTTCTGGCCGTCTAGCTACTTTTATGAGAAAGAACTGGATATATTATGTGGCGAACATTGTGAAAAGAAGAACTGGGAGTTGTTTTAAAAGACATTCTGAAATGCCTCAATGGATACTTAAAATAAACTTAATATGAATGTTAATTAAATTCTTTTATTTTAGCTTCCCTTCAAAAACTTTTCATTTAGAACTTTTAAAGTTTTTTGATGGTTACTAATGGCAGGTGAGTTTGTGTCAATCAACTGTTTTTTTGCCGTTTATTATACATTAAACAAATTTTATTGACGTATACCCACCCTTCCAATACGTAAAAATATTTGTCAAAGACACCCCATATTTAAATACATCCGAACACTTGGTTTAAAAAAAAGGTAAACTCTTCAAGAGTTTTATGTCGAGGACATACTTTACGCTCTTAAATTTAAATGGCATACAAATGTTGTTTCCAAAACAATTTGATCATTCAGTTTTATTTGCCTAATTAGAGAAATTTTAAAACTATACTACATAAAGGTAGCCATTACTAAAAAGGCTTTATTTCCATCTTAAAATAAGACAACACTACCATTAGCAGAACATAGTTGCCCTGGCTAAAGTAAAGAATGACAACCCAAGGCAAGAAAGCCAGAGCTATATAGCCAGAAACAGAGACAGAACCAGAACCAGAACCAAGGGCCAAAGCCAGATCCCGTCGTTCGGGCAACGAGGACAACAGCAACTACAACAATCGACAACGACGACGGTCGGTCGGTTGGTTGGGTCGGTCCACTGCAGGGTGACAGGAAACATGAATGGATGGTTTTCGTGCTCTGCTGTGTGCGTGTGTATCTGTGTGTGCGGAGCGACCGAACGAGGCAACGAGAAATAAAGTTAAAAAAAAAAAAAAAAAAAAAGAAAAAGGGAAAACTCATCATGGATGAAAATCAAAAGCAGAAACGGCAACGGCGGGTAGAAGCTGAAGTGGAATTTGAATTAATGCAGCAAGGGTCGTACGGTGGCACAGACATACACACACACACACACACACATACAATGAGTGTAACGAACGAATGACGGTTGGAACGACGAACGTCGGTCGGAATTAAATTCGGTGAAATCGGAGGGGGGAAACAACAGAACGGCCTGATGGTGGTTCTGAGTTCTGGGTTCTCTGGGTCTGATGGTGGTAGGTTTTCCAGCTAAAAGCCGGCTACATGTATTAAAATATCGCGGGAACAAAAACAAAGCGCAGCAGCCAAGGGAGTGGTCCTGTTTGCCTCTCTTCTTTCCACTCTTCCGTTCTCCTGATCCTGGGTTTATAATTTCATAACCAACAGACACAGATACATACACACACACCCACGGACGAGGGGCGATTGCATATAAATTGTGCGAAGGGAAAAACGTGGTAAATGCGATTTCGTGGCAGTAAAGGTAAAGCCGGCAGTTGTAAGGGTTGTATGTATGCGTGTGTGTATTTGTACAAAGAGGTGGACAAGAGAGGGTGGTATAATAAGGAATAGGGCAATGGGAAGGGGATGTCCCTGCAGGCTGCTACTGCTGTTGCTGTCGGCAAATGGGAGGAATTACGTGCACAACTCTCGAACGGGCGTAATTTTTAATACAATGTCGCACTCACCATGCGCCCATTCACATTCACAGCATTTGCAGAAAGATAAACAAGGAAACTGAAAATAAACCAATGCAATACCGACCACCACCAACTGTCGCAAAATGTTCCACAAAAAATTTGACCGATTACTTTTAGCTCCTCTTGTAATAGTATTTAATTAAATTGAAGTGGCAATTTTTGAAAGGGACTATTTTATACAGTTTGAGGCTGGCTGCTGATTTGGTTTTCTGAATCAATAATAGGAGATAATATTTTTATTGTCCGTAATAAAAAACTGAAAATATAATTCAGTCTTAGACTTTGGTAGAGTTAGAGTTAGAGTAAGTAAAGTAAATTCTTGCAAATTCTTGATTTTCCAATGGGATGCATCTGAACAGAGAAAAGGGGGCAAAAAAAAAAACCAAACGAAAGGCAAAGAAAAGGAGGCAGAGGCAGAAGAGCCACGGCAACCAGGGACAATAACAGTTAAGGCAAAGGCAACGGTTTTGTGTGCTCCACTTTTTGTAGGTCAAACTTTAAAGGCACTCCCATACAATCACGCCAGTCCATACATACATGTTAAGAAACAGCATAAACAAGCCGGCACAAAGACAGCAGCTCTCTTTCTCTCTTAAAAAAAAAAAACAAAGCAAGAGGTAGAGGAGGTGGAGTAGGAAGGCCAAAAAGGAACAACAAAGACACAAACGAAAAGAACGCTGGTTAATGCAATGCCTTTTGCCTTTTCCCAAAAATAACAAATATAAAGGCGGGAAAAACACCCAAAAACGAAGAGGCCTTTTAGATCTTTAATATATGCCAAAATGTGGTTGTTTGGCTTTGCACCTGTTGACCTCAAAGGGGAATCAAACGTGAAGGATATATGAGAAGTAGTATAACGGGATGCAGCCAGCTGACTTGCACTCGAAGAAAGAGATGGCCAGAGTGAGCCAAGGCATGTCATCATCATAGTCGAGCCCTCCTCCACCTCCACCTCCTCCTCTCTTTTGACTGTGCGCGGTTTCACTTGATTTTCATTTTTATTTTGTTTTGGTTTCTGCTTCCTCCACAGCTTGCCGGCTAACCCCTCCTCCTCCACCACCTCCTTCTTCTACCCTAAAACAGAGACCGTGAGGGAGGGAGAGTCAGCTGTGACAACAACAAGTTTCTCTGTTATTGCCTTTGATTACGGTGCCTACTTGGCCATTGTTGTTGTAGTTTCGGTAGTACCCATGTTTGTGAATGTATGTACGTATGTATTTATTGCATGCACGCGTAAGTCACACTCAACCGGCAATTTGATTTCTTTGTTTGTGCACACAAACCCGCCGAGCGAGACAAAAACAATCAAACACATGACATTGGATAGCAGCGGTTCCTATACTTTTTTTTATATTTTTTTTTTTATCTCGCACTATCCACACAAACACATTCTCACCCATAAACAAAAGCTCTCGAAGGTCGCATCCCATCACATCGCATCGCACATGTCTAACCCTAGCGGATCGCTTTGATTTGTGTGCTCACACATAGATTTGTTTATATTTCTCTGGCTAATCGTCGGCATCAAAGTTCGTTGACTCGCATTCGAGACATCTCATCTACATCCACACACCACACCATTCATGAAAATAAAAACAATCGATCCGATTGCAGCGACATCAAAAAATATGCCAAAAGCAGACCGACGACTACATAGATACGGAATCGGCGCACTGATATGAGTTGGTACGGTTAGGGGTAAGCCCCTCTAACTGCCACAGTTCCTCCACTAATAAAACAATTAACCGGTTTTCGTTTAAATCAAAACGTGAAATCATATCACGTGCTACTCCATGGGGCCAATAAACCAAACATTAAACAAAATGTAAACGCCAACCGCATTATCGCTTGACATGACTGATAGCAAACTCTCGATACCAGGGATTACAATGAAACGAAAAACTCTTTGATATATATTTTTTTGGTTCTTTCACCTCAAAAATAGAGATAAAAATGAATCCGAATGCAATAGAAAGTCAAGAAACTTGAAGCTTTTGTCGATGATTTGATCATTCACCTTCACCAACATTGTTAAAGGAAGTTCTGTTACATCATCATTGTAATATTTTTAATGGATATGTGCCACCAAAACAATAATTGCTGATTTTTCTTCAACGCCTTTGGAAACAATACTCCAGAATTACTTCCAGTTTATTTGTATTATCTATCTATTATCATATAGTTATCAATAATATCTACGATTTATTCTGCCATTTCCTTTACTTCGATAGAGTGGTAAAACTTTTAACATAACTCCAATCAGATCTGATAGCCTTATCAGACATCGAAAATGTTTGACTAGAAGAGGAGGAAAACCCAAAACCCTAAAAAAAGTGAATGAATGCCTCAACGTTGTGTATGAAACTCTTTCTTGTTCATCCACTGCTTCTTCTTTATTTTACCGTTGCGGAAAGGCCTTTTGTTGTTATTGCTTCGCGGCGGCAAGTGCCGGTTCTTATTGTCCGTCTCCCTTACTCTCACCCGGCTTCACCCAACAAAAACAGCAACAACATTAACCGGCACTTAAACAGCGAAATGTCAAGAAGGTGGGGGAATATGGAGGAAAGAAAAGAAGGAGGGAACTAAGGGGGAGGGGCAGGCGAAAAAGGCGCGGAATCTCTGTACAATGTTTTTACTTTATGTATGTCAGTGTGCCTGCTGCTTCTGCCCTTTTTTTCTTCTTCCTTTGAGTGGGACTCTTGGCAAATTTTCAGTGAACTGAATGAAGTGCGACCAAGACGAAACCCTAAAAAGTAACAGTAAATATTGCAGCCTCCCTCCCACACACACTCATACACCCTCACGAATACATGTGCACAAAACGTGACGAGCCCCTCTCCGTGGAATGAGTGGGCAGTGGGTGGAAGGAGAGGGAGATAGCTAGCACAAAGCCACCAGCGACAACCACAACAAGAAACACATGAAGAGGCCTGCACATGGAAATGCCCCTGTGTATGTATGTGTGGGGTCGATGGAATCAAAATCAGTGTCAATGTCAAGACAGCTCTAAAATAAAAAAGAATATACTTATAAGGAAACCCCAGGCGATAAGATTCCCGGTATTCAGTTGCTAATTTGTGGCAAAAGAAAAAGGTTGTCTCCAGGCCCTTCGATTCCTTCTCTTTTGATACAAATCAATATCATTCCATCCATTTATTGGTGGAAGACGATTAAAATTTCTGTGAAACGGTTCTTCTGTTAAAAATAGGTTCTATGTGTTATAAAGATCCTATCATAGAAAAGTCGCAAATCAATCGTAAAGTCGTTTCACTACTTATAGTACAATACTTGCATTAAAATAAAATTTATAAAAAACGTTAAAAGGGATAAAATTATATCTATTTTAAAAAATTACTTCAAAATAACCATTTTTGAATTTTCAAATACGGAAAGAACAAACAAGGTATCTAAAGACAATATATTTATACGGACTACATAATTCCATTCATTGATATCTTTAATCTTTTTATGTGTCGTATTTTGAAATCCTTCCATCCTTCTTATATAAAGTAATTAATTTAAGGATTTTCTGCATAACCACCTGATTCTACCATATATTCTTATATTTGACAGAGAGGCTGATCTAAGATCGTCCAAAAACAAGGTACACTTTTGGAACAGTCTCATCAGGAACGCCTGGTAACCCCATATTGCAGCACTTACCGGTGGTGGTGTCCTGTACTGCTGCGACGGTCCCAGTTGCGGACTATAGGGCCTTGGTGGCGGTGCCCAGCCCTGTTGCGCCCCGTACGGCGATGGCTGGTGTTGCGGTGGTGGCGGACCATGTCCTGGGGGCGGAGGTCCACCAGCCTGCTGCTGCTGGGCAGCCGCAGCCGCTGCCGCCGAAGCAGCTGCCTGTTGGGGATCATAGGTGTTGGCGTAGCGATGCTGTGGCGGTGGTGGCGGATTCGAAGACTGCAGCAGCGAGTTCAACGTTGGCGTGGGTCCCTGCGGCGGCTGACCGGGTATGTAGCGTTGCTGTGGTGGACGATTGGGAGAGCCACCTGGACCCGCTTGCTGTGGCGGTTGCTGTTGAGGATGTGGCTGCTGCTGTTGTTGTGGAGGCTTTCCACCTGGTAGCGGTTGGCCATAGCGATAGGGATCCATGTTGGGATCTGCATGGTAGCGACCGTACGCCGGATGAGGATGAGGAGGCGGCAGGTGAGCGTACTCCTCCTTTACGCCGGGCGCATGCTCAGGTGCTCCTCCTGGCGGTGGTGGTGCAGGTCCGCCGTGGTGTTGCTGTTGCTGTTGCATGTGAGGTGGTGGCGGATGCTGCTGTTGCTGGTGCAGATGATGATAGTGCATGACTGCAGCTGGGTCCGGTCCTGGTGGTCCTCCAGGGCCGGAACCTGGGGGCGGTGGTGCGCCGTATGGATGTGGGGCAACATTTTGTTGCTGCTGCTGGATGTTGGGATCACTGCCGTTGTTACTGTTGTTGTTGGGTGTGGGCGGGCCCGAGGTGGGCGGTGTGGCACCACCAGGAGCTGCTCCAGCCGATGGGGGCGTGGCAGCAGGGGCAGGAGCGCCACCTTGCTGCTGTGTTTGCGGCGACTTTATTTTTTCATTCATGGCTGCTCATCAGCTTCTGGCTGCGCTTCCGATCTTCCAGATATGCCGGATCGGATTTTAACCAGATTTGTGGTGGCTACTGATGGAGCACCGGTAACCACCAACAACAACAACGCTGACGCTGATGATGACGACGACTGCAGCGGCGATTTTGAGGTTATGTTAGCTGCAAGTTATCAAAAACGGGGGATTAGCATTTGGCAAGGGGGTCTAGCTTAATAGAGGGGGTTTTCTATATCACTGGGCCTAAATCGGGCGGGTTAAACATAAATAATTTGTACTCGTTCATGTATCGTTCTGTATTGAAAAGTCCGCTACTAACACACACACATATGCTCACTCGCAAAGGCAGCAGCACTAATACCACAACAATAATTTATTTTCTGCCGCGTACGGTAAGCTATTCGCAGTGCGTTGACAACCCTGCCACTGCCGCTCGCACAGTTTGAGCGCAGCCACTACTCGCTCTCGCTGGGGCGCTCTTTCTCTCTTTACATTTGGCGGCTATACACGCACACGCCGTATCCCTTTCCGTCTCACTTGCACTTGCTAGCTAACCAGGCAACATGCATATGTCGCTCTCGCTCGCTCTCTCGCTTTATTAGTTTCTGTGTGAAACGAATGAAACGGGCAGCAGCAGCAGCACAGTAATGATTTTTTCGTAATTATTTTCTATGCCGATTTTTCGCGTTTACACAGCACTGGAATGGAATGGCCAAGGGGCATCATCATCTCACAATTTAAATATATTTCTCAGATGCGGCAATTGTTTAACATTTGGTATTGGGATTTATAAATAATTGCCGCGCCTGCTTGGCCGCGTTTGTTGCGCGTTCACTTTTGCCGCTGCCGATGTCTTGGGAGGTTTTTTTTTTCGTTTCTCCGTTTTCGCATTTTTTTGCGGTTTTTCGCAAAGAGTTTAGGATAATGATGATGATGATGCAAGGATTCGACATCCAATCATTTGCATATGTATACACACACGCACGCACACACATTCACAGCCTCCAAAGTGCATCGTCGAGAGGAGAGAAACTGAATTTTTCACTCGCCCTCAGGCGAAAGTCCGGCGGCAGATTGTTGTTGGCCAAGACTCAATATATTTGTGGGGCTTTGGTTTTTGGGGCTTTTCTTAACCAGAAATCTACATACACGCACACCACTTACACATAGAAGAATATTCACGCATTGACGACCGTCCACAGACTGGCTATATATACTAAAAACGAACTCGCGTGAGAAGACAGGGACAGGGCAGCAAACTCGGTATACGAACGGAACGAAATGAAACGATTCAAGTAGTAGTGTATGCAAGTCTTGTCTGTCTGCGCCTGGCGTTCTTTTTTTTTGTTGGTTTTTCGCAAGGCTGGGGCTCTGCCAAAACGCTGCTGCGACGGCTAAAATCACACGCGGCTGATCGCCAGATGGGCCCTGCACGGGCTGCACATACTTTTCACTTTTAATGCGCTGTATTTCACTTAATTTTCGAACAAATTCGCAGCATGACGAAGAAGCGAGCCTGTACAAATTAGAGCGGGTACCACTCACGATAGTATCGATACACCGAATATTTGTGTTTGCGATACACTGGCGAAGCTTTAGTTTCGATAGTAAACGATAGCGTCCATACTTTAGATCTACGATACCCTATTATGCTTTGAAATTTTTCATGTTGTAGAAATATTTATCCTTCATTTTATATGTGTTATTTGTTTCAGCATTTTAACCATTCACGATTAAGTACAGAAATGCGATAGTTGCATGTTACGAGAATATGAGCATATACAAAGCGAGTCTGGCGGCGTTGCCAGAGTAGCGCATTTATGCATACAATATGGCGGCAGTGACTGACAGTTAGGTAGTATGGCAACTCTCTCGATGTACAATATTTATCGATACCACTTTTTAGGCTTATAGGCTGTTATTTTAACAGCTCTCCTTGCACATAGCACTGCTTCTAGCAAACACTGCCTGCTTCTAAACTAAATTGTAACTGAATTTCGAATTTACAAAATTCGAATATGAGGGAACCGAAAATGTAATAGCTTATTATCCTTATATTTAAGAACAGTTTTATGTTTTTTGTTTGTATTTATTTGTTTTTTTTTCTAACCTTATATAGAATAAAGAAGAACGGGTTAGCTTAGATTGCCTGAAATCTGTCTTTCTATTTCTTACTCTTTCTTCAGTTTTTTTCCCAACCAAATTTGTTGGCATATTTTGATAATAAACAACAAACCTAATAGAGGCAGTCCTAATAAAACTGCCAAAGTGTCCAGGCTGTGAAGTTGAATAAAGTTTAGATCTCTAGAAGCTGCTCGAAGATGAGGGGCCCCATTATGCCTGATGATATATTCCGCCCACCATATAGCCCGATCAAGTGGCGTCTGGGGTTGATCATGGAATCGTGTGGAAGCCGCCGCCGAAGCATTGGCGAAACTTGGATTAGTTAACAGTGTTTGGATGGCGTGTTCCAGATCTCTTTGGTTAAGATTTTGAACATCCAATCCCAAACCGATTCCCATATGACGAGCTCGGATTACATTCATATGTTGATCAAAGTAGCAGGGCAGTCCCAATATAGGTTTACCAAAGTACACGCTTTCAATGGTGCTTAGCTGACCACCATGAGTAATAAATATCCTGACATTTGGATGGGCTAGAATATCGGATTGGGGATACCATTTCCTAATCATTACATTTTCTGGTTTTCCTGTCATCTCGTCGTTTTCGCATTTCCACAGTATACGCTGATTTAATTTCGCAAAGGTTTTTAGCAGTGCATCGCGAGTTTCCTCTTTTAGATCTGAATACTTTATATTAGATCCCATGGAGAAGTATATAACACCATCGTGGGAATCCTCAATAAACTGTTTGATGTCCTCGGGCAGTGGTTTGGGCTCATGGTTAATGTGCAGTCCACCGACTTCTATCATATTGGCCAAATAGGGACGTGGATGACTCAGGGAAAAGTGCTGACCTATTAAAACCATCGCAAAACTGTTCAAAACTTCCTCCATGGTTTGCTTAGATTTCGGGAAGTACTTGTCAAATATTTTACGCATAGCAGGCAGGTGAATCAGATGGCGATGTATTTTTTCCACAAGATATCCGTAATGGTTAAGCGGGCGTTCCCAAAAGGTCATCCGATTAATGCGGGAGGAGCCTACTAATGGGTTATATGAAATGGGTGAAATATTTCCAAAGGCCTCATCAACCCGGTGATCCGTTCCATAACTAAGGAACCCAGCCAGAGTGGCATTGAAATGCTGGGCAAAACCGTACAAGGGTTCCACTTGCTCCATCTCAGCCAACACTAGGTCGAAAGTTTCTCCAGATTTAAGCAGCTTCTGAACATCCTCGTTCCCCATTGTTAAATCCATCACTTTGGTCACAATTTTATGCCATGCATTTAGAGCTTTCCACAAAATAGTTTCGTTCAGCAGATCCATCATTTCTTTGGATATTATGTAAAAAGATAATGTTAGTGAATTAGAAGTTTAAAAAACATATCATAATTTAAACAAGTTAGAAACCTTCGTGGTGATCGCGCGCATTATAAGCCTTTATAAATCGCATATTCGGAGTTTCCTTGTTATTAAAGGCATTGATCACTGTTACTTCGTGACCTTTGGCAGCCAGGGCTTTCAGAAAGGTCTCCACAAAAATGTACTGAGACGGTCCCGGAAATGGCAGAGTGGCTAGGATTTTTGCACTGTCCGTTAAAGGGATTTTCGCCCCAAAAGAGCAAATGATAAATGAAACCAAGAGATATAGCTTCATAGTAGTTCAACCAACGTATTGCAACTACTCACTGATCAGATTACTTATGCTATATATAATGATATATGTAGATATGGGTATTGTTCTAAACAAAAACTGATAACAGCAAACGGCAGTTAACAAAATTGCGTTTAACAGCACTGTGTTATTTGCAAACAGCACACTACAAAACATTCTGGTTTGTTATCGAATAAACGTATAATCGAAAGAAAAATGGCGGCATTTAGAGTTTGATATTTAACCGGCTTCAGTTGAGCTTAAATTTTTTATAAAGTGTAGTCAATAAAACTTTTAAATTAATAAACGAAATGAGGGACATTTTGTTTATTTCGCTGTTATTATTTGCGATCCAATTTAGCGGGTCACAGGCAGCGGCATTTTCTGTGCGCCAAAACCGCTTTGATGAAATCCCAGATTTGCAGACTCCAGCGCCAGTGGCCAGCTCTACAGAAACCACAAAGAAAGCTGAAACAGGTGAACATGGGATATATAAAATTAAAAAAATTAAGAATACTTTGTTTTCAAAATGGCGTTTATCCTAAACGGTACTTCTGTGGCTGATCAGTCGTCTCGTTCTTTCTGCTTTATTTTCTTACTCTTTCTCTACAATTAAATAAAATAAATAGCAAAAAAAAATTGAAAATTGTGATTAATAGAATTTTAAATATTTAAAATTGTTTTCAACTGGTGGAAAATGTGGTCAAATAAAACGCATACAATTTTTACTTTCCGTGTAGCTACCAGCGCTTTGTTGAAAAAATGTCTTCCCTGTATCAAAGGTGTAAAATGTGTGCCTCAAATTCAGTGTCCCGCTCACGTTCGCATGGAAAGCCATGAAAAGCCCCAGATCTGTGATTTGCCAGCTGGAAAATTCGGCTACTGTTGCGTAACGGGACAAAATCATACTGCTCCAAAACCAGAGATCTCAGACAAGGAACGGAGATCTTCATTTTCCACCATCCTGTCACCTGCAGTTCTGGATGAGGCACGTCGAAATTTTGAACACCTGATGCACGGAGTGGCTCAGATTCCGGTCCGCCGAGGCTTCCCCGACTTTGCCCACGGCCTGGTATTTCATTCAACGGCCAAGGATGATCTTCACAACTTTGTTATCTCCAACAGTGCTATTGAACAGGTTATAACCACCCAGTTGTTCGGAAAGAAGGAGCAGGTGCCCGTCGACGATTTCATAACAAATAATGTGCCCATCAAGTTTACGGAGACTCCTTTGGCCCAGCACTGTCAACCCCATCCAATTTGTAGAAATATTCGATCAGTATATCGCAGTTTGGATGGTACCTGCAATAATCCTTTGCCACAGAGGTCGCTGTGGGGCGCTGCTGGTCAGCCCATGGAGCGCCTGCTACCCCCCGCATACGAAGACGGAATCTGGACACCCCGGGCACACTCCTCCGATGGGACTCCCTTACTGGGTGCTCGCAAGATCTCGCGAACCCTGCTCACGGACGTTGATCGTCCTCATTCCTGGTATAATCTTCTGGTAATGCAGTTTGGACAAGTTTTGGTATGTTAAATAAAGGATATATTATAACATTTTGTTAAAATGTATTTTTAAAATTTTTTTTCAGGCACACGACATTTCACAAACATCTTCAGTGCGACTCGAAAATGGGGATCTCGTGCAGTGCTGTTCCCCTGAAGGCAAAGTCGCTTTAGGTCCGCAAGAAAGTCACTTTGCCTGCATGCCGATCCATGTCGAACCGGATGATGAATTTTACGGAGCTTTCGGAGTGCGCTGCTTGAACTTTGTAAGGTTGTCCTTGGTGCCCAGTCCAGATTGCCAACTCAGTTATGGCAAGCAGATGAACAAGGTTACCCACTTTGTGGACGCCTCTCCAGTTTATGGATCGAGTGATGAGGCTTCTCGTAGCTTAAGAGCTTTCCGCGGCGGTCGTCTGCGAATGACGAATGACTTTGGACGAGATATACTGCCATTGACAAACGACAAGAAGGCCTGTCCCAGTGAGGAGGCTGGAAAATCTTGTTTCCTCTCAGGTAAAAATATAAAATGGAGATTATTATTATATATATTGTAAATTGGCCAATAAATTACAATTTAGAATTACGATATTATTTTGGTTCGTTTTCAGGTGATGGTCGAACCAATCAAATCATATCCCTGATCACCCTTCAAATTCTACTGGCTCGGGAGCACAATCGGGTGGCTGGGGTATTAAGCCAACAAAATCCTTCTGCCAGCGATGAATGGCTTTTCCAGGAGGCTCGCCGCATTGTCATTGCTGAGATACAACATATTACCTACAATGAGTTCTTGCCCATTATTATTGGCCCGCAGCAAATGAAACGATTCCGTTTGGTTCCACAATTTAAAGGCTATGCTCATGATTATAATGTTAATGTAAATCCAGCGATAACCAACGAATTTTCGGGCGCTGCATATCGTATGGGCCATTCTAGGTAGGAAAACTGACTATAAAAATTTCCAAATATAATTATTTATTCATTCACTTTAAGTGTCGATGGAAAGTTCCACATCCGCCAGGAGCATGGTCGTATTGACGAAGTGGTCAATATTCCTGATGTGATGTTTAATCCTTCGAGAATGCGCAAGCGCGAGTTTTTTGATGACATGTTGCGAACTCTGTACAGCCAGCCAATGCAGCAGGTGGACAGCTCAATCAGCCAGGGAGTAAGGACTACTCTATTCGCTAGTTTCATGCGGTTTTCTAATCGGTTTTACCTTGAGTAGCTCAGTCGTTTCCTGTTTCGCGGGGACAATCCATTCGGGCTGGATCTGGCTGCAATTAACATTCAGCGAGGTCGTGACCAAGGGCTGCGTAGCTACAATGATTACTTGGAATTGATGGGTGCACCCAAACTGAAAAGCTTTGAACAGTTCCCTAGTGAAGTAAGTAAAAGCATATTAAGCTTTTATATAAATTTCTTTTTAATTTATTTTTTAACCAAAAGATTGGGCAGAAACTAGCCCGTGTTTATCGTACCCCCGATGATATTGACCTGTGGGTTGGCGGATTGCTGGAAACGGCCGTCGAAGGTGGTATTGTGGGAGTAACCTTTGCTGAGATTATAGCCGATCAGTTTGCACGTTTCAAGCAGGGCGATCGCTATTTCTATGAGTACGATAATGGAGTTAATCCCGGCGCATTTAATCCTCAGCAGCTACAGGAACTTCGCAAGGTCACATTGGCCCGCTTACTCTGCGACAATTCCGACCGCCTCACACTTCAAGCGGTGCCATTGGCCGCATTCATACGTGCCGATCATCCCAGGTAAGTGAAGTGTGAAATGACCAAAACAATTTCTTTAGTGACTTGCTCATTTCTTTATAGCAACCAAATGATTGGCTGTGATGATCCCGGCCTGCCTGCCGTTAATTTGGAGGCATGGCGCATTTAAGATAATTTTTTAAATCCATTTTTAATTTATTTATCGAGTTTTTAAAGTGTATTTATATATGCGAATGTCTCGCCGAATTGTATATCCCCGTTTTATGTAACTGCGGCTAAAGAAGAAACCAAAATAAAGCCGATCGATTAAGCTGGTTTCCATTGCTAATTAAGCGCAAATTTCTTTGTCCCCGAAGTATATTTTTTATTTGTTTAATTTGAAGTTCTCTTTTTCGCTCCCTCTCACTGTCTGTTTTTTTTTTTTTTTGATATTACATTGTTGATTGGGTGACAAATGTTTATATCAGATAACCCAGAAGTTACCATGTATTTTCGGCATCTTACTAATTTCTTATTTAAATTGACTCTAATTTGTTTTGCACTTCTGTTACTGTTATGATATATGTAGATACGAATGTGTGTGAATGTTTATATGTTTGTTTCTGGCGTGGATTCGCTTTGGATTATCTAGTCAATTAGTAGCTGTTCGCATTTGTAAATAACATGATATGCAAATATCAAGCTAAATTAAAATGTATAACAGAATATTATTAAACGTCTATATCAATTCCGCTCCATTTCACAGTGAGCTTTGAGTCGACATATATCTGTGAAGTCTTGTTTAACCTTAGATATTCGTTATTTGAGCTTCTATTTTTACAATCTTTACGTAAGTCATGTGAACTAATCAGTTTCGGAAAATATACGCCGTTTGCAATCTGTGCTGCGACACTTAAATAACTTGAATGTTCAACAAATTCTTGGAATATAACCAATTTGTTTATTGAACTTTCCAATTTATAAGACATTTCAATATATTTTTCAAATAATAAACTTGATTATTTGGGAAATTTTTGCGGTAACAACACGATATGTAGATTAATACAATAAACAAAGGTTAGATTTAAATAAGTTGTGGGTGTCTAGCGGAATAATACCGGTACTATAAATTCTTTTCTATATTTGTTTAAAAGTTTCCTTCGCTAATCCACCAGGGGCACGGCGTCAATAAGTTTGTCAAACAACTTTATTTTGATGCACCACCACCAACCAGGGCGACTTCGATTTTTTATTGCATGCTTTCGGAGCACACTTTTGCTCGATTTAAACTGGTTTTTTTGTCTCATATTTTCACTAATTAGTAAACTTAAGCACACCATAACAACAAAAACCGATGCCTACATTTAATTTGTCACCGCTCTCAATGGAACGGGCCATCTCGATTTGTGAATTGTAATTAAGCCTTAGCCGTGAGTGTTCACTAGATATTTTTTTTTTTGAGTATTTCAATTAATTTTTGTTTTTTCCAGAGACCGGCGAGACCAGAAGCAAGGGATTAGCGAATGCGAATGCTATACCCCTCTCCCAATACAGGGGAAGCACATACTGTGATAATTATTTTACCCAGCATGGGTCATGATGACGACGTTAGTAGCTGCTGGTTAGCTGGCTTAAGACCAGTCATTCTTTATTGATGAACTTGACAATTGAAACTCAAGCGACCACCAAAACGATTACTCGGGGCAAACCCCAAGTCTATTGACGTCCGTAGACATTCTCATCGGAATAGGAAATGTAGAGGAAGTAGTCCTTTTCAAAGTTCTCCTGGTATAGTGCTCCCATGGTGGCCGACGTCGGAGGTATCACATTGTTGACGAAGAAAAAGAGGGCATCGTCGGGACGCAGATTGATGCGCTTGCGGATGAGGAAATAGAACTGACCCACTGTCAAGTCGGCCGGCACCAGGTACTTCTTTTTGTCCAATTCAGCGTAGCGGGTTTTCGGGGCCTTCTCGACAATTACGGGCACACGGTCAGGATATTTGCGTCGAATCTTGTCACCTTCGTTGCGGCGCTTTTCGAAAGTGTGATCCTTCTTGTACTGAAAGATCATGTCCATCTCGGCAGATTAGTGTTTGGTGCAAAACGGAGCGAAACAGGATTTTTCGTTTTGGATTTGGTTGGATTTTTTTTGTAGCTGCCAGTTACAGTTGTCAGAAATATGGTTTCTCCTTTCAACTACAAGGCTAACTTTGACGGATAAGGAAGAGCTATCTTGTGACTTCTTACTTTTTAAAGTAAGCTAGTTTTAGTAACATTTTCTTTTTAGTCTTTAACTCTAAATTAGATCAATCTAATCTTTCTCAAAAGTATATTTCCTAATGTTATCTTTTATACTTCCCAATTATTCGAAATATTGGATTATTATAACATTAAAATCAGTCTGTAAATATAATTCAAGGATATAGTATAAAACACCTCGACATTATGCTCCAAATACGTATCCTATACTCCAATGACATATTCCTTTAAGACATTGACACTACTAACCGCAGAGCTCAACAAGTGCGTGTATATAGGGCCACCAAAAGCGAAAGCTTTCACCTGAACCGTCCGCAACGACAGTAATACACACAAAGCTAAAGCAAATATGTTTGGTTCCGTCGTTACGGGTGGCCGTCTCGTCGTTCGGACCAGCTCTTAAGCTCTCATTTCGCTACAGCTGCTGGAACTGCTCGGTTGTTCGCGCTCGGTGCTTTGTCGTCGTCCCACTTCCGTCTATACTGGAACAGTTCGTAGCTCAGTGGCTTCCGGTTGTGGGAAGGAATTATTAGCAAACCCCTTGCAACAGGTGTACTAAAGTTTTGCCAAAGACAATCAGAAAGAAAAAATCAAAAACATCAATTGTTCCGGTGAGCTAAAATATTTTTGGCAAATTCCTTTGTGGCTTGAATTGTTTACAGAAAGAAAAAAGAAAAATTAATGCGAGTGTGCGTGTACTAAAAATTAACAAACAACAACCGCCTGACCAAATGCACTGACAACGCTCGGAAAATCCATTATAATTCAGTATTTATTGGCCCATGTGATGGTCGGACAAAATTTATTTCACGATCCCTCCTTTGACGGCAACGGTGTGAGAATGCTTGTGCTAGCGCCTCCTTCCCATTAAATTATCAAATTTTATTTCGCCCAAAAATCTATTGTAGATTTTAGTGGCCGATTAGCTATAAATATGGACAGCTAATCTATGTGTCTGTGTCGATTGTGTATATGGCAATTACTAATTAAACTCACGGGTGCGAAACAAATCACCAATTGTGTTTCGTAATCTAAGAACTAATCGGGCTAATGGTTTTTGCTATAGTGCACTGGAACTATGCAATCTTACAATTTATTTTGCTCAAGTCTGTGATGAGATGAGCTGAGATTTTATGGAAATGGACTGATTTTGTGATGTGTGATTCGTCATTCGAGTGTCAGCATTACCATGTATTCGCTAATAGGTTGATATTTATAGATTTCAAGATTCAACAAATATTTCTTGATATCATACGAAGATGAATAGCTTAGCAACGGATTTTTGAAACATTGATAATAAAATTTCATTAAATCTGAAAATTTAATTTACTGTCAACAGACCACCGAAACAGAAAGTTTCTTCGGCCACTCAACTAGAACATTCTAATTTGATTTGTATAAATATTTTGCCGCTTTGTGGTCGCAAATTCATATAACTTTTTTTTTATAATGTTGTTAATACGGTAATTAACATTAATTCGTTAAAAACGACACTAGAACTTTCAGAATTGTGTTCATTGGGCCAGAATCTTTTGAATTCCTCCCACTTAATCGTGTGTGCTTTTATTACTTCAGTTTTATTAACGCCATTCGAAGAGTACAAACTTTGTTAAATCGACTTGTGCGTCAAACTAGATTTAATTCAATTGAAAACTGTTAACTATCCGCTCTGGATGCGAATGCAAATAATCAGCCAAAGCTGCCAATCAAGCAAAATATTGTGTAAATAATTGACTTAACTCATTTTCTTGGCTTTGTCGAAAGCACAATGAGAGATTTTTGTATACTCGAATGATTTTTATTATCGTTTTGTAAACCAATTGCGTCATTTCCACTGGATTTTCGTCAAGATTATTGTTAGCCAGTCTGTTATCATTTGAAAATCTGTTCACTCCTTCATCCAGGGTCAAACTTTGCCTTTTGAATTTCGACTAAAGGGTTCATGGAAACTTGCGCGTTCCGGCGGAGGTTGACGACTAGCCGAAGGTGCTAATTAAATTTTTACATTTTCCCTTCGTGAGAGGGCGCAGATAGCCAGATTGTGCACTCTGGCCAAAAGATCGCGGCTATAAAGCTAGCTGGAGCACATGCGAGAACAAATATTTGTTAATTAAAAGGTAGAAACATGGCGCACACCTGTCGGCAGTCTTTTGAGGTCTCAGATAAGCGGGTGGAATTAAAGTAGTTGGGCCCAGAACCTAGGCATATGTATATCTCCCGAATCTGCGCTCCCAGCCAATCTGGGCTTATGATATTACTAATTACGCGAAACTGAATGTTTCAATTAGCTGGTGAGAACTAAAATTAAGCACAAACACAGCCGTAAAGCGTCATGGCTCGTGGGGGCATTTAAAATAAATTTATATAGGGCCTGGAAACGTGATACGATGATATGAGATATTGACAGACATATAGACACAGACCATTGAATCTAAAAATAATGCAATAGGTTAAATATGAGTTTTATGCCTGCGATAACATATGTTAATTAACAAACTCCAGTCGGTTGGAATCGGAATGTTTGCATTATTTCTGTTTGCCTGCGTCTCTTTTTCCCGAGTCAGTGTCCTCCCGAGTGTCAAGTGTGATTTGTTTTCCTGCCACCGCAGGCTTCACTGTAACGTTGGTCTTTTATACGCGCGGGATTGATTGCCCAAGAAATTTGCTTCGAATACTCTTGGCTGAATTCGATTTTGATTTGTCGTTCGCTTTTTGTACGGTTTTGAAAATCAATCAAACACGCGTGTCGCGCCTCAGAACGTGACTGTCCAATTCACATTATGCCAAATATCTACGGATCTGCGGCGTTTACTCGATGCTATTTAACTTTATCATTCGCCAACTGAACGGGCAGCTTGATGGCTTCATTACGCAGTTACTGAGTCAACCATTTCATTTCATCCCCGACAGACTATCCTCTACAAGATGCATAAACGCATCCAAAGCTAATTAGAGGAAAACTACGGATATTTACCCAGGAAATGAGCCGCACATTATGTACTTAGGATCAGTCAGTGGAAACGACAGAGAGCAATGGAAAAGCACACAAACCTCTGCCGAACGGAGTCCACTTGGCGACCAAAGAAGGGTCTAAAGTGTCTGTCATTCGAGTACCTCTTCCGTCTGCTACTGCACCATCTGCTTCTAACATCGCTGAGTGGCCCGCATTGCGTATACGCCACGAGTGACATTGGCGAGGCGCTGAGCGCAAGCAACTGTCACGACATTCACCATGGATTCGATGTTTATCCCAATCCCAACGCGTTGTCCCTGGGTCAATCGACGGACACGCCTCTGACCCAGACATTGCCGCCATCCGCCTGGAAATGTTGCTGTTGGAATGCAAGTAATCAAGTAAGTGACTGATAGCTGAACACTTTCAACTTAATTATATATATTTAATAGTGAAGGTAGTAATTCAATAGCCTCTAGTCGGGGTTAGTTTAATGAGGACTTAAGGGCTAAAGCTAAAAAGATAAAATCATTTTTAATAACTCAAGAAGAACTCATCTACATATGTATGTATATAAATAAAAATGAATGTAACCATGTATGTCGAAAACGGCTGGACCAATTTTGATAAAAACATAAAAAAGAAAGTTAAACAAAAATTTAAATAAGAAAAATTTAGTAAAGTTGGCAGTTTTGATCATTTATAGTTGGTTGATCTACATAGCTCTTAACAGCTATGGCAACTCTCTATAAATTAAGTTGGCAGCCTTTTTTAAACGGATAAATTTTAAATTCTGTTTATTTTTTGAATGTGATTTACGTAAAAATGTATGTAAATTTTGAAATTTCTGTATACAGAAGATACTGCGGGTGGACATCGAAGGTGGAGGTTCAAAAAAATGAAAAAAAATTGTATTTATAGGCACGGCACGGCCGTCCTTCTCATTGAAATTACATCATTAATACGAGTAGAAAATAACTGAAAAGCTGAAGAGCCAAAATTATTTAAACCTTATTTGATTCCACTAAAATTTCTTAGAAGTGCTCTAAACCTAAACAATGAAGGCTTAATTGGGAAAATGTAGTCAAAAGGGCAATATTTCCCGGAATATACTTATAATATTGTACTAACATCTACCGCAGATAGAAGTTAAACCTGAATCATATTCTATTTTCTTTTTAGAATTTTATAATCCACGACAACGCAAAATAATATGATACAGAATAGGGATAAAACTGCATACATACATTTTTCATTATATTATTTCAAACCTACATAATCTCCCCCACCTGTCCTTCTCTATTCTAACTATCTACTTCCTACCTAACTAACCTTCTCTCTCCACAGATGGAAGAGGTGGAATGCCGTTGCGAGGGAGACGGACTAAACCGCGTACCACAAACATTAAAGTTGCCCATCCAGCGGCTAACTATTGCATCTGCGGGGTTGCCACGCTTACGCTACACGGGACTAAAGGTCTACGGACCCACATTGTTGGATGTGTGAGTTAAAGTGGTCATATTATCCTTGGTGCATATTTGTATTTTAGTGTTGACCCTTTACTCGACAGGGCTTTCACTGACTGCCAGCAGCTGGAACTGATACAGGATGGCGCTTTCTCTAATTTAACACTATTGCGCACAATGTAAGGCCTGATTATAAGTAGCAGCTTCAAGCAACCGAGCCCGTGATTATATATCTATTCTATATATTTACAGCTACATCACCAATGCACCCAAGTTGACCTTCCTCTCAAAGGACGTATTCCTTGGCATTTCGGACACTGTGGAAATTATGTAAGCCATTTTCAATTACCAAATCTCGCTTTAGGGCCCCATATGTGACTGATAGATAGATAGATGGTGGTGGCCAAAGGCAATAAGCACGCACAGCTGTGTGGCTTTATTAGTACAGAAAATGGGGTTTATTTTGTGCCATCGGTAAATATAGCACTTAATGCCCACCCACGCGGGGTCATCAGCTGAGTTCTATTGAAGTAGACAGCATTTTTTTGCTATCCACTTCATTTTAACCGGTTGGCAGAAGTATATAAAGCTTCTGAGAAAGAACTATAAACAGATTAAAGAATGCAATTACATTATGCTAAGTCCTTCTGGTAAAATAAAATATTTTAATCGAAATATTAAAAAGTAAAAAACACTTACTTTCCTTATTCCACGTAATGGGATTCAATGTTCGCACAGAAAAGTTTGATTCAAATGTATTCTATGAAAGCATTGAATTTCAACAAAATATAAATATTAAATGTACATACAAAAATTTTCCACTTCATTCTAAGTAAATATTTAATATCTTTTCGCATTTATGTTTAACTCATCCTGTGTGGTAGAAGCTTAGGAGCGATGTGGGTGTGGATATTTTAGTCTGTAGTGGGCGCGTGTGAGTTTACAATAATATTTCCTTTTCCCGACAGACGAATCATAAACAGTGGGCTCACCAGAGTTCCGGACTTGAGCCACCTTCCGCCGAATAATATTTTGCAAATGATGTGAGTAAAGCAATAAAATATCTAAAATATCTATAGTAATTATCTTTTTATATTGTTCTTTTCCGTCAGAGATCTCGATAATAATCAAATCACTCGAATAGATACTAAATCCATAAAAGTTAAGACTGCCCAATTGTAAGTGTAAACTGTTTGTCTTCTAGAATGATTTGAAAAACCCTAACATTTGCAGAATTTTGGCCAACAATGAAATAAGTTACATAGATGACTCAGCTTTCTTTGGATCCAAGATAGCCAAATTGTAAGTATTTTTTAAATTAGGAGACTTATTAACTGGAAAGTAATACTAATTATTAATTATGATTTGTTCAGGTCCCTAAAAGACAACCTAAAGCTTGAAATGATGCATCCAAAAGCATTCGATGGCATTATAGATATAACTGAACTGTATGTCTTCGAAAAGCATTATCTTAGTTTACAATACTAACTATCTAAAAATATATATAACAGCGATCTCTCCAGCACTTCGTTAGTTGGCCTACCATCAGTCGGTCTGCAGACCATCGAAGCTTTATACATTCAGAATACCCACACTCTGAAAACTATTCCATCAATTTACAATTTTCGGGTGAGTAAGATAAGATTATTTTTTGAAAATGTTTTCCAATAAGCTTGCTTTTTATTCTATAGAATCTCCAAAGGGCCTACCTCACGCACTCGTTCCACTGTTGCGCCTTTCAGTTCCCATCTCGCCACGATCCCCAGCGACATGCCCAGCGAATGCTGGAGATTGAAAAATGGCGAAAGCAATGCAAAAGTGATTCGGGATCCCGGAAGGAACGATCCACTTTGGACGGTCTCGACAATCAACCAGAAGACTTTGGCAGTTTTGGTGGCTCCTATCAGTCAGCAACAGACATATCGCCCATCACATTCTCTTCTATCGATTATATGGCAGATGATACAATGAACAAAGGCACATTTCATGAAAAGATCACCCTGAATCCAGAGGATGACATGTCAGCCGAACTTTGCGGCAATTTTACATTTAGGTAAGAATATACTTTTAAATTTAATAGTTGAGTGCTATAAAAAGAATTTTGTTACTGCAGAAAGCCGAATATAGAATGTTATCCCATGCCAAATGATCTCAACCCTTGCGAAGATGTCATGGGCTATCAATGGCTTCGCATTTCCGTTTGGATTGTGGTCGCTCTGGCCGTGGTGGGCAATGTGGCTGTGCTGACAGTAATTCTATCGATTAGGTAAGTCGTTCTTTGTCGTAAATTGCTAAAGATCTAAAACACTAAAAAAAATATTAAAAATAATTTAAAAAATTATTTTCCATAAACTTTCGACTGGCTTTTAAAAAGGGTGTTTTAGAAAGATGCTTAAATTCTGTAGATATATGTTTGTATATTGATGAAAATGTTTCTCCAATTTCTTTAAGTGCTTATAATCTTTTTCTATTACAGACCCGAAACGACGCCAGTTCCGCGATTTCTCATGTGCCATCTGGCCTTTGCCGATTTGTGCTTAGGAGTGTATTTGCTGTTGGTGGCCTCCATCGATGCCCATTCCAAGGGGGAGTACTTCAATTTCGCCTACGATTGGCAATATGGTGGGTAAAGCGGTTTTCTTACTCGGATTTTGATTTTACTGTCTTCGTTAACTATTTTCCACAGGGCTTGGATGCAAAGTGGCCGGCTTTCTCACCGTGTTCGCTAGTCATTTGTCGGTGTTCACGCTGACCGTGATTACTATCGAGCGTTGGCTTGCAATTACACAGGCCATGTACTTGAACCATCGCATCAAGTTGCGTCCAGCAGCGCTCATCATGCTGGGCGGCTGGATTTACTCGATGTTCATGTCCTCGATGCCCCTGTTCGGTATTAGTAACTATTCGTCCACGAGGTGAGCAAGTAGATATATCATTCTGGACTTCTATTCAACCTTAAACTCATGCCTTGTTTATTACAGCATCTGCCTTCCGATGGAAAATCGCGATGTATACGACACCGTGTATCTGGTTGCTATTATGGTCTGCAATGGCGTGGCCTTCTCCATCATAGCCGTGTGCTATGCCAAGATCTATCTGTCCTTGGGTCGCGAGACACGGCAGGCCCGTCATAATAATCCGGGCGAGTTAAGTGTTGCCAAGAAGATGGCTCTCCTAGTTAGTATATTATGATTCTTAAACTATAGCTATACTATAGCTTTTAACTCCTTTTAGGTCTTCACAAACTTTGCCTGCTGGTCTCCTATTGCCTTCTTTGGACTCACTGCTTTGGCTGGTTATCCACTGATTAATGTCACCAAATCAAAAATATTGCTTGTATTCTTCTATCCATTGAACTCGTGTGCCGACCCCTACCTTTATGCCATATTGACATCGCAGTATCGACAGGATCTCTTTACCTTGCTGTCAAAGTAAGTTTTATGAAAGTTATCCTGTATAATCTTAATTAAATGAAATCATTTTTTAGATTAGGTTTGTGTCGGCAGAGCGCTTTAAAGTACAAGGATAGCCTCTCTGGTCATCCCACATCTCGGTTCACCATTCACGGATCCATTCAGAGGCACGGTTCCCTCACGTGCAAAATGCAGACGACGATGACCACTGAGACACAGAAAATGCTGAAGAACAGCGAGGATTATGTTTAAACCGAAGCTTGGGTATTGTGAATTCACTTCTTCCCACCCCGTTGTGATATATACATATACTATTAATTTACGCTCTCTTGATTTGTTCCGCTATCTGATCCAGTATTGTTAGCATCCCATGATTAATGATATTTTTTAGCTTATAAGCTTGTTATACATTTTCTTGTCCTACTTAAGCCATTTAGTGTAATGTATACAGTTGTACCTAAGAAAAGTATTGCTAATAGAAAAGAGCTTGTCCCAGTCAAAGTATATATGGATAAACATGAAGTGGTTTCCTATTGGTGCATATATACAGATTTATTGTGAATGTTTTAAGTGTGAAGATAAAAAAGTTCTTAATGTTGATAAAGTATTTTCTTGTTTTTGTTTTAATAGATAAAGCTGTTAAGACTCATTAAACTACTTTAAATGTATGTGGATAAATGCGGAAAGTGTTTTATTTTTGCTAGTATTGCTAGTATAATAATGCTTGATAGATTAAAGTATCGCTAAAGTCCATTAGGATCGAAAGCATAAACTTTTATATGGCCATAAAATTTTACATACATTCTACAAAACTTTTCTACAGTACTTTTCTAGCGCCATCTATATTTGATAACTTTACATTAAAAAGACTGAAATTTCCCTTTAGTCAATCGGTAAGAACATAAGGACTTGTTTTTCCATCCCTGCCGAACAGCTGACTTCAGAAAGGACCAAACAAGTAACGGCGAAACGATGCGTTCTGCAATTTTCTTTGCTGTCTGTTTAATAATATTGAAATTCGCTTATGGTTACAAGGAGATGCACGGACTAAATGGAAAGCTTTTCCCAAAGGCTGCAACATTCAATTTTCCCGAGTATGCCTATAAGGAGACCAGCAAGAATGTGAGTCCACGAACATATTGATTTTTCTTGTCAATTAATCTCTTTTAAATGCCCAAAACAGGAAATAACCTACCATGAACTTGAAGTGACATGTGACCAGCATGCCCAATGCATAAATCTAACTCCTGTGGGCGTGGCCAAGATCAACTGCATCAGGCAGTGTATATCGCCTTCCTGCTACCAGGACATCTATGCCTTCAATGAGCTGGAAGAGGGCGAAATCGATGCCAGGCTGAATTCCTTTAAGGGCTGCGTCATCCAGCGCATGTAGCAGCGACCCCAGTTGTTCAAGGAGTGCTTCATCTTCAAGTGGTTAGAACTTACTGGGATTACTTATTAAACGAAAGCTATGTTGATCTGTGCCCAAGAGAAGCATTTAAAGGACTTGTAATGGCTAATATTAACCCTCTTGTGAGGCTTATATACATTTCTAGGAATGCTGTAGAAACTGTTTCTATAGAACTTTCACGGACTTGTTGCCTAATTATGTTTAAAAAGGATTTCTGTAACTTTTTAGATAAAATGAAATTTATATATAGATTGGTAATGCGATCAAGGAACTGTCTTTAATGTTAAAGCCAAATTTAGTAATAAACTTTTTCACTGAAATCAAAACTCTAGAAATAATGTTTATATGGAAAAATCCAACAAATTAGTATCAGTTAAGTAATATTTTTTATTGCTGTTAACAACTATTTTTGAAAATATTTGCTTATGTTTCTTAATTCTTTCTTTTATAATATTAGAATCTAATTTTTGAAACTCGAGTGCAGTAGTAGCCAAGTCCTAACCCAAAGACTCCTTAGAAATAACAGCTTCTTTAGCAAAAATGTTAATTAGCTATGCATTAAAAATTGGGTACGAATTCAACTTATAACTTAAATACTAATTACTTTTTTAAGTTCAGTGAAGGAGTAATGACTAAATCAATCTTTCTATCATCAAAAAGTGCTCCTGTCAACCAGCCAAACCAGTTTTGCCCAGACTGAATGTTTGATTTGAATTCAATACACATTCAATTGCATATATTATATGTACAACGGAGTACGTGAAGCAGGAAAATATTGTAGTGCTCAAACGGTTACAACGGCAATTTCCGAAGGAAAATACAATTTAACTTTACGACTCTTGCGCCTATGACAACAATTGGCGTTGGCTTCCACCGAATCCCCTTGCATACCCTTCGAACCATCAACCTTTTGATATTCCATACGCATTCCTAGATCAATCAAGCCAAATCAAGCGTGTTGTATAAATAAACTACTCACCCACACACCCGCTAACCACACACACACACACACACCCATACAGTGATACGCACATATTTGTGCTAGTGCGGCGTTTAAGTTTAGTTCGGTAATTAAAAGCGAAATGCTCATAAAACGAAAATTTATTAGCATTGTCTAAGCGAGTGTGTGTGTGTGTATGTGCTTTTGTCGAGCACACAAACTATGTCACTTGGTGCTGTGCGTGTGTAATACAATTGCACATGGAAGAGGCGTGGCATGGGCGTAAAGGGATGGGGCGTGAGCGAGGGACGGCGGAGGCAGCTACATGTGGGTGTTGAAATCCCTATGGATTTTTAATGTGCTTAATTTGAGTGACAGCTCCAAAATGGGCACGATCGATTTCTGTGTGCTAACACGCCCATCGGCCCCGCCCACCATTCAAGTGAATGTCAATGTCCACGCACACACACACCACACGGCGAGAAAATGACTCCAATTGGCCATCATTGGGTTATGTTACCATATGAAATTATAAGGATATTAAACTGGATTTACGTAATACAATTTGTATTGCATACTTTTTGTCTACTTCTGAAATTGCTAAAAATTCCTGGGCAACTAGGATCAAAATTAGTTTCAAAATAAAATTATAACTATTAAGTCGATTCTTGACTATTCTTGTTTGCTAAAAAATCGGATCAAAAAAGATTCTGATATGATTACCTCGTGAGTTTCTCTATTTTTCTTTGTCTTTGTGAAGTCACAAATTTATTAGACTAGAAAATTGTAATAAACATTTTTTTAATTTATATTTAATAAAAACATGTTATAACGTGAGATTTATTTCCATTTCTTAAGAAACTTTTACAGACACAAAGAAACAACAGAGATTAAATCGTTAATTACTTTGTTTAAATTTTAAACTTCCTTAATCAAACCTAACCATAACCTATCTTCCCTGTGTACCTCCAAATTGAGATGACAATATGGAACTGATAATGCTAATTTCCTTTCACAGTGCACACACAGCCGCGCACTCCCTTCTGTCTTATCAATTACATGAAACCCATTTATTACCATCTGCATATGCAAACCAATGAGTGACGATGCTACCAAACCTCCAGAAAAAACCTCATGATAGCCCCAACTCCCTTTGAATTTTCATCCTAAGCCAAGTTCAGCTCATCTAATTTCTGGCTTGCTAATTCAGCGGAGTGTCGCACAGTCTTTAGAATGAATCCTCCTGGCAAGCACAAAGTAAATTCATAATTAATACGTTTGCAAAGAGTGATAAAGAAAAGAGAAACGAAATTAACGCGAACGACTTGTACAGTGAGCCCTCTGTGTACACAAACAGTCAACAGAGTCGCACGCACACACACACAAACACACACACACAGAAGAACGAAACGAAGCCAGAGCGTTTGGCAAATTAGCCAAATGCGTTATTTGGCCCACAAGCATTTCAGTTCAGTTTCAGTTTCAGTCGCTCACGGAACGTCCTGGCGTTTGGCCGCAAAAAAAAAAACCAGAGAACAAAATTCCAAAAAAGCCAAGAAAACCAAAAGAGCCAGTAAAGCCACAAAAAGCTCGAGGAATTCAGCGTGAAAGTGATATAGAAATTCAAAACGTTAAATGTGCGAAAAGTGTGTATTTAATTTAATATATATATATCTTTGGTGATCTTTGCAACATCTGGATGTAATCAACTGATAAATTTATCAATTAACTAGCTGCTATCTGGCCAAAAGGCTAAACTAATGAGGTTGTCGCGTTTTTTTCTGTTTATCTATGTGTGTGCAACAAGTCTGTGATCTGACATTGGTATACTCATATATATATATTGTCCTGTTCACCCGGCGCGAACTAATCAAATAAATACGCCGGTTAATTGGGAAATGCATATTAATGAGACTGGGGCCAGTAACTTCGCCCACGCCCCCTCAAGTGTACCATCCACCCACGATGCCACCACCTATCATCAATCGACGGGTTCACTGGCAGCTGTTACCTCTGCGCAATTCACCTTTCTTTTCTTTTTTTTTTGTTTTATATTTTTTGGCCTTATTTATGGCACCATTACTTTGAGCCCCGTTGTCTCGATGGCAATGCCAATGTTTTGATGAATCATAGAGAGTCGTGCGAAAATCTAATCTAGCCAATTGCTTTTATGTTTGCACTTAATCCGCGGGCTTAGCACTTCGATTAGTCAGTTTCGGCAATCCCCCGTCTTCTCACGCAGCCACATGTATTTTTAATTTTATATCAGAATTTCCTAAATATTTTCCAAACAAATCCGGCAAATGTGTGTTGTGCGCCGTGATAAAACAATAGCAAATAAATAGAAAAAAATATGAAAGATTGTCTAGTTTCGTAGGTCGAAGTGAGAATGCTCTTGTGGATCTATGGTTTAAGCGGTTTAGTGTTAGACATTTCTGAAAAAAATAACTTTGAAATCATAAACAAATTTGATCAAACGTAACTTTCAAAGGAAAATTCATTTTAAACATGAAACAAACTTAAAGTTTTTACTTTTCTAATCTAAAGTAGCTTTTCATTACATTACAAGTTTGAATAATGCCGAATAATTAATACAAATTTGGTTATAAATTCTTCTGCTAAAAGAGAGATATTTTAAAATAATATTTAAAGAACCATCTTAAAGGTCAACATAATAAATATCGTTTTGAAACAAACAAAGTTAAACAAATCTTTAGGTAAACGGCTTTATAATAAACTACAAAAATTGTTTACCAATTCTTTTTCAAAACATCAACAGCAGAAGTTTTATTCAAATATCATTAAAAATATAAAAGATTTTTAAACAAATTTTAGACAAACCAGAAAATATCTCCCACTTCCTTATCTCTACTTATAATACCCTCTAACAGGGTATAACAAATAATAAATCCGAAAAGTATGAGCCGAAAGAAATAAAAAATGTAAAGCATTGAAAGAATTTTTGCCCTGCCGACATTTGTGTACTTTAATCGACAACACAAAAGAACAACAACAACAACAACAACAAAAGCTACCAACAAAATCTGAGAAAAAGAATCGCGTATACGCCACGTTGACTATTCCGTTTCGCGTAGAGCATTGGATGCTGTTAGAGGGGGTGGTGGTAGGCTGTCTGGTGGATGGGGAAGCGGGAGCACCGCATAGCATCTCAGGTTGGACGTTCCGACAACCGACAGCCAACTGTCAGTTTGTAATCAACGCGTGCCAACAGCAGCAGCAGCGGCGGCAGCTGTGCGTGTGCATAAGAAACTTTTGGGGTCGCCCCACCTACAATCTATCCGAACCATCCGCCACCTCTCCACCTTTTGAACCAACCATCTGACCTCGTGATCCTGTTCGTTTCCGTGACCTATAACCCATCGATGGCTAACAAATGGCAGCATTACATTGCTGACGAAAACCCATTGTGCAAAGCCGGAGACTAATCACTTAACTATTTATAAAGCAACGCACATGCAAGTGTACACGGAAAACAATGTGAATTTGGCTAAATATCGATTTGAATTTGGTCAGGCCAAAATGGAATCAGTGATTAAAGTAACAGTTGAAAGATAGAACAGCCTTTAATTAATGTGATAAGAAAACGTAAGAAAAGTTTAAGGAAAAAATTTCACGGCTCATTTCGAAGTCTATACACTTTTAACAATGTGATAATTATTAAACATATCAAAAGTGAATAATTATTTAAAGAAAGCTAAACAAATCAAGAGACTAGTAAAGATATTTTTAATTATTAATATCAATGAGTATCTATAAGGGGATAAATCTTTTCTAAATGTGAAATATTACCATGTTTTCATGGCAATCTCAAATTAATTTTTATTCTTCTATCAATTATGAGTTTGTTAAGTCTAGTGAACTATTAAAATGTTATTTCCGACCGCAAGCTTAAGCCGTTTATGAGATATCTAAGAATTAATGCCCCAATAAAACATTTCTCATAAAGTGTTAATCTGACGAACTTATCGTTATGATCTATTTTTATAATCAGTTGATGTTGAGTAGGTCATCAGAATAAAAGCTTATGATTTCTTGATGGTTTCAAATATATATGCCAATAGTGATGCCAATTTCTCACTGTGCATTCTGAGAGATACTCAGATTTGAGAGATGCAGTTTTGTGTACTAGTACTCTCGGTGGCAAAGTGTTTATCCAATCTGTTTGTCTTACGGGTGTGGACGAGCAGACTTCAGATGTGGGAGCCGGAGACTGGCTGTAGTGTCATCCGATCGAAGGTCGCCCAGCACTGAGATTCCGAGATTTCAATTCCAATTTTAATGCTGATTCTTCAGCCGTAGGAATTCCTCTGGGTGAGAGCATGTGCCTGATTTATTTATTGCCAGTCTTTCAAGCGATATAAACAGAGCAATACGAAAACAGACGAATATAAGTTTTTCTTTTGCAGTCGAGACTATTTGCCGGCTGGTCTCGCAATGGAAATTGAAATTGTAAATTGCAATATTAATTGGAAATCATTTAAAATTGTTTTTTTTTGTCGGTCTATGCATGTTTGGCGGCATAATTTATGGGCGCTAATTACTTTCGCCCCCGTTGTTGTAGTATTCGGTGTGCTGTCCAAGGCCAATTACGCTTACTTATTGCAATTTATGTGGCCACAGTCCGGCCGTAATTGGAAATTGTGTAAGGTCGCAGGCAATTCCATTATTTGTATGCAGTTCTGGTCGTTCTTTTCTTTCTAATGACGCCATCGCATTTGGGAACTGGGGACAGAACCTAGCCCAGTTTGATTAAGTGATCTTCTTTCGCCCAAACAGAATCAATTTGTTGATGTCGAATTCGGTTCGAGGAAAGCTCCACGCGTAGAGCCTAGAGTTATCCGTCGGAATGGGGGTATCGGAAAGCGGCCTGCTCTACTCCAAGTTCATGTCCAATGCATTGAGTGTGGCCACTGGCAATAGCTCCTCGGATGGGACTTTACTCCTTATCCAAACCACATCGTCCTCACCGCCAGCTGGTGATGTGTTGGCCACCGGAGCTAGCAAGGTGGGTGTGCCATCGATGAACTCCTACCTGGTCAGTATGGCATGGCCGAAATCGCTGGCGGTGGCCGTCTTCCTTATCCTCATCCTAGTCACCGTGGTCGGTAATACACTCGTCATCCTAGCCGTTTTGACCACACGCCGCCTGCGCACCGTCACCAACTGTTTCGTGATGAACTTGGCCATCACCGATTGGCTGGTCGGCACCTGTGTGATGCCTCCATCGGTGGTCCTCTACATAACAGGTGAGAATGGCACCGGACTGGGGACCTGTCCATGCCCATCGACTTCTGAAGATTTATGGCCCTAGTGGGGGCATTACACTTACCGGGCAGGAAAAGGAATCGGGGAAAGTGTTTACTATACGGACCACTTCTGTGCAAAAGTTCGTATAGTAAACATTTACCGAAATCAACGGGGAGCACATTTGCTCGATTCCGATTCAAAAAAATCCCATAAAGAAAAATTATACAATTTCCACTTTGCTAAAAATAAAGCACTTTTTTTTTTATTCGTTGCAAACATTTTGCGAGTGTTGCACGTTTTTTATTGGTTTCGGTGGAAAGACTTTGATAATCTTTCTAAAAATGAAATCAATTCTGAAGTAGTCTTGATGTGTTCATAATTTATCGAAATTTAAATTTATTTCACTTTTTTTTACGAATTAACAAAAGGTTTTTAAAGCGAAAGAGCTTTTGGTAGATCTTCGTTTTTAACCTAATACGTATAAAGTACAGATTTTCCATAGAGATTTCTGTTTGTTTTGTTTAATAAAATGTTTTTATAAGTGAAGTAAAGAAATATACAAAAGAAATTAAACAAATCATCCTTTTAGTAAATCTCTTTTCTAACTTTCGAGTCAATCGAGGATCAGAAAGTTAAAGCTTCTCCATTATAACTTCCGTCATTCGGGAAACAACTTAGAGTTATTTTTTGTTAAAGAAACAGTGCCCGTGTAATGCCTCCTTAATCCCAGGCCAGGTGCACAAACCGACTCAAGCATGACGACAAATATTTATATTCTGCAGGCACTTGGCGCTTCGGCTGGATACTTTGCGATATTTGGATCTCGCTGGATATCCTGCTATGCACTGGGTCCATTCTCAGCCTGTGCGCCATCAGTCTGGACAGGTGAGTTGGCCAACTAATTTCTTAATTTGTCGTTGATGTCATAGCAATGGCCATAGACTGTAGTCAGTCCTTAGACAAAGCCATGGCAAGGTGCAAAAACAGTGCGAAATAATTTATTTGTTGACGTTTTTATTGCTGCATGACCGTTGTCGTGGCCATTCGTAGTGCATACCCTTTGAGTGTCCGACGCCACAATGGCAAGGATTGGGTTGGGCTGACATTGCCGGGGCTTGGATTCCACCTCAGAACCTCTCATCCACCCCGTCCATAGCTTTTGTTGGAAGTTTCAATTACATTTTAATGGCATTTCCAAGTTTTGTGTTGTGGCTCCGGCTCCTGCACACCGAGTTGAGCTGATCCAGCTGAGCCCAAGCCCGAACCCGTTCCCGTTCCCGTTCCCTGTTACTGGAGCCATGGAGCTGAACCTGTGGACAGCGTTTTGTTTGCCTTTTGGCCTGGCCAGAAAGCCGCCTGCGGCTTTGCGAACAATATGTTCGCTTGGCTTTTGTTTTTTTCACCATTTCTCTGGTCATTTCTGTTGCGTTTATTGGCCAGGCCTTCTTTTTTTTAACGTTTTTGTTTTTTTACTTCGCAGGTATCTCGCCGTCACACAACCCTTGACGTACTCCAAGAAGCGGCGCTCCAAGCGACTGGCCCTGCTCATGATACTCGTCGTGTGGATAACGGCCCTGTCAATCACATGTCCACCCTACTTGGGCTGGTAAGTAAAGCTCCCACCAGCTGCACGGAAAATAAAATGATCCTAGCTCATAATCAATTAGCTGTTCATTTATGAATAAATTTTCATTATTATTTGTAATTTGAAAGATTTTAAGCTATAAAAACATTGCATTTAAAATTAGTTACCAAGAAAAAGCATTCCAAATTCTGTTTTTAAATCTGATTACATATTAAATATTATATTAGTTTGTTTTTTTACAAATTTTTTTAGTACAAATTTCTTATTTAATTTTTGTTTTTTTTTCCTTGTGTACCCCTCTCCTCTTTGACTACTTTTTTTCCTCTTCCGGAGGCGTGACGAATTTTCGTGGCTTTTTGAAGCTTGGGGTCTTATTCCGTTTTTTACTTTTCGCTAATGGCTGTGTGGCCCAGTATAGATAATGTGTTATAAAAGGGTCTCGAAATACATACGTTTATTTATATTTATATTTGTGCGCCTTCAGCTGCGCCTTCAGCTGCGCCTTCAGCTGCGCCTAAAAAACATTACGTAATTGCGAGAGTTGTTGTTGGTCTTGCAGCCATTACATTGAAGTTTTAATGAGTTGTTAATGACTTTGTTTGCCGCGGCGCATTTGCTTTGTTCTCACCTACGCACACATGCTTAGCCCGAAAAAGCCGCGCACTTGTGTGTTGCATACTTCCAGGCGCCCAAATTAACCAGCACTCACTAGCACACACTCGCACACAACACCACAAAGTCAGCATGTCCTTAATGCCATCGGCCATGGCTTAGTTTGCCGCTCAGTTTTCCCCTCTTCCTAGCACCGAAAAACATGGCTTAAAGGGCACATTAAAACGGTCTGAGGCCGAATTATAGCCACAGCTGCAGGACATTGGAAAATTTCGAAAATTTGTGCTAGGGGAAAATTGCAATTATACGGGCAGCATCTGGCTGCAACTTGCCATATTTCAATTCTTTAAGCGGAATAGTTTAATAAAAAAACTTTGTACTTGGTGGTCCAATAAAATTCCAATGCAAATTTATTTCATTTTTGGTAGCACTTTAATTATCTGTAATTTCGTTTATTTGTTATTTTAATGCTAATGGGAAAGTAACTTTGTTTCATTTTGTTAATTATCTAAATGCTCTAAGTGCAGGCGGAAAGGTTTTAAGTAAGTTTTTTAGTAGTGATTAATTAACTTTTAGATTTGTAATAAGTTTTCAAAAATCTTCAATCTTTAAGTTACTAAAGTGGCAGTTAAAGTTTTTGAAATATATTTTGGTTAAGCTAAAAAATGAGAAGAAATGAGAGAAAGGTTTTCTCTAATATTTTTGTTTTCATAAAAACCCATTGGCCTCGTTAGCAGACTTATAATCATTTTTGTTCGGATAATTCCCTATCAGGTCATATAATTAGCCTAGCCCAATGCAATGGTGGCAACAAACAAACACACAAAACAGATAATTCATGGCTGCCACAATAGAATATTACAACACCGGAAAAATTCCATTCTATGTGACATTTTTACCTATTTGTCATTCAATCCCCCGAAGAGTCCTCCATAGTTGGTGCGTTCCTCCAACTCCGACTCCAACTCCAGTCTACCATGACTTTACTTTGTTATCGTTACTTGGGAATCGTTCCTCTGCCATATTGATTTAAAGTCATCTCCGATTTGTGTTGGCTGAATGACCATCACAGGAAGACGTACATAAATAAAAGGCTTCCACCAGTTGGGACTACAAACTGACTTTGGTTTTGGGCTTAGGATTTGAATTTGAATTTCGCCCTGCTTAGCTCAGGCGGTTGTCATTCCCAAAACTCCCAGTAACCAGTACCCAGAAACCGCAGCTCCAACCGCAATCATAAGACCACAAGAGCCACCAAGCCACCCAGCCATCATCTAACCATATATGCCATCCCAACTACCATCCCTACCAACGTAACCACATGCAATTCGAACTGGAATTCAATTTGCCATTCACAGGTACGAGGCGGGCAGGCATCAGGAGGAGTTCGTGGACTGCCGCTACAACCAAAACAAGGGCTACGTGGTCTTTTCGGCAATGGGATCATTCTTTATCCCCCTCACGGTGATGCTGTACGTCTACGTTAAGATTGGTTATGTGCTCACATCACGGCGACAGCGCATTGTGCGCGATGCGGTAAGCTTTACCACTACTCTTACACCTTACCAACATACATACTTTCCATTGAAATGTCTCTCTCGAAATTTATCATGTCACACCATCTAACCAACTAACCACCTGACTAAGTTGTCAACCACTGAGGAAAAAGAAGCCAGTGATTTATCTCAGATTGCTTAACCCATCAAATGCAGATCTTCATTAAGTTGGAGTATCTAACTAGAAATGGGTATTAATGTATAGTCTAGTTTTATTCTTGGTAGCTCTTAATATTATAAGTACTTATCGCTGAGAGTTCTTGGTGATATTTTAAGTAGTGAGCTTTGATAAGGGATGTCTTGCTAATGCAGCGCAGATAATAATTCACAAGCTATATTTTCTACAATGTTTATGTTTATTTTAAATAACAAAAAGATGAGAACTGAATAAAAAATAGTGCTGTGTTTTTTATTGTCATTTACAAACTGCAATATTTGCATTGCAAATTAGCCAACTTATTGACTTAAAACCAATCACAGATTCATAATTTTTGTGACTTTAAAATGTGTTAAATGTGTTTAACAAGTTTTTGCTTTTAAATTATTAAATTATTTTTTTAGTAATGGACAAATATCCCCTCCCCTTAACATTAAATCCACTCTCTACAAAACCTAAAGTAAATGTAAAAAGAAGTCAAGTTAAAGCGGAAATAAGTAATTAAAGACGTCCAAGGCAATCCTAGTAGAGACCTCCTAAGCCTAGACATGCAATCTAAATTATTCCTTACTTTTTTGTCAGTGCCTTGCTTACATTTCTTCTCTATTCTTTCCAAACAGAACTCAGAGCGCACGGCGGACTACGATGTGGATGGGGACAACTTCATCTCGGAGTCGGAACATTATCACTGCACGCCAACCAAGTGGCTGCCGAATAGAAAGTCCCGCTGGAGGTTCAGCTCACTCCATGACCCACCCAGCAGCACAAATACGACTAAAGGACAGCAGTCGTCCGTCAAGTGCTCCAAGTGTTCCACAGCAACTGGAGTGGGTGTGGGTGTTGTTGGAGGTGTCCCAGTGGCGGACAAAACGCTGACGTTCAAACACCAGCCCACTTTTTACGAGCTCGTCGAGGTGTCGCGTCTCTCCTCGCTCATTCACTGCTCGGCAATTAGCTGCAAGTACGGCGGACCTTGCATGCACTCAACGCCCTCGGGATTGCACTATGTGGGCACGGAGGCCTCCTTTTCGGAGACACCTGCCTGGGTGCCACGAGTACCAATGCCACCACGACACTGGAGGCCACTGAGAAACTGGAGGCGGAGTCCCAACAAAAACAGCAGCAGCAGAAATCCTTCGATCTACCACATGGCCATCATCATCCACATCATCATCATCATCATCATGGCTCCCAGAACCATCATAACCACCATCATCGGATGCCGATGCGAGTTTCGACCACGAAACGTGATAGCAAGACCGCCAAGACCCTGACAATTGTGATGGGCGGCCTAATTGCTTGCTGGCTGCCCTTCTTCGTCTATTATCTACTGATACCCTTCCTGCCACGACCCGCCGTCCTTGAGGACCTCATGTTCGGCTTCACCTGGATTGGCTGGGTCAACTGTGCCATCAACCCGTTCATCTACGCCTTTTACAATCCCGACTTTCGCACTGCCTTCTGGCGGCTCACCTGTCGTCCCATCTGCAAGCAAAAGCGTCCGCCCAACCACCTGGCCATGTTTCGTGGCTAGTTCCCGGATCCGGTTTCCAGGTTTCCAGCTCTCCAGTGTAACCTACTTGAGCGTGTCACAAAGTCCGCATTCGCACAATCAAAGCTCAGTTTGGTAGGGGAAATATCTCAGGCATATCCTAATGTTTTTTCATCCTGCTGGTTCATTAACTTTTCACTTTTTAGAGTTTAGAAAAGTCAGAGCTGGGCTAATTAGTGGAGAATCTTTTTACAAGAGGTTTGATATTCAACTTCTTAGTATCTCACAGTATTGCTTATGAAAATCACGTTTCATTGTCATTGAAAGAAAGTACAAATAGTGCTAGTGTAGAAAGAGTTTTAAGCTAGCTTAAACCTTGAATTTAGTTTTTGAAATAATTGTAGCTTAAAATAAGCAAAGACCAATACAATTTTTGTTGCCAATTAGGGGAACTTCTTGTTAAAATGTAAGATAAGAAAATTCCATTGTATACGCATTGCTTTTTTAATGATAATAAAATTTAATGGCATTATAATTAACTCAGCTTGATGATAAGCACAGAAGATAGTAAAATGTGATGCCTTCGCATTTTATTCTTGTAAAAAAACTACAAAATTCCAAACTAAATTCCTTTGAAAAATGAAATTAATATTTGAAAAAACTACAGTGAACTCTTAACCTTTGAGGATCTAAGCTGTTTGTTATACTCTATCATCTCCGCCAAACGCGGCTACTAAAACTAAGAGACTTTCGGTCAATATTGATTTAAAGAAGATTGTTAAGCCTTGTTAAGCCGAAAACGATGCCAACTTTTGAAGCTTCTGAATTTAGCAAGTAGTATCTTTAAGGCCACTTCCTTTTTGGGGCAGTCTCTTTAAGACTCATTGGACTTGGCCGGAAGTCGAGATTCTTTCCCAGACCCAGATCACATTCCTATATATACACCAGTATATATAGTATTTTTTGGTATCTGTGTGCGAGAGTTGAGCGTTGATTGTGCGAAGAGCGAAACGAAACAAAAGACAAATTATAGTATTTGCGAGTCTTTGTTGCCTGACGGCAACTGTTGACCGTCAGGATGATGAGGATGATGATGTCCTCATCCTAATGCCTTTGTTGTGTGCGTCTAGTTTGTATGTGTGTGTCGTCCACGCTCTACACACTAGTAGCTGTAGCTGCTAGCTGCCAACGACATATCTGGCGTATCCTTTGTTGGCCAAGTCCGGTCAAGCTCGGCCTAACCCCGCAGGCACGGTACACAATGTCCGGCCAACCCATTTAATGTTTAAGCAATCGCAATCGCACGGCACACGTTGCTCCATGCTCCGGTGCTCGCAGAGGCTCTCCAGGCAGGCGAAAGTGAAACTGTAACTAAAACTAGACCGGATTTGAAGCTGCACTTGAGCCTGCTGGGATTTTAAATGGCCTCCAGAACCCCTTTGTCCATATCCAAACACACACACACTAGGCTTGTTAAGCATTTTAGTCCAACTAATTTGTATATATATATTTATATATATAATATTATGTATTATACTTGGAACCCCAACTATTTATGTTCTTTATAAATGTTCACCTGGAATGGATCTCTGTAAAAGAGCTCTATCGGCCAGCCGAAGGAGTTCTATAGTAATAAACTTTAAGTTCAACTCGAAGGCAGTTTTATTATGCTGGCGAAGGTAGGGAAAGGTGAGGTAAGGTAAGGAAAAAAAGCTGACTTGAACAAGGGTAATATGCCAAAAATATAAAATATGCTCACAACTCACAGCGGTGGTTTTCGCCATTCACCTATAAATTGTCACACAAAAGTTTTATGGACAATTTTCGGTGAACACGTCTTTTCGTTCAAAATGCAGGTAGTACGTGTTCTTTGCGGAAAATGAAAAGATTTCCCAAGTTAATGCCGCTATAAATATGAAGTACTTTTTATTTATTTGGAAATATTTTTAGCACTACTTTTGGGATTTAACAAATATTCTCTTAAAAGAAAATTAAAAAGCAAAAGTACGAGTATGTTACTCCCATTTATATCCTTCTTGTGATAAGTATCTGTAAGTATTTCAATGTCTAAGCTGCAGTTCGTAGTTCGGTTGATAAAAGCTTAGCTGAACTCGAAGAGAAGTCTTAATTTATTGGTCAGAGAGAGGGCGGCGGACGGGAGAGTCAAAGAGGCGTAGAGCATAGCGCACTTTTCAGCGCCAGCCTTGACTTCATTTTTTGTGATTTATTATTGGAAGTGGTAACCCGATGGCCGCCACTAAGTTGTTTACGGCCAAGAGGACGGAAGCAAAAGAAACGCTGAATCAGCCAGCACCGGGAATATGGCTTCAGGAATACGGCTGTGACTACGGTTACCAGCTGGGTCTGCGGTGGCGTTACATTAATTTTAGCTGGAAATAAGGCGTGAAAAAATATGCGGTCATCATAATTACATATAACCACCAACACCAACACCCCCATCCAAAAAAGAACCCCAACAAACGCGGACCGCCCACACACATGTGACTAATATAAAAGCATGACAGGGATTGGCGGAGCAGAAGCCGGGCTGGGATGGAGGCTTTAAGGGCTTCAAGGGGCCATCCACCCGCTCTCTAATGAATTGCAACACATTTCGCTGTCACATTTCACTTTCGAGTCGAGCTCAGCGGAAACGGTCTCCCTTAATGCCCCCTGTCAACGGCCTGAAAACTCCGTACCCTCTCCGTACTTGCCTTTCAGTAATTTTTGGCTTTTTATAGCCCGGTGCTTGTAGAAACCAAACAGGGTATGTTCTATTTCTGGCCACTCAGGTAACTGAGGTATTTCGGTTCTAATTAAGTTGGTAATTATGTTAATTGATCGATGGGATAGTTGTCCTACTATATAAATACCAGCTAAAATCTTTATCTTAAGAAGGAAGTAGCCAGCTTTCATTTGGATTTTAATTAATTAATGTTGGTATAATCGATATTTTTATTATTATTTATTAAAAATGTATTAGATACAAAGTGAGACAAGCTGCTTCAAAAGCAAAAAGAGTCATTTAGAGCTATAGAATCAGAGTTCATGGGCTTGATAAGATTAACCTCATCTTCATCACTATAAACACCTCATTAGGTTCCAAAATAATAAACATTTTAAAATGTGGAATAAACAGCAAATTAGTTAAGAGTTATATAATTCCAAAACCAACTTAATCTGCTTTATAATTTGTTATTTCCCCGATTAAATGGTATATCTCAGTCGTAACTCTGGCCTGCATAATTTTTTGTTATTCGCCTGGAACCCTTACCTTACCCATTTCACCACTTTGTTGGCTGATATCGCATAATGTGTTAAATTAAATGGCAGCGGTTCCTGGTGAAAGAGGCCAACAACCAGGTATAGCAACGGAGTAGGAAGAGTTGGTTGCCATCCTGTCATCCTATTTTCAGCACGCCTGCCACCTGACAGGGTGCTTAGGTTAATGTTGTTTGTTGGCCCAAGATTTTCGGTTATGTCATCGCAGCATTTGTGGGTTATGAACATCAACAAAAACGAAAACAACTGAAAAGGAATACTACATCGATATTTTTTGGAGCATTTAACAAGTGCTTGGGAGAGGAAAAGTTTGCAATCTCTCATGACAAATGCCCTGCAAATGTTTTTCAAATGAACTTTGGTTTTATTTCGGCTTCTTTTGTTTGCGTCGCCAAGTTGTTTTCTGGCTTTCTTGTTTTTGTGGCCCAAATGAGTCTCCTCAAGTGCCCAAGCCCAGCCCCATCTCTCTCTGGTGAAATTCGAAGTAACTTTGGTTGCCTGCTCAGCCGATCAATTTATGTTATTCAAGTTGGGCACGGGCTCAATTAGAGTCTTAAAACTCCATTTAGAGGATGCTCAGCTGAATCTCCATCCCCCGCGGGATGGATGGATGTGGATACATGGGTTTGGGATTGGGATTGGTAGATTGGGAGATGTGGCAGCAGCTACAATGAAATATTCATGACGGTATGGCGGGGTTAGCTCTTCGTATTTATGGTTATTTTCCACACCAAACACAACTTTGCTCTCTAACCGTGCAGCTTGGTGTATTTCCTCTTCTCAGTTTTTTTTTGTTTTTTCCGGGGTTTTCCCCTTGAATTCGTCGACTGACTGGCGGCTCCTGGTTAAATATAAATATACAAAGAAGAAGTACGGAAAAGCACAAAACTCGTATGTGAAAGCGAACGGGGGGAGTTCAGTACTGTTCCGCACTGTACAGTGTATCTGCAGTTGCGAATTCAATTTTGAGACTGATCAATAATTCACGTTACCCGCACTAACCATTGTTCCAGGACTAGGAAGTCCCTTCTACTCATCCGGCACCTTAAAGTGCAGAGAGAGAGAGAGCGAGGGGGTGCTGAAATAATAAAAAACAATCTCTGGCTGTTTTGGGAGTTTTTGTCTTTTCGAATTGTCTATTTATTTGTTCGGTTCTTCCACACAAAAATTGTCTGTTCGTTACACATACACAACTATTAATATATATCTAAATATACATATTTGTATAATATATATATGCAGATTATGCTGGATTATGTATATGATATATCAGCCGGAATGAGAGTGAGATGCGTGATGATAGACGGGCGTGCGATGATGAGCTTCATCCGCCGTGTTTGCTTTGCGTTTTTTCGACGGGTCGGAAGCCCTCTCCATCCCAGAGCATCTGTTTGACTTGTTAGGCCTGACATGTGAGTTGCTGAAATTTCGAAATTCAGAAGGATTGAAGGGATGTGACGAGTTTCCCAGGTTATATAGGAGGATATGAGATGAGCTGAGCTACAGTACATTATACATATGCTGATGAGCGTTCGTGTGTGACTTAATCTCTATGTCGTAGCATTGCTTGATTGCATTGATGATGACTTCACATCACATCACCGCCGGCTAAATGGATGGAGTTAGAAAAAGTAGATTGCTTGGTACAACACGGAATTTAGTCCTACTAAGAAAAGGGTTAGCTAAGCTGTTTGATGGCCTGAATAAATTATGCCTTAAATTATACACAATTATACCTCATTCACACCTACTCTCAGTCACTCAATCACACAGGCACGCCTATTTATATTTCAATTTTTTTTTAAGACTAAAGGAAAACTCTTGAAGTTCCAGCCGCCTTCAACTATAAACTAAATCACAGTAACTGTTTTTTTTTTTTTTTTAACTGGCATTCCGATAAAGCTGATTAAAGCTACTTCTCGACCTGATCCACCCACTAGATTCCACTGATTTCAGTACCTTCTAGTCATGTAAATCATTCGATTCGTATCTCTGGTCTATAGTTTATGATGTTTTGATATCAGTTATCATATATAGACAGTTATATACCGATATATGCCAGCCCTAAATTCATGTGCCATAGGGAGGAAGTGCATCGTAAATTGGCAAAGAGAATGCGGAACTCGGTTGGACATCGGTCGGGGTCGCCAACGAAAAGGTAACCGCCCCACAAGCACGCCGCGGCTGAATTTTGGAGCACGACCAATGTGCGCAATTTCGGTGAGCCATATAAACAAGTTTTCTCATCCATCTAAACTGTCTCAGTGCCAAATGGCCAAGTCGCCTCCTGTCGGCTGTCTTTGCTTGGCCCACACACACAAAAAAAAAAAAGAAAACAAATATAAGTCCAACATCCATGGCAATGTTGCCATTTTAGAGGCGCCGCCCGCTGAGCGGAAAAGTCGCGCGGAAATTACTAAATCGATACGTGCCGCCGCGTATCAGATTTTCCCTTGGTTTTTCGTATGCAAAATTCCTTTCTGCAGAAATACCTTGAAATCGTGGCCCTGCATTCGCATATATTGCAATCTTTTTACAGTCCAACTTCCGTAAGTCAAACTTGGACAAGTTAATTTTGGATTGGAGATAAAGGAAGGCTCCATAACTCACTACTTGAAGTTAGCTTTTGATCTACAATTTTTACTGCTAAATTAGTTTGGTTAAACTAAGACCAAAGGTGATTTGAAATCCCAAAAAGAACTTAAATGCTTAATAATTCTTTCTTAATTTTTCAAATTGCTAAAATAAAATCGCTCGAGTGCCTTTGAGCTTAGGAAAGCTAAACTATGCCCTGCTTATGCCAAGTCTGTCATTTCTAAAAGGTCAACTAAAACCAATGGAATTCGTAGTGGGCGACATGGTCGTCTCTTACGTGGCAAAATGATCCAGAATCGGAAGTAAAACCCTGACGATGAAATAAATTATACGAGAAACTAGAGAACAATTACACACTGGACTGTGGGTGCAATTACGGACCACACCTTTTGCCGCCGCCGCTGCCGCCGCCGCCAACGCGTCGCTGCTCGCCTTAAGTTAATGAATAAGTTAATAATATGTTATGTGCGGGCAATTTGTTCCAGGGCTTGAAGGGTTTAAGGTTGAGAGGGTTTTTTCTGTTTTTTAGTTGATATGAGTGAGCTCCCCTATCGCCTGATGGACATGGTGTTCGTGGGGAACTGTGGCTTCTGGCCGGCACTGAAGAATCGCTTGCAGGTGAGGCGCCAGAAGGCCGCCCGGAAGTCTACGCTGTAGAAGGCGTAGATGAAGGGGTTTATGGCACTATTGAACCATCCCAGCCAGGTTAGAGCCTTGGCCAGCATTTGGCTGGCCTGGTGCTCGGCCAGAAACGGTGTGATCAGATAGTTGACGAAGAAGGGCAGCCAACAGGCAATGAAGCCACCCACCACAATGCTCAGGGTCTGAGTGGTCTTGTTCTCCTTCTTCAGCGACGTAATCCGGTTGGACAGCGATTTGCTGTTGGTGTTGGCATTCGTGTTCCCGCTGGTCGATGTGGTGGTATTCACACTCGCCTGATGATGATAATGAGGATGATGATGATGGCTCCTTAACCGCTCCCTATCCCGATCCCGATCCCCGTGCGAATGCCTAAAGCTATGCGTTCGCGGTGGCTGTGACAGGGAATGGGTTTGGGTCTGACTATGACCCGGCGGCTGGGATTGCCACTGGGCATCCAGGAGACTACTGCCCGGACCCATGCCACTTGTCATTGTGGTAATGGTCGTCGAGGCGGTGGAAGTGCGCTTCAGCGAGGAAGGTCGTGTGAGTTCGTAGCACCCGTTCTTGGCACAGCCCAGTGAGGTTGTTCCACCGCCGGAGGGCAGGGCCAGCAGGGATTGACAATGGGTGCCTGTGCTTCCAGTGGTGGCGGCAGTACCTCCTCCTCCTGCTCCCCCTCCTCCTCCTCCTCCTGAACCACCTACTGGTGCACAATTGTCGCTGTCGCTCAGCATCATGTCGTGCAGCTCCTTGGCTATCGTCTGATTGGAGAAGGTTCTCGAGGTGGCCTGTCTTTGGCGCTGGCCAACCGAACTGTGCTGCTCCTGCTCCGACAGCTCGTTCTCCACGTCCGCCGCCGTGTAGCGTTTGAATTTCTAGACACGCAAAGTGCACAAGGCGGTTAAGTCAATGTGGATGATAAATAACTAAAATGAAGTCAATGGGCGGTAAAAGCGGCGAAAGATGAAAGTGTGTTGTGTGGGGGGGGTGCTAAAACAGGATGTCACGCGAGGAAAAGCCGAAGCTTTAAACACTCTGGCAGAACATCATCATCTTCTCTTAAAGGAGCTATGTCAGGATATTTTAAGCTACTCACATTTATATAACCAAAAAGCTGTGTTCTATAAACTGCATGATGCGCTAATCTCTTTAAATTTTAAATACGATTTCAGACTGCTTTTTGGATCTCATGGAAAATCTGGCATGGCTTTAATTCAGTGGAAGTGAATTTTAAGCCCATTTGAAATTGCACACCAGGCATATGTGCAGGCAAATTCTCGAAAAAGACTCCATTTAATGTTAGCTATTTAGTGAGGAAATTAAAAGGAAACCAAAGGGTCGAAGAGGAGATTACCCTTGATTTACATGCATCAACACCACTAAGAGGTTTTGTACTTTTTACATTATTATAAGTTATCAAAATTTAACTTGGAAAAACAACTTTTAGGTTCCTTCTTATAGATTTTTGTAATATTAAGAACCTGTTCGTTTGGCAAGAGGCATGTAAGATTTAGTTTAAAAAAAGTTATCTTTAAGGCAGTAGAAAATAGTCCTTTTCTATAAATTCCAATAACCAGTTAAGTTATAGAAACCGATTACTGTTTATCAACCATCTCATAACTAACCACTAAAATGGTATTAACCCCCCAGAGGCTTGTAAGCACACCTCTTAAAAAATGGCTAGTTGAAAACTCATTATATTAGCTACATGTGTGTTGCCAAACTTAGAGTGAAAAACTTGTTTTATAGCTCGGTCAGTGAACCGGAAAAACGGAAGTTGGCCTGCACATACCCCGACGGATGCCAGGGTATGGTATTTAAATCTGTGTAAGCTCCTGGCGTTTGGGAATTATGAAGCAAACGTGCCGCAGTTTGTGCCGTACGTGGAGTGGCCTTTAAGCCGGAATGGTTTGGAATATAGAGATGATTTTGGAGGGGGGAATGAGGAGGAAAATGTAAGGGACCTGAGCTGGTCCTGGACAGCGTTTGTTGTTTGTCGGTGCAAACTGCAAACTGCAAACTGCAAACTGCAGTGGTTTCCCTATTCCGTATTTCGTATTCCGTATTTGTGCACTTTGTTGGCTTTTTGGGTATGGGCGTGGGAATCGTGGGAATGTTTGCCGATGGAGTAGGGAGGAGGATGTTAGGTGTTAGGTGGGGGTGCCTAGCTTACCTTGTTGTGAACACTTATGTCGGTCATATTGTCGTGCCTGGATGCAATGACACAGGAAATTCTTGCATACACATAAATCATGACTGCCATTGGTATGAAGAAGGATCCCATGGCCGAGAAGATGACGTAGCCTTCGTTTTGGTTATACCGACACTCCCTTAGGTCCCTTCGTCCTGGCTCGTACCTGCAGGAAATGGTAATGAGTGGGTATACAATTAATGGCCCAACGAGTCCGCAAATGCAGGAAGTTCTCAATTATTTGACTCCACAGCGACTGTTTTGCAGGTCACAAGGGCAGACAATTTGCCACCTAATTATATTCGTTTGTTTTTGTTTGGAAGTCTGCTCAGGAGTAAGTCTGCCAGAGGTCTCGAATTTTATTTTAATTAATTTTGTTTATGCAGTTAGAACAATTTCTGGTGCTTAGGAATCGTTGAAAATAACTAAGAAATAACTTTAATGGGCCTACAAGCTTAGGATTTGACTTTGAATTTGACTCCTTTTACTCTATCGAATCTTTCTTTCATGAAAATGAATGAAAGTTCTTATGGCAGGCTATTAATAAGAATTATTGGCAATATAAAATATTAAGCTTATGGCACATTAACAATAAACTGAACTTAGCAAGAGTTATAATGCCCAAAAATTCTCTCACAAATACTTGAAGAAGCAATTTGATTCAACTTCTTGGCAAATCTTTTGATTTGGTTGGCTGTTAGCTATGCCTTTAACACTTAACAAAATAAGGTTTGCCAAAAAGCACACAGACATGTCCTTAGAATCCCCACAAAAAGTAACTTTATGTATAAACTTCTGAAAAATTTAAAAACTTGCAAGATTTTACTGCCTCTTTGTCTGACATTCAGTCAGATATTAAATATTTCAAATTCCCTTTCAAACACTTTTATATATTTAAGTAAAACTCTTGAAGTGTACTTACCAACCCAGTATAGGAGGACAGGTGATGGCCAGGGCCAGCAGCCAGACGATTAGGATCATGATTAGGGCCAATCTTTTCGAGCGTCGTTTACGGGAGTACGTGAGTGGCCTGGTCACGGCCAAATATCTGTCGGATGGATGGGAAATCCAAAGATTTACGATTTAGCAAAGGGGAGAAGGGAATGAATAAAGTTAAACGTTCTGACAGCAGCTTCTCACCTGTCCACACTGATGGCGCACAGGCTGAGAATCGAGGCCGTGCAGAGTAGCACGTCGAGGGAGATCCAAATGTCGCAGAGAACCCAGCCCAGTTGCCACGAACCTGCAATCAAGAATCCAAATTAAAAACTTTCACCAGCCAGAGCGAGCGGCGTGTGCAGGACAACTTAAAATTCCGGTCCAAAGTCAATTTGATTAGCAACATTTTGCGACGGGCTTTCGGCAAATGCCTCACCTAAGGCCAATTAAAGCGGCCAGCTCGGCAAATTTTGGCAATGTTTTCTTTTTGTTTTTCACTTCTCTGGTTGCCCATGAACCCGTGCACATAAGACCCCTTAGTGGGTTGGCTTTTACTCCAAGACCACGTCGTGGTACACTCCGATGGACCTCAACTCTTTGCCCTGTTGGCCCAAGAAGCCATTGAATTTGTGGCCACTTTTATGGAGTTTCCTCGTAGTCTGCGGCCTGTCAAGCGATTAATTTTTAAATCAAGTGCCTGTCGATGGTCTCCGAGCGTCAAATGAAAAGTTGTTTTTGTGAAAAGCCAGGACCAAGGAGCTAGCTCATTAGTTGGATATTGCCTGTGGGCCAGCACACTTGGCTTGGCTTGGCTCAATCTTAGGTTGGCCTATTGTTCTAGCCAAAGTTCTCAAATTAAATCAGTTAAGGCACAAAATTGGCAGAGAATTACATAAGTATGAGAATTTTGTACTCACTTAAATCAGACATATTGTAGTGGTGGTTTTGTATTTTAATTAATTCGAATTGGTTTCATTTTTAAGCTTCTACTTCTCTGCTTAAAAAGTGTCCGAATAATGCCTAATAAACTCCAACACAGAGATAGTCATATCAGTATTTTTAGTACCTACCCCAACTTAAATTTACTTAAGCTTTAATGGCAAACTATTAATCCTGACCAGGGGGGTATATTACGACCTAACTTTATAATGAATACTTTGAAGAAAAATGTTGGACCCAGTAAATTGTTTACCTTGAGGAAACCTAAGGGCATGAGTAATTATGACTGAGAGTCAAAAGGAATTTCCACAGAGAAAAACTTTTCATGTAAATCAGCAAAAAATAAATGCAGTTTCCTAGCTTCCAAAGTCTAGCTAGTGTAGAGCAGAAATTGTTTAATCAAGAATTAAGCAATTTCCATAATTTTTTATTTGAGTTTCAGCTCTATGAATTAACCAACAAAGATGAACTATTTTGGAAAGGGGAAATGTGATTCCTTTCTGGGATGGTGCGGATGATTATGACAAACTTTCAAAATGCCGTTGCCTTTTAAAGAATTCCACAAAGTTGGGCTCGGGAATGTTCCCTTTTTTTGAGTTTTTTCATTGCTGCTGAGGAAATTGCACGAGAGCTGAGGCAAAAAAAAAAAAAAAAAGAAATTCTTTCGGTTCAAAGAATACAAATCCATAAGGCGAGAGAGATACATACTCGCATATTCCACCTACCAGCATTTACATAAATATGCGGGGCGTGCGCCCCGCCCCCTTTTCCTGCCACTCCTACTACTCCTCCTACGCGAAATCCTGTCCGTGTCCGTGCTCCTAGTCCTGTTCGTGCTACTTTGTTAGGCTACACTCAGACTAGGATTTTTCTAGAATTTTCTTTAATTTTCTTTTGATTACAAACAAAATCTGAAATAAAACACTTTTTAGTCCCTGTTAATTACTTTTAGCTTAACATTTTTACCAGCTAACTAAACTAAAACAGTTCTTCTTTGTTTCTAGCACTATTTTCTCTTAGTGCATCCTGGTGGGTTCTTGGTGTAAAGCTTTTGTTAGCAATTTTTTGAGGGATTTACCGGAATGGCATCTTCATCTTGTAATCACGCGAAAAGCCCTGCAAGCGGCGCCTCCTTTCGCGGAAGGACCCTAATGCCTTAATGGCGCTGCCATACACTACCCACTCACTCACACACTTACCTATGAGATGGACGGCGACGGCAGGAGGCATAACGAAGATCCCGACAAGAAGGTCAGCCACCGCCAAGCTCATCACAAAGCAATTGGTGATGGTGCGCAGGCGGCGAGTGGTCAATATGGCTAGAATCACCAGGGTATTCCCGATGACGGTGACCACAATGAAGGTGGCAAAGACTGCAATCAGTATAATGCCCTGCCAGGATAAAACCAGATCGTAGAAATGTTCCCATTCGGCTGCTGCTGCCGACTCGTTGTAGTAATTAAATGTGGTCACTGGGGCCGTGGGTCCGGGTTCGGTAAGAGCCACTCCATCCACGCCGCTGCCAGAAGTTCCATTGGGAGCATTGGAAAAAACACTTCCTGTCCCATTGGTCGCATCCTCGTAAACGATGGTTATGTTTTCCGGCAATATCCCCGCATTCGATCCTGAGCCTAAGCCCCGCAGGGAGGATGAGGATGAGGAGGCGGAGGCGGCCACATACATGAGCGATGGATAAATGGCGCTTAAATTATTCAGCTGCAAGTTGACAGCCATGGATCGGCCGGTTGAGTTCGCTATCGAGTAGAGCTATCTCCGCCGGCAGCCAGCCTAAGCCCTTCCATATCCATCCATAAACCAAGAGTTGGTGGAACAGGAACACAGCCCAACTGTGGTCATTGCATTGGAATTTTCCCGTCCGGTTAACTGCAATCAAACGAAAGTGCATCGGTTAGTAGGTATTCAGGAGAAGTCCTTTGCTATTTTAATAAAAACAGAGTCAAAGGTGCGGAAAAATAACAATTTGTATGGGTTTTTAATCTGAGATCTAGCATATATATTCTTATTTTCACTTTCCAGGCATTATCTGATTTTCTCTTCTGACAATTTCCGAAATTAAATTGATTTCACTGAATGCAATAAAGTTTCTTTGTCAATCGAAATCAGTGAAATTGTCGTTTTCATTTGCAATTAAGCTGGTGGATCTCATTGAATTTTCACTTCTTTGTAGTTTTGTAGTGAAAAGAAGTCAATGGGTTAAGTAAATGATTAAGAAAAACTTCAATTAGTGTAGCTATCTTAGTTACAGGTTCCCTTTTGATCCTAAAAATTACAAGAAATTAATTTTCCATTCCATTTTTAAACAAGCACTGAAGTTTACTTTAGAGTATTGTAAATAAAGAAATAAATCGAATCATGTTTACTTTGTTACTTATTATTAGTCCCAGGTAGTTCTTCGTTTAACTTCAAAATATTTATTAGTTAAAACTAAGAGCTAACCAATGGTCGGAGAAATAGCAGCTAAGTTAAGTTAGAATATGGCTTGTGAATGTTTGGCTTATGAGTATATACAATATATTACTAGGGATTACTAATTACATTTTATTTACAAAAAAATTGATTTAGTTAGATTTGGGAGGTGATATGGGAGTGGTTTAGGAACATGACGATGTTTAAAGAGTTTGTATCTGTGGGGTTAGCTATGGCGGTGATTGGATCAGGATTATTGAGGAATAAGAATCTTTGCGTGGAAAGGGAAAGAGAAATAAAGAGAAAATACGGCATATTTTACAGTACTCTACGATATGCATCTCAAGCCCCCAATAAACTTTGTGCAGTTTATGGACCCGATACAGTTTCCATTTCCACCGCACAACGATGGAATCAACGTTTTCGTTCTGGTGTAGAGGTGGTCGAAGATGCGCCACGCTCCGAGTTTTTTGCCAATAGGGAAGCGAGCTTCTATGAGAGGAGCTTTATGAAGTTGGCATCTCGTTGGGAACGCGTCATCGAACAAAACGGCGCATATTTGACTTGAATCGCAATATTGTAACCAATTTTATACCGCAAGACTTTTTTGACAGCCTAATATTTGCTTTAAATATTTTATTTAATTCATAGTTCCACGCAGTTACAGTAATTTTGGGAAACAAAAGTGTTATATATTTATTACATATTTTTCAAAATTAAATTCCTGGCCATATTTTTGGTTCTTATAATAATTACATCACAACTACAATGTAAATATATAAGCCATGTGCTGGCGAAATGTTTTGCAATTTACAAGTCATAAATTCTGCATAAGAATGGTTATTGCTGGGAATATTTTGTGGAATTTAAACCATTAAACAGGTACATTATCAAGCAAAAATAAATGTAATAAATATATATTCAAAGGTGGTGGATTAGTTCCAACTTTTAGTCAAATTTATAAAAACGGAATTCAAATTAATGGAAATTTATATATTTTCTTGGGTTAAACTTTCTATTATACCTCACTGTATGGCTTTGCCTGCGATTTATTTACACTCCACACTTGCAATAATAAAAAAAAAACCTTTCTTTCGGATACCAATACCCGAACCGCTCCAAACATGATTGTCGCTCGTCTGCCGGATTGTGCTATTCATCACCGAAACTTTTCCACCATTCACAATTTCCACAACGCCCGGACCCTCCACGTGCACTTGGGCGATAAGATTGATACTCGACGGGCGCTCTATTAGATTTCCGCTCAAATTATGTACGGCTATATGGCTATATGTATATAGAGGTGTAGCTCTATTGCTATTCCGCCGGAATAAACGTCGCCCGACAAGCGGATGACTCTTGACTGAATGTGCGAAAGTGCAGACCGAATGGCAAGGGCTGGCAGGCAGTTCGACACTTCTTGCCACTTCTGTTGACAATAATTTGGCATTAAGTATTATTTATTTAGCGTTCGATAGTGTGAGTCTCTGCTGATTGCGACTCCTTGTGAGTTCTCTGCTCTCTCTGTGTGGGTGAGATAACCAAATTAAAACTGATATCGCAATAGACTAGGTGGCGGTGGTTCGAAAGGCGAAGGCATAAAATTACCAGATGTGGCCATTGGAATGGGAATGCGAATCGGAATCCGGAATCATGCCGGAGGCTATGGCATTTCCCCCCACAAAAAAGGGAATAATAATTTAGCTTAGCAATTTGCATATTCAAATCCCCGCCTGTGTGTGTGGGATGGTTGAAATATTAGCTTAAAACTTCAGCACCAAAAAAAAGGCTGTAAGTAAATATCTCAAGGAAAATGGGAAGGATAATAATAATAAATTCCATGTAACCAGAACATTTGAAACTAACTTTTAATTAATGTATGATTTGCTGTACATTTCCCTTTTAAATTATGCCCCGTTTAACATTTAATTTGGCCTTTAATATTCCGGTTATGTAATTAAGGCTTGCTATTTGACTTTTAAACAAGCACATTTTGGCAGAGACTTTGGAAATTAGGCTGCTATGCTAATATATTTCATTTTCACTCGTAGTTTAATTCCGATTTAAGTGTAAATTGTTGTTAAAGCTGGCAATTAAGGAGAGGTAGAAGCTGTTTTGTAGATTTTCTACCTATGATTTTATTTAAGATTAGTTTTAATGGCAAGTTTCCTTTTCCTTCACTGAGCTAAAACCTTAGGGCAAAGGTTTATAAGACTTGGCTCTCGGAAAGAGTATCCCCCAATTCGTTGACCCTTATTCACCCCTTTTTTTTTGAGGCTTTGAACGCTGACGCGGAATAGCCATAAAGGCGCTTATCGCTCACATGATAGCAATCTGGATTGGGGGCGAGGTGCCAGTATGGGAACTTTTACTTTTTTATGCTGCGGTTTATGTGTAAATATTTACCCAGCCTAGTGACGTACTCAAAGGTGAAACTGATTAATTAGATACGATGCCAAAGCCCATGGCTGTCTGTCAGGGACAAGGTATCGATCGGCCTGAACTCGTAGGCAATGTGTCATCCCCGATAGATAAGGTTCTCTTTCATTTGGCCATAATTGTGGTCTATCGATATCTATAGGTATTGCTTATAAGACTTCCAATCTCAAGTATGCAATTAGAAAGGTTGGAAATCATGTGTATTTCGAGAGGGCTTTGGGCTGAAAATAGATTTATGAACTCATTATTAAGAATGTGACTTGGGAGACCGGCCAAGTAGCCAAGGGGTTGGCGATCTTTGGCGGCAAACCCATCCGACCATTAACCACGATAAGCAATGGCGTTTTTATTAGCACTTTGATTGATAATCTAATTTCAACTCAATTGCCAAGTTTGCACGAGCGGAGCGACCTAATCTTCTTGGTTCTTGGTCGGTGGTTCCTATTTCATATTTTCATTGCCATTTCCATGACAATGGCAGCAATCAACTCTAAAGCTTTACCCTTTTTTCCACAGTGGTGGGGGTGTATTGCTAGTGGGTGGTTTAAACTATTTCTTCAAAGGCAACCAATTGAGTTGCCAAAATCAAATTACTTTGTTGGAAAGAACCAAACTTATGAATTTATAATTGATATCAAAAGGCGAGCTACTTCTTTTTTTTTAGCCATCTGAACTTGAAAGATCGGGGCATAAGTTTCCGCTGCTCTTGGCGGGAGTGGGTCATCAATCAGGGCGGCACTCATCTCCGGCATTAGATAAATCTGTATCATTGATGTTGGTGTCCATGGAAGATTTATTTCGCACTAAAAGTTCAACCCAAACGGCGGCCAATAAACAATGGACCAGAATGATTTTTGTATACTCGTACAGCAGTGATGGCATTGCTATCTGTTTTAGAAAACTAGATAGATCGGAGGGAAAATTTCGAAAAAGGGTTCTATCTGTTAAACAGAAACAGCTTTTAGTTAGTTAAAGTTGTTTTTATGTCCACACCTTCCCCTTTATACAGCATTTACTTCCCTTTGATATCAGCATTAATGGCTTATTCTTGATTGCTGCAGAGCGGCTTTAAGGCCTTATCTATTAAGCAACATAATACTTTCTAAATTTATTTCGTTTTTCGTATTTTTAACCTTAAAAACTCTGAATTTAATATTTTTCATTATGTTTATATGGAATTAGGATGAATATTAGTAAGCGAGAAAGAAATGTTTTAAATTACTTTTTAATTTTATCATTGTCAGGAATTCATTGCGAACTTATTTTTCCCCATTAACATTTCCATATTTTATTCCACAGACTCATTTTAAATAAATTTTCTAGCAATTTCCAATTAAAAAATAAGACATATCTGTCCGCAAAAAACACAACTCGCCATCGCTGGTCCACATATTTACACTTTTATGCTGCTTCATTGTAGCCTATTTTTTAGAGATTTTCCAGCACTTGGCAGCTGTCGGCCTTCACCTTATTCCGGCCTTAATTGACCAAGCACCATTTCATTCGCGTTATTAAGAGATATTTTTCGGAAATGCCAGAAGGGCACTTCAAGTGTGACAATTGCAAGGCCAACCGAAATGACTTTGGCAACTAGAAATAGTTTCTGACTTTTTCCGAATATTTCGCATGTGATTTTCCAGGGTTTCTCTTCTTACCATTACCAGCACACAGAAGGAAGAAAATCACAAAAACGAAAAAAAAAAAATGCTGAGTTCCGTTAAAATTCATTCGACCGCCCACACCAGCATCCCACTTCCGTTGAACATTTGTTGCAATTTGCGGCTAACATGGCGTATGGGTAATGTGCATGTGAAATAATATTTCATTTGCATTCGGTGGGCAAATAAACGTTAAGGGATGAGGGTGCTCTATGGAGTTTGATGATGGAGGCATGGGTGGGTCACCCATTTGCGCCCCCAGGACAACGGACTACCCGCTGACGTCAAAACCCACTGTCAGCCAATAGAAGCCACTATTTATTGAGACTGTCAGACACTTATTTGTCCTCTTTATTTGGCAGTGCCATCGAGGTGTTTAGCGTGAAAGCATTTATCCATTACCCGCTCCTGCTCTCTCTCTCTGATCTATGCAAATGTCACTGCCCTGCCACTCCGCTTTAAACACCTGAATTGGGTGAAGGTAAAAGGGGTTCTGCGAAAAAGAAGAGGGTCCTTCCTCTGTACAAGGGTCCTCACCCTCGAGAAGGGTCCTCGTCGCACTGTTTACTTACTTAATGCAATCGCTTTCCTGCGCACTCCTTCGCTTTCATATCAAAACATTCCGCATTGTTTTATTGACACAAAGCTGTTATTATTTTTATATTGCCAGGTATATATATATTTTTTTTATTATTATTACTGCTGTCTGAGGAGCCAGAGTCCTATTTAATTGGATACTTTATAAGTGCACTACAAATGCAGTTGAAGGAGACGATGCAGCTGCAGCCACTCATTCACTTTCATTGTATATTATTTGATATTTTTTTTTTTTTATTTGTTTGTTTATTTTTTGTTGTATTTTATTTTTTATTTTTAACCGCGTGACGAAGAACACTTGAACACAAAAATTCAAATTGACGTTATCGGTCAGGTAAGCCGGCGGCTGATCAATTCGGTTTCTCCGTTACGGATTCGGATGATTGAAGACCCCCACGCGGTATTTTTGTGCGACTCCGAACGTTAGACCGATAGACAACCGACTCGGTTGAGCGCTTGAGGAAAACTAAAAACTGAAAAGCTAGCGACAACGACGACGAAGCTGACGCTGACGATGACCGACCAACGGAGAGTCGGGACCGAAGTCGTCCGTAGTATTCTGTCACACTGGGTTTCCAGTGAATTTCTGTTTCTTGTGGATCCCAAGTTGGCGGGCATGCAAACACGCGACTTTCAAAATAATCCTGCAATTCTCCTACTCGTCTTGTATTTAAACAATTGTTCAAACAACCGTCGAAATTTGAATATTCAAATGCTCAACGTGGCAGGGCAAAGCCCAGTTAATTCCAAGAACAATGTTTAATTAAGCCGTGTCTCTAAACCTTATGCCGTTGATAAGGCCCAGAGAGCACTGCGTATATGTTTTTCTGTCCGAGGTCCAGTAGACTACTTGATCTTTTTTACGACGAATTTCCAAATGAAAACATAAACGATTTCGCGGGTACTCAGGAAATCTAAATTAAGACTTTTATGGTAGCCTTATAGACATAGATATAGCAAAGCGTGTGTGCGGCCCGGCTCTATCTGTATGGATATCAAAAAATATATATATCTATATTCGTTAGGTATATATATATTTTGGTCTGTGGGCCTTTGTTTGTACATTTTATAACTTGCAGATGCGTCTCCACATGGATTTCGCAAATGCTCTTACTACACACTCATAATGAGTAGTGTCAACAGCTGCTGCCAGAGGTTAAATTCGGTTGTATTCGATTGTGTTCCACACAGGTTCATTGTTCAAGGTGAATGTGTTCCACTTACAGTGGTGGCAAAGTGTGCAGAACGTCCAAATGCCCAAATGCCTAAATGCCCGATATGGAAGGTAAACAAAGGCATGCGCTCTTCGTTCTCCATTCGCAATTCAACCGAAATAATGGCATTGGCACGGCGCGAAAAGGCTGAAAGGAGATTTGCCAGGTCGGAGGGCAAGTGGAACCGGCTGAAGTGAAACAAAGAGGTCCTAAAGGTCGGCCAATTCTACCGCCAATTCCTGATTTCAAAAAGAAGGTCTGTGTTTGTGATCTAAGTTTAAGAAAAAATCTACACATTATCTCGGTTGAAGAAGTTTAAAAATTAAATTGTTATATTCCATTTATAAATCAAATTAATATTTCATGAAATAACGTATACGACACGTATGCCAGAATTTAGTTCATTTTAAACATTTATAAATCAAAATTACCTTAAATATTAGTTTTCGTTATAAAAATAATTTGTTTTTTTTATAAACTCTTAAGGTAAGTTCTAGCCTTGTGGATCCGAAAAAGTGCACTTTTCCTAATTGTTTTTTCAGAAAATGTTAAAAATAAAACGTTGAAAATTTTTTTCTGAATGTGAATAAAATTTTTAGAATTGAATAAATTTATTATGGGGGGAGAGAGGACGCCTAAGGACTAATGGCGGCATGTTGGTCTGAAATTCAAAAACCAAAAACATTCCTAATTTAAATTAGTATTATTATTATCTTTTATTATTATTATTATTATCTTTAAAATGAACTAAGATCATAAAAAAAAAACAAAATTTCAAAACTTATGAGATTTTGAAAAAAATGAAGATTATTGCACTTTTTTCTCATTCATTTTCTTTTAAGAAATAATTTTCGATATTTATTAGAAAGACGCCTAAAAAACATTTTTAAAAAAATTGCGGCCGTTTGGCTCATTTAAGCGTCTCAAATCACCTCCGTTGCGTCCAAAAACGTGGTTTAGAGAAAAACGCGTTTAAAGTTTTGGACTAAAAAAGCCGCTGCTCGACAGTGAAGGATAGTAAAGACCTGTAACTTTTGTAATTTTTCAGATTTTTATCTGAAATTTCTAGAGCACATTTTTGGAAAATGTATCTACACGACAAGGCAAAAAAATCTATTTTATTTCCTCCCAAAGTGATATCCTGCATTAGTTTCTTTATAGTATTTTTTGAAATATACATTTCTTCTGCTTACAAAAGCGTCACAGGTCCTTCTAAGTTATGATTATTAGTTATAATATTTATTATTTTAATAATCTTTATAATTTATATCCCTTTATTTCTTTTTTTTTATGTTTGTAGTTAATCTTTAGTTATCTTTTTTTCATTTTGACTAAACATTTATTCTTTAATGCTTCTTCTTCATCAACATGCTGTCTTAATTTTTAATTTTTTTCAGAAAATATATATATATATATATTTTAAATACATATACCAACAAAAATTACTAAATAAACTCTCTAATTTCCAGTAAGCTTAAATCATTCGCATTGAACTCGCTGCATAGCTTGCGGCGTAGTTGGTAATCACTAAATCAGATCCGAAACCACTGCATACCTTCGGGCTGTTCCCCTCCATCGTAGCCAACCATTTGCCGCCCAAAAAAACTGCTCTGGGCCACCTGTAATCTCCACAGCGGATTGAGCTCTGACCAGTGGGCAGTGGTTGGCACTCTGGACATCACTTAGATTGATTAAATGCGGTTTTTGGGTACGTGACTCTACGAAATCGTTGGGCATAATTGGTGTCTATGCAGAAGGCGATGATCCTGAAAAAAGGGGTGAAGAGTCACTTGGATGGGACCGAAAAATGGCATCTGTTCGTGGACAAAGTTTTGCAACATCATTTAATTATCAAATGCACGTACATAAGTGAGCTTTGCAGTGACAGGAAGGTCGTCACACCCGCTTCCGCCTCCACCCATTTCCCCACGAAACTTCAAGGCTAACTGAAAGTTTTGCCCCAACACAAGTTCTGGGGCAAAAAAAAAAGAAAAATAGAGAAAGGAAACTTTCCATTTCTATGCAGCAGACTTGGCAATCGCAATGGCAATGGCAATGCTAAATTGAGTTTAACAATTTGTCTTAGTGGCACTTGCAATGGATTCAGTAATTGCCTGACAAATCGCTTCCCCACTTGTCGTGCCACATGACACTCACGCACTGGCTCTTCATTGGCTATGGCCAAAGTGCACATGTATCGGAGCGGAATTCGCAGGACACGACAATTTGTCGCCTAATGTCCTGGCACCATGTGTACTCCAGCGTCATAAACTTTTAATTTCGCCAGCATAATTAGTCTGGGGAAATGGCGGAAGGAAGCCCTATCCCAGATCCTGACAAGTTCCATTTGCACACAGAAAGAAAATTTAGAACAGAAAAATGTTTAAAAAGGCAAACCAAAAAATTCAAAATCTTCAGACATTTCTTTAAGTTAAATTATCAATCTAAAAATATCCAAATTTCAACCAGACAGCCAATAAAAATTCACTTTTACAGACACAAAAATCTATTATTAAGACTCATTATTCTAAATTAGATAGATGTCATTTTCATACCCCCAAAATGTCAAGTCAAAATGTCAAAATTCGTGTTTACACCAAAATGATGGCCAATTCCACTTGTTTTGTTTTATTATTATTGTTTTTTTTTTGTGCAGAGCCTGTTAAAGTTGGTTTTAATTGATAGGTGAACGAACCCGCTGGGTCCCTAATGTACGAGTATGGCGTGGCCGCTTGGAGACGGCAAAGGCCAGAGCTATTAATAATTTTCAATCAATAAGTGTAATATTATTCGCGTCAACTGGATCAGCGACTGAATAGCAACGGCAGCATAAAAAACTGAAACAGGATGCGTCCTTTTCGTTTTGGGGGGCCAAAATACAGACAGACAAAGAGATAGACTGAGGCTATATACTCCCATTACCGTTTCCAAGGCAAACATAAATACCGTATATATATATATATATATATATTTTAAATTTGATTCTCGAGCATCCTCGACTTTTGCCATCTTCCTTTCAATTTATTGTTCCCCTTCGAGTACGAAGCTCCCCAAATTGTCCTTCCCCTTGGTCATTCCGGCTTTCCTGGACTTTCCCATCCGGCCATTGTCCGTTAAGCAGATTTCGAGCTTACATTGCGTGTTGGTTTTGGTTTTGGTTGGAAAAATTGTGAATAGCATACAGCAGTCCTTTGAAGGCGGCTTAAAAAACAGATGACTGCTGGATGTGGCTTGCACTAGCATGCAAAATATTGAGAACGCCACGCCCCCCACGCCTATCAGAACCAGTTGGGTATTAATTGGTTAATCAAGTTTACAACTGCCAAAATATCCACACAGCTGAAAATGGCAATTTCGGTTGTGGCCATAAATGGGACGGAAGCTCCGTGAACAAATGACCCAGACTAGGATTGTTATTGTTGTTGTTGTTGTTGTTGTCTCCCACGGAGAGCAACCACAAAAGCCGCATAAACACTAAATGCGTTGACCACGGCCAAAACCAGAGAGCTGAAAACAGAAAACATTATTGGAAATTATGAGGCTGGCAGACAGGAAGGAAGTTAGTGGGTTGGGGGCGCTGGTCTTGGCCCAAATGCCCAGAGCGATTTATGCGCATATGAACTGAGATAATCTATTTGTAAATTATAATAAAAAAAACATTGTTTTTTTGTATTTTTCCATAGAAAGTTTGAGATTGTTTGAGCGGAAGGAAAATAGAAATTCGCTGAGCCTTGCAAAGAAAAAATTTGAATTTATTTTCACTGCACTTTAATAAGTATTTAAAACTATAATTTGTGGTTTAATAAATTATTTTTAATAATAAATGATGCAAAGTAAATGATTTATAAGTGGTTTAGGTACAGTTGGGGTAAAAACAATAGTACATTACTTAAAATATTGTGAAAATTAACTTACAAAGAAACTTAACTTAACTAACTTAACTGAGAAAGCCCTTAAATTATAAATTCAAATTTGATATATTCGCTTACCTACTTTGCTTACTTATAAAATTAAACAATTATCTTATAAAATGTGAAAATTAAAAACCAATACTTGCAAATTCCTTATAACGAACCACGTAACACGAAAACCAATCCCTTGATATTAACAAGGTGATGTAAAATCGGCTTAAAACTGAAGGATTAGTACCTTTTGAATTGCGTTAACGGATGGATACGTGGGCAAGGCTATAGCGGCTATATATATACGTATAAGCACTTCCGTTGGCATTGCGTAAAATATTAAATATACGTTAAGGTAAGTTGAAGTACCATTAAAATGAAGGCCAACCTGATCGGGGAATTGTGCATCCTTGCCTGAATGTCCGTGGCTGGTGGCTGGTTGGTGGCTGGTGAAATTTCAACCGACTACGGTGGCAGCCATAAATAATGCCACATGAAGTTTAAAATGCAATAATGAAATTTATTAAGAACTTATGCGGAGTTAAAACACCGAAGACCAGCAACGACCTTCGCACTGGAAGAGGTGGTTGGCCGGGGATCGGGATCCCTGTGTAAACACGGACGAAAGGAATCACGGAAGTCAAGAAGACCGAGAGCAGAAGTCCAGATACTCTTGCAAAGCGGTAAGTCCTTAAGTTGGCTAAAAGTTGCTTCGGGAAGTTGGCAACTTTTCCATGGCGAAAAGTTTTGCGCTCTCGGCTGGCCGGAAAGTAATGGATGTGGCGAGGCGGAACAGTTGACCATATGGAAGGGTATTATGGCAGCGTAATTTACGCAGCATGTTGCCACACACATGTGGCCAAGCGTATCGAGATGGAAGCATGGATGGCGCTGGGGGCAAGGGACGACGAACCATAAAGGCTCCTCTCTTCCGTCTGAACGACCTGCTACGTATTCAACATTCAACATCCGCCTACAGATCCCCAACTCCACGGCCAAGCACTTACGTAAATGCCTTACGGCAAAAGTTTTTCCCCTTTGTTGTTGTTCGGCTGTTTTAAAAGTCCCAAATAATTGAGTTTTACGCATAATTTGCTTGATTTTATTTTACTTACGGCTGCCTTCGTCCACTGCCTCCCAACAGTTCCTGATCCCCTCCAGAAAGAAAAAAACAAACTGCCTCGTGTGCAGTCCACCACAAAGGTAAACAGAAAAACAATCAATAGTCCCACAGTTATGGTTACGTTTCGCTTCACCGAATGTGTATCTTCTGGCCGGGATTATCATAATCCAAATCGGATTCGGAATCGATAGTGCAACGCGATTTTGACAAACACTAATTAAAATGAATTATTTAATGGGCAGAAACGAAGGCGCGGGGTCAGAAGCTGCAAGGATTTGGACAAACCAATTTCAGGTCAGGTTGGGATGCATATGCATTCGGTTAGACACAGATAGCTGCAGCATAAATCCATTTATAATTAATTTTTACAAATGAATGCGATAATTAAATATGCACGCATCTGAATTTACACGTTTAGTAGCAGCAAAAACGTTGCATATCCAAACTAAATGGCCGGCAAAGCAATTAAATGATGAATTATAAATAATTTTCTCTAGTACTACCTTAAAACGATTTTCTTAAATTTCAAATAAAATAAAATATATATTAACCATTAGCCATACCCATTTAGACAAACAATACCACCCATTTAGTTGGGCTTAAAGATTCCATTTAATATTGTAGATGATACAAACATAATCATAATACATGCTTACGCCTCCATTTAAGTATATATATATATATATATATTTTTTTTTTTTTTTAACACATTTACAATTTATTATTGAACCTTACAATGCAGCTTGGCAAAGGGGGGAATTATTGTTTTAGATTCTATTATTACAGCTCATTTAGGGAGTTTCGCCTGTTATGGCTCCTGCTTCCACTTCTGATCCAATATGAGGGTCAAATCTACGTCGGCCGAGAGCAATACCTCCGAGTATAATGTATATAAGTATATATATATTTAACACCTTGGTATTCGTAGAGGTAGGATAACAATTGTCAGATGTTCACTGAATATGAGAAAATGCATTTCATACATTTTTTGATTTTTATTTAGGATGCGATTTTAGCCACTCAAATAACAGATGAAACCGCTCTCGGTGGTTCGGTGTGATTGTGGTTTAGTGTTCTCTTGTAGTTTCGGTTTTGTTGGTGGATAGTCGATTGTGGAAGAGCTTAGCATACATCATACACTTTGAAATACTGCACTGAACAATGATTAATGTTAATAACCAACCAGACTATATAACATAGAAATATTCATACTTAAATTATTACAATTTGCTACCTTAGACAGAGGATCGAGCTTGAGACGCGACCTTCAAATTAATAGGTCGCTTGAGTTGCTTGATTTTCGGGTGCGCACAACTTACAAATAGTATTCAATTAGAAAAAATATATATATATATTCATATTTAAGTAGGTAGGGTTTTTAAGGTTTTTGGGGTTTTTGTTGTTTAGAGGGTGTGGTGTTGGGTGTGAGTGTTTTTAGTGTTGGTTTTAACGTTTTGTACATGCCCAAAAAACTTTAGCAAAAAACTTGAATATCACTCGTATTTATGTTAAAATTTGCAATTTTCAAATTCAATTCTCTTGCATGAAATAGGTTTTACAATAAACTTTATAAACGCCATTTAATCAGTTATATATATATAGTTATTAATATATATGTATATGTATATATTACGCGCGTATGTATACAATAAAAATAGGGAGATGCTTAGACTACAATTTTTACAAGCCTATCCTGGGCATGCGTACTCTTTGTTTTCATTTTTTATTTTTGTTTTTTTTTTTTTTTGGAGACACACGCAAACATAAGTGACATGACCCTTGAGTGGTTTGTAGTTTATAAATTCGATTAATGCGCTTGGATTCCGGGCGGGGATCATCGAACGAACCTCAGGTGGATTTAACTCGTTTACATTTATTTATGATTTACGTTAGACCTGTATTCAATTCAAACGAACTTAGACACGAACTCTTAACACTTGAATGGGGGGGAGGTCTTAGATTTACAATTAGTCTGCCTGCTAAGCAATACAAAAATATCTATCGTACACGTTGCCGTGGAATCGAGTAGCTCTCCATCTTCTCTCCAGCGGTGCGATCCGTATGTACATTGAAAGTGCTTTCCCAAATCGCAGGAGTCGTATATGTATTCTGTTTCTTGTTTTGGCACTGTGTTTTTTATAGGCCAGTCGGGGTGATGTGAGAGTCACATAATACATCAAATGCCGAACCTTTAATATTCACAAGTTCAATCTGAAGTATGCAAACTTCAATCTCCAATCTGCGAGCAATCCAAAATTCATCTGTACATCCGTCCTGTTCGTCCCTTGAGTCCGTTAAGTCCGTCAGCTAATCCTACTAATTTCCAGCTTAGCAGCTGCTGCAGATCTCGTTGGATCTTTAATAATGATCGCCCCATAAAAACCGCCGGGCTCACCACTCGAACGCTGGCCTCGGACAACCCCTGAGCTGATCTCAGTTGTTGTTCTTCCAGCGTGAGAGCAGTAGCCTCCAGCGATTTTTACGCCTTCTGCTTCAAATTTGCCATATCAATAGATGGTTGGTGCTGTCCTCACGTCCAGCGATCTCGCTCAGCGAGTTGGCACCGGAGTTGCGGAAGTCCTCGTAGCCATCGCCACCGGAAATGATCAACGTGTTGTTCGTCTCGGACTTGGACTTGGAGTGCTTGATGGAACTATAAAAAATTGAGTTAATAAAATATATCTTAATAATTTCCTATCCCAATACTAACCCCTGTTTGGTGTACTCATCGCTGTTGGAACCGCCTGCATCGCGACCTCCGCTTCCACCTGGAGCAGTTCCCTCCAAGCCCGTAGTTTCCACAAAAGTCAGGAACCTCACGTGTCCGGTATGGCCATGAGGAATGCCTGTGGGCACAATATTTATGGCACCCTTTTCGTAACCCTGTGCGGGGATAGTTAGCAGAACACCAGCACTGGTTCCAATCCAGATCAGATCCTTGCAGCATAGCAACGATGTAACCCGCAGGCAGGCGGCCTTATGCTGGCGAATAATCTCATCACAATTGGAGAGCATCTTGTTGACGGCGGGGGCGAGATTCACTTCGGTAACCAGTTGGTGGCTATGGGTTCAGGTTAAGGAATATGAGTTAAGGCTGCTTATAAGATATTCCATATCCTACTCACGTATTGGAATGGAAACACTTAATGTGTGCTGAATTCTGAATGGATATCCAGACATGATTGTTAGAGACTGTCATGTTTGTGATCGGCTTCGAGTCCGATGAAATCTGAATTTGATTGATGACCTATTGAATAAGAGAATAATTATTTTAGTTCTTGTATAATTATACTTTTTACTCTTTCTTACCGTTAAACTCTCTACGTCCAGGACTTTGATAATGCCTTGGATGGAACACCAAAGTCGGCCGTTGACATTTAAGAGCTTGTTCACCGGACTGGTGACGGTGCCAATGGACAGGCAATGTGATGAGCAAGTATTCCATGACGTGGCTAAAAGGGAATTCATAATAGTAATTCGTCTTAAGAAGCTCTCAAGCGGCTAACACTTACCACCATCTCTCAGGTAAACACAGATATCACCATTTGCTAATGATACAAACACACGATTGTCCAGGTACCTGAATAATGCAATGATTATAAAATTAATATACTATTTAAGATTTAATAAATAAATTTTAAGTAAAGCTTACAAAATGGAATAGACGGCCGAGTGGTGCTCGATCTTGATGCGATTTTTCTTAATCCGAATATTGTCAGTGCTATTATAGACGTGGATGCAGCCGTCTTCAGTACCAATCCACATGGTTGATTGATTGCTCTCGCCTTCCTCGGGATTAGAGTCCTGATGGCCGTGATATGAGGGCGCAGGACTGGGTACTCGTTCCGTCAGAGTTGCACCAGTTCCCGATCCAGTGCTTCCGGCCACATTCAGTGATGCAGCTGCAGCCTCCGTTTCATCATCGCTGGAGCTTAGATTTAGTTCTAACTGAGTATCACTGCCAGTGGTAGCCGCATCAGCAGGATCACCACTTGCCACCGGCGTGGGTATTGGCGTTAGCTTCTTCTTTTCAGGCGTCGCTGTCGCCGAAGTGGAGGCACTCTGGAAGCTGGGCGAGATACTCTTGCGGTAATCTCTCAACTGTTGTGTATAACTCTGTGGAGTGTTACGTTTGTCCTTCTCCTCTTGACCACCGGATCCAGCCGGCTGCTCGCCACTACTATTTCGACTTGAGGCCGCCGAGCTATATGCCGGCACGGAAGCCACACAAAGGATACGTGCATTGCACACGCCATTGCAACTGGTGACATTGGGTTCCGGATGGAGTGACATGATGCACACCTGACCCACATACCCATCGCTGTTACACACCCAAACATCTCGATTGTCACTAAGCGTGGCTGCCGCACAGGTGAACTGCAGTCCAGCTCGAGTCTTGCGGATGGGTATTGAGGTGAGGAACTCGGGTATGGGATGACGCTCCAATGTGGCAGCTGCGGGGAATATAGATATAGATATCACTTATTTAATAATTTTTGGAGGATGTGAAGAGATGACTTACCCAACTTTTGCTTGGCCTCGTTGAAGCTCTCCTCCCATTGCGTCCGCTTCTCGGTTTTACTGAAGACCACAGTTAGCTTTTGATTGCCATTTCTGAAACAATAATATAGGTTAAGAAACAATAATATCGTTAAGAACATCTGGATCTATATTAAGTATTAAGCTTTCAGCTTCATTCGGTCCCACTTACGGAGAACTGACTGTCAGCTCGAGCATATTCAGCTGTGTGTCGTTTGTCTGGCGCTCGGAGAGTTGTCGCTGGACATCCCGGTGGAGCTCGCGGATTACATCCTCCAGATACTGATGCGGGTATTTAAGGGAGACGGTGATGTCGGTGATTTGCTGCAGTTTATTGCAGTCATCGGCCAAAGTTTCGATTTCGCTGACGATACGCTTGATATTTTCGTCCTTAGCTGCAGTTTAAAGAAGCAATTATGGATCATAAAACCAAATGAAACTTTTAGCATACTCACATTTGACAATTTCCAGACAATCTAGCGAGATCTTGGTAAGGAACTTGTACTTGTTGGTATCCAGGGTGGAGGCCACGGTGCCCGGGCAGATGGTGCTGTTGGGCTTGCGGATGGTGCCGCTTCGTTTCTTGATGCTGGTTAAAACGAGTAGATCGTTGAATAGGAAGAAGCCGCGATCCTTGCGAGCACCTTGACCCGAAGGCATGGAAACTAGGTCGAAGAGCAGGAACTGCCTTTCAGGAGCTATAAGATCGGTGATGCCCTCGATAACGCCTTCTAATTCCCGGAGCGTGGCCTCCCTTTGCCCGTTCTCCATTATTTCTCGCTCTTTGCAGTTAATGTGGACCAGTATGTCGTGGACCAACTTGAGCACGTCCTGCAAATGCTTTGTGTCAGGATGATCATGATCTGTGTTCTTAATCAATCGCTGAAACAGCAGTTCATAGCTGCGATAAAAGAAAAACGTTATTATTATGATATTGTTTAAATTTATTAAATTAGAGCTTACTTGGGAAACTTTTGCACTGGCTTAATGAGCAGATTGTCCAGGGTAAGCTTGCCCTTGTGCTCCCGAGCTGTGGACTCGAGGAACTTGGAAAACGAGGGCCTCTGATGCTTCATGGAGCGAATAGCATTCTTTGCTCGATTGCAGTTGTTAACAAAGGATGTGTAGACTTCTAGGACTTCTAGCTTTGAAAACTGTGGAATAAGATATTAATATTAGGTCCCGAAACATAGTTAACATTTATCTTCATCTAGAGTAAATCCCTGTTAAATAAGTTAGTTAACTAATTTAACGATTAGCTTAAGTAGACATTACCGTATCCATGAATGCATCGCCAACTTTCTGCTGAACATCCCAGTCATCCAAGCGGCCCTTCAGATCGCCCAGAAACTTCTCGTGAATCTCGAGGATGTCGGGAACCATGAAAAAGATCTCATCCACAGTACGGGTATCTATCATGCCGGCATGCTCTGGAGCCTTGAGCACTTTCAGATACTTGACAACGACGGTCTGCAGGGATTCCACATAGGATTGCTCATTCCGATAGATCTCCTGCACCACATGAGTGCGTGTGTCCTACGGAGGAGAAGAGATTATATAAAGGGTTTTATTATATTTTATGATTTGGAATAGCGTTGAAATGTTAGTAAGAGGTTAATTGCGACCAGACTTACGCCATCATAGCCGCCTAGATTCCATTTACTACTCATCTCGAACTGTGCCCGCCGCTCGGAGTCATCCTCCGAGTCGGAGCAGGTGATCGAAGTCATTTTCTTCAGCCTGTCGCACTTGTCGTTCTGATAGCCACTCCCAGCCCCGCCCCCTGAACCGGCAGCCGCCCCGAATCCCGCCTTGCTCAACCGCGCCACCGTTGTGGTTGCCATCGAAACCGCCTGCGAGACACTGCTGTTGATGTTGCCGCTGCTAGAGCCGCAACCGCTGAGGTTGCTGGTGCTATGCGAGTGGGTGTTGCTACTGCTGCTGTTACTAGTATTGCTGCTGGCACTGATGTTGCTGCTGCCACTCGGCAACTGTTGCATGTGGGCGGGGGCTTGGGGAAGCAGGGCGGCGGCAACGGTTTGGGAGGGCGCCGTCAGGGTGGCCTGCAGATCCAACAGGCTAAGTCGCAGATTCTCGCGATTGTGCGACATGCTCGGAATGTGTTTTAAAGTGTTCCTTTTTCTTCTTCTTTTTTGACTTTTTCACTAGTTTAGGCAACTTTTTATTTCACTGTCGCAACGTCACTGAATCTCTGGAGCACCGCTGAAGCATTCTGTATGGTTTTATGTTTTATTTAGAGACAAAAGCACACGTCTGGTCTGGCTAAAACGCCCAAATAGACTGAAAGTGCAACAAGCGGTTGGCAAGAAGCAAATTGCAGCTGGCCGAGGATGTTGCACATCCACAAAAACAGACACCCACATACACACGCACATGGAGAACAACCTGCGTAGACGGCAAGTGGGAGAACCACTTGCCCACGTTTCACAAGCCCTGCGTATATACACTCAGAACATTATAAGGCACATTGCCACAAAATATTATAAAGAACTTTTTTGCACATATTTTGTTGCATTAGTCGTATGTTAATCCTTAAAAGTTGGATTTTAGGAAAGATTTCCAAAGAAGTGAATGCTTTTTGCAAGTGTATGTAACGATAGAGAGTCACGAGTCACTCACTCACAGGGACAGCCTTGAGCACCTACCCGTCCCCTAGCCTCCTAACCATCAGCCCACCGCCTGCATTGGGCGCGTATGTGCGAGTGTGTGTCTGTGTGTGATTTGATAATGACACTGACCATGTTGTTGTTTGTCTTTGCTGACTGAAGGCCAATAAGGCGCAAAGGGAAAACAAAAGGGAAAGCGTGGGTTGGGTGCAGGAAAAATACGTATATGTACGTACGACATAATAACAATAAATAAAAAAAAAACAGTTGCGGTTCTGTTTTCTTGTTTTTGCTTTGAATCACGGCTAACTGCTGTTCAGCTGTGTTGCTGTTGCGTTTTTAATTGCCTGATTAGGGCAACAACAAAAGCTTGGCAAGCAACATGTTATCACACATACACTTGTGTCATATAAATACGTATATATGTATGTGTATGTAGTGTGTGTGTGTGTGTGGGGGAGGGAGTGAGCTTGTTGCACAGTTAGTTATGTAGCCGTATTTTGCAGCATACATTTGTGCGCAGTTTAGATGGCCGTTGCAGTTACCGTTATACGCGAGTGGGTATATGTGAAGGTTAGAGGAGTGCAAACTGCACATAAGCCACACAATTCCATTTTACATTTTACATTTCACAATCGCACACACGCACACACATATACACTTATGGAGGGCTGACAGGTAATTGATTTGCTCTCTCTCCTCTCCTCTGCCCTCTAACCATCTCACTCGCACTCGCTTCAGTTACTGTGGCTAAGTTGAGAGTTTATATTTGCACTCGATGTATATTATTGGCGTAACGCGGCGCAACAAGAGGTTGGCCTTGTGCACTCAGGTACACATATACATACACACACAACACACATACACAAATATATATCCGATATATATATATATATATACAGCAAGATGGGAAGAAAAATTTAATTCGAATAAAATGAAAAGTGATTTTCTTCTCAGCCTTTTCGAGACATTTTCCCACGCACATAACCATGCATTCTTTCCACCTATGCAAAATACACACACACAGAAACACTCCAGCGATAAATTATATTTTTCTATACACGTTGTTTGCTGTTTGCCAAAAAATTTACGATTGGTTTTGGTTATTCTTGTTGTTTCTTGATTTGTTTGTTGCTTTTTACACGCCGTTAACGGATTCCTCGCTCCACAAAAAATAAATAACAAACGAACGAGCGAACGAAACATGAACAATTCCGCCACACAATGGTCGTAGAAAAGCAAATAAGAATTGAAGCACAGCGCACAGTGGTCTCTTTTCAGCCTTTCGCTGCTCTGTCGCAGTCGCTGCTGCTGATGCTGCTTCGGCTGTTGTTGTTACTGCTGCTGCTGCTGCTGCTGCTGCTGCGCGGGAGAACAGCCACAGTGGCACATCCCAAAATCCAAAGGCCACAAACAGGAGTGCGCGATTCCGCCACTCGACTCAACGAACACATTCCATTGTGCCATATACACACTTAATTTCCATTTTTCATATTCCAAGCGCACTGAAAAAAAAGGAAACCACCCCACCGCCCCCACTCCCACTCCCACTCTAATAAGCACCCACCACCCACTATAAGTAAAGAGAGAGCACGAGCTAGAGAGAGCGTAATGCAGGAGAGTAGTGTGTTTTAAACAAAAGCACACAGCACACACATACATCTATTTATTGGCAATATTGGAAAATGAGCATGGTAAGACTTTTTCGGTTTATCTGCTCTATGGCAAAACATCAATTATCCATGTGAACCAAAATCAGATCGTAAACACACTCAAAACATTGTCTGGTGCGCTAGTCTCAGCTGTTAAAACCCCATTGGAATGCCATGCGCCGCTCTCAGAGAGCGGAAGAAATTGGAAATAAAAGAGAAATTGGGTTTTCCCTTGGATTTGCATGCGACAAGTGTCCGAAAAAGAAGAAACGAAACGGTCAAGGAAAGGGTTAAATTCTATACCGGGATTTTCAATCCTTTTCTACGCAGAAAATATTAAATAAGTGGAGGTGATATACATGTTGAGAAAATTGTTCTTTTCTTACAGTATGGATACATGAACATGTTTAGAAAGGAGGTAACATCCATTTTATTAAATTCACTTCTTATCTTGCTATCTGGTAGAAAATAAACACAAAGAATACTACTATAGTAACCAGTCCCCTTGAAAATATATCTCAGAAGCAGAAAAACTTAAATTCAAAACTCAAACTATCTGAGAAAAATCAAAGCCTCAACAAACATCAACTTCTCCCATGTAGACCAAAATTTTCAAAATAAGAAACCACTTCCTATCCCCACAATCCAATTAGAATCAGTCATCAGCCCAATTACAATTTGCTGGCGGTATAATAAAGTTTTACTAAAAATAGTACGATGCAACCACTGTGCCTGGAACGGATCGGAATGGAATGAAGGAAACCGAAACAAATGGAACGAAACGGGACTAGCACACTAACACACATTTCCAATGCGCACCGTTTTCTTTCTTTTCGTTTGGAGCATGCGCTTTGGAATTCACATGGCGCCGCTGCTTTTTTTCTCTGTCGCTGCTTTTTGCGCTGCTTCTGCCGCTGTCTCTGCCCACACCCACAACATGCACTTCTACTTAGCAAGCAAAACAAAAAGCGTGAGAATATTTAAATATGTGTATGTGAGAATGGATACAAGGCAGCTAGCTAGAAAAGAAGAGAAAACAAAACCAAGAAGGGTGAAAAGCTAACGATCGCTGGCACAGAAAATGAGCTCTCTGGAACTGGAACTGAACATTTTCAGCGAAGGATCCATGGTTTAAAACGCCGCTTAAAGTCAGAGTTATAGCTAGCATACTTAACGGGGTATTTCTTAAAACCAAGAGTTAATCTTTGCTTATTACTTCAATAAGTGAGCTTTAACTACTAATGAGTGAATTAACTATTTTTAATATTTAATAAATTATTAATAATGATTTTGTGTTTCATTCGGAACATTATTTCTATGTAAAACCCTACACTATTAGAAATCGTAAAATAAACAAAAAGCAAACAATTCACTATTCAATATTGAGTCATTTTATCATGAACCAGGTACTTCCCTTGGACTAATACCCTTGGAAGTACGTTTTCAAGAAAGATACCAAAATAATAAGACACTCACCGCTAACGTTTTCTTTCGCTGCTCGGAGATCATATTCTCGCTGGATCCCTTCAGTAGCTCAGCCAACAGAGCAGGCGTTGGCTTAATGCCCGCCTTGGTTCCTGATCCCGATGCCGATGCTGAAGCTCCTCCAGTTGATGGAGAAGTTTTGGCAGCTTTGTCACCAGATCCCGAATCCAGACTCCGCTTATGACTATGGCTATGACCATGTCCATGACTGTGTCCGTGGTGATGATGATGAAGGCTGGGACGTTCCGTGCTCATCGACTGACTACGCTTGCTGTGATGCGATTTGGGAGCCGGAGCCTCTGAGGCTGCTCGCTTCATGTGATGTAACTGGTCATCCAGTTCTGCCTCACTTAGGTTCTTGGCGGACACTGAAATCTGAGCGGTGGCTGCGGAAATGCCTTTGTTGGTGTGCTCCAGCTGCGAAGGCGTGGAAGCCGCACGGGCATGAGATGGCACTGGCAGAAAGGTGCTCGTCTTGCGCACTCTCATAGAGTTGGAGTATTGGGGCAGATTGCGGGAGGGACCACCCGATCCACTGGCTGCACCCGAAGCTGATCCACGCGTGTGCAAGCTGGAAGAAAAGGAGGTTGTTTAAGTTGTTTTTGTTTAAAGATAAATATTTTTAATAACTAAATAACTGAGAAATAAAATTGCCAAGAATAGTAAAAGATCTTACCTGTCTGTCTCGCGCAGCTCCTCAAGTATCTCCTTGAAGTGCATCCGATTGGGTTTCTTCATCTCCGCCTCCAACATCTGGCCGTAGGGACCTCTTAGTGGACGCTTCGAAAAGCGTTTGTAGTCATAGTCCCCGGTGCTAGGTGTGGGACTAGAGGTTATCCTCTCTCTCTCACGCTCCCTTACAGCCCGATCGCACTCGTTATCCGACGTAGAATCGGTTCGCAGAAAGCTTAAGCTCCGAGTGGAGGCATCATCCTTCTCCTCACTGCTGTGACAGCTGAAGTTGCTCATTAACTGGGCCTTGTCACGAACCAATCCGCCACTGCCCCAAGAAGGGGAACCTTTCTCCAGTTCGGGAGTATTTATTTCAAAGGAATATGAGCTTTGCGGACTGCTAATGAACATTTGAGAGGTACCGGGAGTGTTAACATCTGGGGATTCCGGCTTAATGGCATTCAGATTGGCCACATTGATATCCAGGGCTAGGCCTCGTTGTGGTGTCTCCGTGGGAGCCTGCCAATCCGCATTGTCTATGTACATCCCCTTCCGTTTGGTAGACTTATCCAAATGCCTTCGTTGCCGCTCATCGGTACTGTGTCGCGGTGTAGCTATGGCCTCCAGAGAGCTCCTCAAATCTACATTGCCAAGGTCCAAATCGTCTTGGCTGTACTGTCTGCTATGCTGCTCCATTGAAGGATTCTTGGCCGTCGTTGCCACTTCCACTTGCGGCACATCTTCGATTTTTGCCAGCTCGTCACCCTCTTCGGATGAACGACTCACGGAAATAGTTGGGACCAGATCACTCCTAATAGCCGTAGTCAAAGTGAATGGCGTTTGGGAGATTTTACAGGCAGCATGAGGAATGGGTGGCTGTATGGTCTCTGGCACTATCCCAAATTCTTCAGGGGCAACCTCAACCCATTCCTGTGCAGGAGTCTCCAGCCATTCTTGGGCGGCACATTCATACACTGGCACTGGTATCTCGCAGGTGGTAGCTGTTTGCAGAAAGTTATCCGGTGGAGACTCCAAAGGCAACTGCTCCTCCATCAAGGTAGCCAGATTCGGGGCACTTCCACTGACAGAGGAGGATGGAGGTGTTATCTCCAGTACTGGTTGTATTTGCGGCTGCACCTCCTCCTTGATCAGACAATCGCTCTCCGATTGAATGGTATCTGTCAGAGATTCCATGGTAGCATGAGCTGCTATTACACTGCTGGCAGTGGCCACTGGGAACAGGACCCCTGAGCTGCCACTCGCCGTCAACTCGTTGCTAAAAATGTCCTCCTCCTGGATCGAGTCGTGATCCAGGGATTTTTCCTGTCCGTAATTCAGATTGATATTGAGTTCGGTCTTCTTCAGTGGTATTCGCACCCAGCCAGGATCTGGATGAATAAGTTCCTCCTCCCTGGAGTGTGTTGGACTGGGACTGGGAGCCTCGACGGCCTTGTCCCGCTTTAGTCGATCCCTCAAGGCGGATAGCGTGGACTTACAATCGATCTGCGAGAAAGAAACCGAACGAAATGGGGCTACCTTGTGCGCGCTGCGTGAATCCGGCCGTGATGCTAGCGCCGTGCTCTCGAAACTGGCACTGCTGCCAGTGGCCGACGCATCTACGCATCTGCTAGCCGCAGGTCGCTGATTCTGCTGCGCAGGTGGGGGCGGGGATTTGGACTTCTCGCGGTTGCTCAACATGAAGGCCTCCAGATTGGAGAGACTCGTGTTTGGTCGAAGGGAGGCAAGTATACGGGCAGCGGTGCTAAGACCGCCTCCACCTCCTCCGCCACTGTGTCGTGTTGATTCTTCGCTAGGCATTCGCAGGTGAGCACTGCCAGTTTCCGATTCTGAAGTTTGACTGGCGCCTGTATCCTGGCGCTCGATATGTGATGTGCGCGGTTTGCGGGGCGGTGGCACAGGTGGCGGAGGAGGCGGTGGCGGAGTGGGTGTGGAGGAGGCACGGGAACTGCTACCGCCACCACCTCCACCCCGTAAAAGTTCGGTTAGCTCGCGGAGACGCTCTGAACGATCCGATGTTTTGCGCTGCTTCTCCGGACCGGAAGTGGATGTCGAAGAGGACGTGGACGCAGAGGCGGCTGCCGCTGGTGATGATTTACGCCCGAAACCGAGGCGCTGAAAGCGGTCCAGGGTATTACGTCGTTTCTCCATTGTGTGCTAAAAGTACGGGAGAACGGGAGGGATAATTCGAGTTAAACATTTATTATTCATCGACGGATTTCTCGGCCAGCCCGGGTCCATTATCCATCCAACCAACCAACCAGCCAACCATCCCGACCTCCCCCCAACCTCACGTCTTTTTATGGACTAGCTGTGGGCGTACTTGTGATCCCACCGCTCAACCCCGCTACACCCCGCTCACAAAATAAAAACAAACAAATCGCTGGCAATTCAGTTCGATACACTGAAGCAGCAACAGTGGCAAACATTGAGTCAACGCGGCGTATGTGTAATATCTGGAGGGGTAATAACTTAACAAGATTTCGCTTTTCCGCAGGATCGTAAGGGATATACGGAATGCTAATTGGAATGAGCATAAGCATGAGCATCATTATGTATTCCAATTTCCGGAACCCAGCCAACATGATAATATTAGGCGCCTCCTCATCCCCAGCGTCATTATATTCGCTGCAAAATGACACACATACCAACCAAATCCAAGAGAACACAATGTAAGGCAAGCCAACAACAGTGCTCTATATATTATATATTAAGCCGATTCGTGTATACATACGCACACAGTGATATTTTTAGTATAAACAACAGATCTCAGCCGCATATATAAAACGTACGTAAGTATTCCACATACGTTTTTAAATCCGAATACATATAGGTCTATATGTATGTAGGTGGCATATATACAGAAAATACAAGAGATCTTTCGGCTATGACTGGGAATGAATGAGCGGACAGGCCAACTTACAATACACTGCTAGAAAGCTATTTTAGTTGTGATGATAAGTCGTTAAACTTATGAAAACATTAATAAACTTGGTATTTGAAGTCTCTTAATGGCTTTCTATACAAATTGCAACCACATTAACCATTCTACAAGAACTACATTGATTTTGGGATATATATAAAACTGATATAGATCAGCTACAACTATTTCTCCTGGTGCACGCAATAAAAGAATCGTACAAATAACACAAAAGTAGAGCAATACTAGCAAAGAGATTTTTTTGGTGAGCGGAATTCTCCCAAGCAACACAAATCACAAGCGAAAATCCCACATTCTCCCAATCTCTCCGATTGAGTAGAAGAACGTGCCGTTCAGGTGGTGCCCATCCATCCATCCATCCGTACATACATATATACAGATGACTTATTCTCTGGCCAAAACTACAATCTCCGAGAGATATTTTCTATACATTGAACGGGAAACAAAACGAACGAGTAACTATATGATATATGGAATCAATAAAATCGATCAAAACAAAAGGTTTATGGCTGAAAATTGCACTCCCTGACAGTTCGATGATGAATGGTGGCCATCGAGTTTCGGAAAATATGGTATATAAAACCCAAATATATACATTTATATATATGCCTATATGAGTTTCTCTCGTTCTCAGTTATTCGATTTTGGGTGCTTCACTATCCTAACTCATCATATGGATATTTTATAATATTTATCAGATCAATTCGAACTTATCCTATGATTTCGAATGCTTTGATAGGGGGTATTAACCCTTCCTAAAACCCTTTTCGATAGAACTTACCCCGTTCTCCTTGTTAACTTCGAATGGAGCTTCCACATAGGAATTGCAGTGACACGGCAGAAGTATATTATTTCGCTTATTATGATTTAATTGGTGATTGTTAATTTGGCTTGTAGGATTCACTTGGAGCAACGCATTGCATTCACGATTGTGCTGCAGTGGCAGAGAAAATGAACTTTCGCGGTCACTTTTTTCTGGGTATATAACATTCGCGGTCACACGCGCTAGATCAGTGTACGGATCATAGGGAACTTTGGACTCTCCGTAATATTGTATTTGCAGACGCGATTCACTGAGTGATTTGTGCACTCCGTTGCGCTTTTCCACCCCCACTTCCGTTTCCGGTTCGGAGTCGAAGGTCAGACGTCCGTGTCGATCATAGCAAAGGGATCGTGGCCCCTTCAACAATCCCCAAGCGCAATCTCCACTCGATCCGAAACGGCAATTGTAATTGATGTTATTATTGAAGCTTCCCTCGAAGGCATATGGGTTGTAATCCTTAGGGATGCAACAGCTGTTCGCGGGATAAATACGAGGCGGATAGTGAGTGGGTTGGGCAGGTGGCTGATGATAATGTTGCTGTTGTTGCTGCTGCTTATGGCAGACCACACGACGGGTCTTCAGGGCTGGCTCATCGGATACAGAAGACTCTACACAGACACGCGGTTTTGGAGGAACTGGCGGTGGATGGCGATAGCTTCGATAGCTAACTGTGGCACAGGAATTGTAGTGTTGCAGATGTTGCTGCTGCTGTTGCGCTTGCTGTTGTAGATGATGCTGCTGGTGCTGGTGCTGGTGCTGGTGCTGCTGCTGTGACAGTTTTTTGTCAATTGTATAACAACAAATTGCTGGTGACTCGTCGCTGATTTCAGATGACAGGGACAACACTGGCGATGACGCGTCTCCCACTGATGTTGGTGCTGCTGCTGGTGCTGCCTCTGTTGATTTTTCCGTTTTCGTTGTTGATGTATTTGGCTGCCGCTTTTCTATTTCTATAACCGGCGGCCGCGCAACGTCATCGTCATCGTCAGCGGCATCCTCATAATGAGCATCGACTAATACGCGCCTCGTGGAATCGACTTCCTCCCCATCGAAGACAAAGCGAAACGACGACAAATCGGACACTGAATCGTAGTCCCCAAACGGCAGCTGTTGCTGCTGTTTCTGCTGCTGATGATGTTGCTGCTGTTGCTGTTGCTGCTGTTGCTTTTGGCGGTCCATAGAGCTGCCAACTTGTTGCTGCCTCTCCCCACAGCAATTCTCGCAGAGAATCCGTGAGCTTTTCGCAGCGATGCGAGGAGATAGCTTTTGATGCTGCGTGTTGGCAAAGTATTTGGCAATGGGATCGTACTCCTCCTCATCATCATTATTGTTGTTGTTGTTGTTGTTCTTATTATTATTGTTGTTGTTGTTGTTGCTATGGTTGCGGGTGAGATGTTGATAGGTAAGCGGCGGATTGGCCCTGGCCTCCTGGCCCTGGGCGATCATTGATATTGATGGTTCGCCTGTCTGCCGGCGTGGCTGCTCCTCATTCCATGAGAGCTTCTTATAGCCGCGTCCTCGCACCACCCGTTGGCCTAATTGTGGTGTAGTTGGCAAGGAACTGGACAGCTTCAATGGTGCAAGGTGCGGCACCTGCTGATCGCCTGCTGAAAGGTGGCATGGTGAATGTGAGTCAACTTCGTGTATTCCCGATCTTACCAATGATTGCCTCTCCTTCGAGATGGTTAGCTTCGCTGTCGACTGTCCGCGTGGAGTGGCGGGCACAGCAGCAGGATATCAGGCGACTGCTCTTAGTCCTTCTCTTCACCGACTGGTCAGCTTCTATGGGTTGAGGAGTCTTTGAGTTTGTTCTCAAATCACTGCAAAATAATATTAAAAATAACATTAGTCTTGTAAATATTTCATAAGTTCTGATGGCACAGTGACAAACATTCAGCTGCATTGGTTATTTTTAGCCTTGGCTTATTTTTATATCTTTTGATAAGCTAAAAATAAACTTAGAAAGCATACAAAAGTAAGCAGATATTTGGCTTAACACTTTTGTAGATAACTTTAAAGCAAACAACTCGATTATGGGTTTTGTTAAAAGGAAAATAAAACTTACCAATGGAAATTTTCTTGTTAGTTGGTAAATTAAAACTTTAAAAACATCTTAAGACTAAGATCATGCTCAGGAATAAGTTAATAAGTTCATTATTGATATAGGTAAGTTATGCCTGAAACTTATATACCCCCGCGTTGTTAATTTGATTAGAGGATATTGCAATTGTTCGCCCAAAAGCATGCCACAAGCATTGAACTTCGAACTTTCATGCAGATTAGCGTGCTTTGACTGCAAATCTTCACCTCTTCCAAGTGCTTCCATTTTCATTGTTTAGATAGAAAGTTTTCATTGGAAGTCCTTCGTATTTTCCTCGGGAAGGCATATCATATGTAATACATCCCTGACGTGCCTCCGGCATATTGTCTATAGTAAAGTTCCAATTCCGTTGAGTGTATTTGCAGTAAAGTTCAGTGCCTCAGATATAAAGCACACCGCTGATCTATTTTTATCTATTGCACCGCATACTTTACTCCCAATGCGATCGAGGCTGCAGTAAGATTCGATATTTTATGTGACGATGGATGCCTATCAATAAAATCATTCAGTATTTTTGAGCAGACGGAAAGTCTTTCGATTACAAATTTACCAATCAATTGGGAAATGTATTAAATACTTTATTGATTTTCAAATAATAATTTAAGACCTAAGAAAATATAAGATATATTCAAATATATTCACCTCCCACTCCACAGCATTCAAAATTCTCACATTTCCCATGGATCTTTAAGTTTTATTTATATTTCCGTTTCTATCACATAATTAATGATTTGATAGAAAAATACAAATTATTTCTGCAGATATATTTTTTAATTACTATGGTATTTATGCAAATATATATTAAGCATTTTGGCCTCAACATGATTTGCCACCTTTCGATTTCCTCCAACGGAATCCGAGTGTTACGCATGCGAATTTTTAGCACAGAGCTGCTAGTCAAGCCATGACCATGACATGCCCCTCCTTTTGGCTATGCCACTGCCACTATCCGTTGGCTGTCATTAAATATGTTTAGTTTAGTTGCTTTCCCTCCTCCCCTCCCTGCCCGGTTTTTGTTGCATCCACTGGCGTGTCCATTGTCTTTCGGGGATTGGTTACCCGAGTTGGCCAGGCTTTTGTTTCAGTGGAAGACTTTTTCTTTGGCTGGCTGCTGTTGTTTGTTTTTTTTTTCGGACTTTTTTTTTACTTTGCTGAACAAGTGGCTTTCCTATAATCTTAATTGATGTTGAACAAACAGCAGAGCATGTTGCACAAGCCGGAGACGTCTCCACTTTTTTGTGTTCAACGCCACAAAAATCGCCTGCAAGAGTTTGCCATCAGCTATACATTGTTTAAGGAGAGATTTGCATGAGCTTCTTTGCTATCTTTAAAATGATAAACAAATGGTTTTAAGCTTAAAGTCTTTCTAATGAACGGGAACAATTTACCAAAGAAAACAAAGAGGTGGCATGTTTTTATAATTCAAAGTTTAAAAATTAATACAAAGTAAGCAAGAAAAGCCTTCTTAATTTATAAGCCATTGGATTTAATAGTTAAATTGTTATATTAACAGTGAAAAAATCATCTTCTTATAAAAGAAAATGAAATGAAAATATACTAAAAGCTAACACTTTTCGGGGTGTAAATATCACGCTAGTTGGGAGTCACACATTCGTCCCCAAAATATCATTCCGCCAGAAAACCAAAAATAAGTTTTCCACCAGAACACCGAAGAAACTTTGAGTGAAAGATGCTCATGGCGAAACAATTGCAGTGTCGTGTACAGACAGTGCGGAACGAAAGTGTAAGCCTTAAGGCAAGAACTTAAACTCAGTAAGAAATCATATAATTAAAATAATCACTTTAATATAACAAATCGAAAGCCATTAAAAAGGTATTTTAAAAGCTGTCAAAGTCAGAAATGTGTTTATTATTCAACTCTTACTCATTCAATAATTATGAAACTTTCTGTACCCTCACATATATTTATATATATGTATATATATGTAGCCATGCTCTTGTGTACATAGAATTTTGTGTAAGGCATTTTTTAGCCGAGATTGCTGTGGTGTTAGTCCATCGGATACAAATGTATCTTTCGCAGCGTAATCATTCAGGAATGCAGATGCACAGATCTATATGTCTGTCTGATCTATATTTATAAACCGATCCAGATCCCAAGCTCGGCTATCAACAGCTGGACTTGCACTTGTCAAAGCAACAGATATATATATCTATAGATGCAGTTTCTATTATCGCATCTGTGTGGCGCAATTAGAAGTGCCTCAAGGTCGCCGGAATAATGAGATCCAACTGCGAGCAGCTGGTTTAACTTATCTTGGCTTGGCAAAACAGTTAAAAGTAAAACGAAAAAAATGACTTCCAAAACAACAAGTTTAGCACATAACTGTCCACGAGAAATCCGTGAGTTTATTGTGAATTCTTTTTGGTGTACGCCAGCTTCTTGATAAATATACAAGTTTTTTGAGTGTTTGCCCATGGAATACCTGGCCAGATAAGCCCCAGTACCAGATATCAGAGATCTGGCGACAAGGCAAAACGAGCGTCAGCAATCAGAAGTCACAGATAAACAAGATGTAAAATCCCCAAACCAACACTTCTAGAATAAAAAAAATAAGTAAGAAAAAATCGAAAATTATAATGGGGGGGGAAGAAGATACATTATAAATAGTTTGCCGCCACTCATAAATAAACAAAAATTCAATTAAAATCATACTCTGGCCAAATCTATATGAAGAGAACCATTAAAAAACCATAAAAGTTTTGACATGTTGCGAACATTTTGCTGTCAGCTGCAGAAGCGGTCCCAGCTCTTGGCTTCCCATCTCCGAACAATAATAACAATTAAGCCAGCTCCTCAGCCCCCCCGGGTAACACCTATTTTTTCGCTCTTTTTTCGTAACTATTTCATAGGCCTGCCCTCCGCCAGAGTCATTTTGACTGACACGTGACAGCGGGATCCGTGATCCGTGCCAGATGCCCCCTGCTGCACATCCCACATCGGTATATCGCCACATTGCCACATCTCCGCCGGCATGCAAAACTTCTTTGTTATGGACTTTATGATTAATCTGCACAGCTTTTCAGCGGCATATCAGCAACACCTCCAGCATTGGAGGTGCGTGATGGGATTAGGAGTGCATATCTAGCAGAGGTCCCTTTCAATATGGTTTACTATATATATAAATATAAATATATGTGCACACCTCCAGAGGAAGCTATTTCAAATCCCGATCCCAAGCCGTAGGCGACAACAGTGCGCCTTTCATATCCATCGCTCACCTGAACTTGGACTTGAATTGAAATCAAGAGTGGCGTGGCCCAGAGACCTTGCCAGTCTCTTTTGCATTGCAAATCAAACGATTCTCCCAGCTTATATATATATATATATATTTGTAAAGTGTGAGCTTGAAATCGTATCTTTCGGTTCAAGTTCAGCTCGGTTTGGTTCAGAGCGAGAAGGAGGCAAACATTAGAATGAGACTAAGGGACACCCGATACTAAACATAGTTAGGGAATGTTCCGACTGTCTATGGTAGTTGAAAGAGTGATTGCACTGGTAATAACATAAGTGGAAATGTTTTTGTCTTATATAAATTTTATTTTATCCAATTTTATGCTATTACTATCAGTGGTTTTATAGGGTAAGAAGGTTCTTAGGATTACCATCTAGCAAAGGTAAAGCAAATATTTAAACTAAATAAATATTTTTTCATATTTACAAAAGCTTAAAACAAGAATGTTGTTTTCTTAGCTTTAGATAGGGGTTTTCCCCCAGTGATTTATCCAGCGGACGAGTACCCGTAGAAACCACAAAAACGTAACCCACACCTCGAGGCAAAGGCGAAGAAAAATTGGCTCTCGGGGCGAGGCGCGTAATACCAGATGCATTCGTATTTTGGTATTCCACTTAGGAACTGGCCAAAAAATCTGGCAGTCCAAGCTGGAATTATGTCAGTCAGTCGGTTGGTTAGGCAGTTAGTCAGACTGTCTGACTGGATTCGACATTTCACTTTTGATTTTCGATTTTCGATTTCGTACTTTCACGAGCCGAGTTTCTGAGTTTCTGGCGGAGTGACCCTAAAGTTCAACCCAGCTGAACCCGACTCAATGTAGAAGCGATGCAGATACAAATGGGATTGGGTTGGATTTTGGGAATGGGAATGGGCATCGAGCGGGAGTCGGAGTCGGAGTTCGAAGCTGAAGTGGGTCTTTAAGCTGGAGCTGCACAACATTCAATTAGTACATATTAAATTTGTTTGCCTGATGCCTGATACTGTTGTTGTTGGTTTCTCTTTTTTATATTTTTGTTGTTGTTTTTTTTTTTTTTTTTTTTGGCCAGTCCGAACAATGAAGCGGAACTTAACTCGATTTAAGTTTTTATGAGCGGTATTTTGTAGTTTGTATCTGGTGCCTTGTATCAGCAGACAGCGATAAATTGTGTTATGAAAGTGCACTGCAGATGCAGTGCAGGAAGACCCCAACGTCGCCTTCGACTCCGATCCCAGATGCCAGATGCCAGTTGAGAGTCAAAGTTGAACAGCAACATGGACCGAAAATCTGTGGCCATTGATTGTTATATCGATTTGGGTGATAACTCTCCGGCAATCAGCTAAGAGATCAAAATTCAGCGAAAACGGAAAAAATCACTTTCATAAAATGTTGCCCATTGAAGAGTTCTTTATCTAATCAGTTATTAAGTTGGGGAACTTTTAAGACAACTTTTAATGTGGGTTATTTCCGCAAGAAGATTACTGGAGGTGTTTTCTGAACTTTAAACTGCTCTGAGTCAAGAAAGCTATAATGGTATATTGTATAATTTTATATGATTTTAAGATTTTTTATAATTGTATTAAAAAGTTATAAAAATATAAAAACATTTTTGCAAATATTGAATTAATCTTCTTCTACTTGTAGTTGGAATTTTTATAACATTTAATTCACTTCACAATTTAGTAGTTTAACCGAACAAAAACTCAACAAAGAAGTATGTTATCTAATCAAATAGACACTAAAACCTAATGCGAATATCTTTGAGATACTTTTTGAGATAATTGCTCAGAAACGATGAGTAAAGGAAAGGGAATTGACTTATATTATACACTTCATACAGTGCATCTCTGCAAGTTGCATAACCCGGATGCCTGATTAGCTGTGTGATATGAAAGTTATTCTCAGGTCGCTTTGATGGATTTCAATTATGTAAACTCCCGTTTTCACATTGATATATGCACAAGGGTTTGATGGTGGAAAGGTGGCCGCAGGAGGAGGTGGCGCAGTCCCATCAAAGTTCGATCGTCGTCGTTTCCTAATTTTCGGGTTCCGGACTCCAAGTTTTATTTTTTTTTTTTTTTACTGCTGCCG